TGTCCTTGTGTGTTGACACTGTGGTATATTCTGTCCTTGTGTGTTGACACTGTGGTATAGTATTGCCTTGTGTGTTGACACTGTGGTATATTCTGTCCTTGTGAGTTGACACTGTGGTATATCATGTCCTTGTGAGTTGACACTTTGGTATATTCTGTCCTTGTGTGTTGACACTGTGGTATATTCTGTCCTTGTGTTTTGACACTCTGGTATAGTATGGCCTTGTGTGTTGAATTTGAAGTATATTTGTCCCACTCTATCGAAAAGGTTCGGTTCCTGTGTCTTTACACTGTGGTGTTTTGTGTCTTTTTTATGTTGACGGTGTGAATTGTATTTTCTTTCAACTCACTCAGCTATTAAAATTAGTTTTGTCATATTCTTACGGTTTATCTCATTTGTGAATATATTCCGAGGGCTAAGCGGAAAACGTACAAATATTGCACGAAATTTATATGTTTTTTTTACTATTTTCATGAAGATACTTGTTTAGAAGAATAAAACGATGAATATAAAATTTTAAGTATAAAAGGTTAAGGACATTGTTATTCCGCGATCGATATTGTAAACCGGAGGCTGGTATTTCGGCACGATATCGTAAACCGGAAGCTGGTATTTCACGACGGATATTGTAAACCGGAAGCTGGTAATCTGACAGTAAGTCTGGTTAAATGCGCCATTGACGATGAGTTCGGTACCCATTCTGGTCTTTACAATATGGCAATATATTCTCAAGCAGTAGATGTACATATATTTATATAGATAAAAGACAGATAATGTCAATCAAAACCAAGGCCAGGGATAGCCACTCAACCACATATACGTTATGTAATCCCCTTTCAGACATCAATACCTAAGGGAGGAAGGTTACTAAGTATGGCGGAATCGATCTGACGGTACGCATGCTATTATCTAATGAAATGAACATCAAGGCACAAGCCTAAAAAACGATCGAACTGTGTTAAAAGCTTAGTTTGAATCTCTACAAATACAAAGGAAGTAGGTACCTTTTCCTCATTAAGAAACAGCTTATTCCAAAAACATCAAACCTATTGCTCCGAAAATCTCAATATGTGTGAGATAACTGTTCAATGAAAGACTTTCTTGGGGTGTGTTTTTTAGATTTACCAGACACAATGACATAAAAATGTATAGCATCGTTTATTGTTAAATGCTTATATTCCTTTGTTACACATAAAACACCAATACGTCTTTGTTGCGGAAATTAAAAACGTAATATACAAAACGGCACAAGTCCAGTAGCTAGAGTAAACCCGTGGGCGGCACAAGTCTAGTAGCTAGAGTAAACCCGTGGGCGGCACAAGTCCAGTAGCTAGAGTAAACCCGTGGGCAGATTTGCAGACAACATGCTCTAGTTATACGCATGTCGTTCAACGTTTGGTTAGAGAACGTAATAAACAATCATAGACGTGGCCTTCTCTAAAGAGTATAGGTTGACCTTATAGCTGAAATTTAGCCTGAATCGAAATGCTCGTTTAAACATGAATTGTCTGTTGCAAGCCACAGTGGCATTTTTTAAACATCAGAAATGGATTATATAGACTTTTGTACACGCAATACACATGGATTTTTTTTTTATTTCTGTCACCTTAAGTGGTCATATTGACCTTTAAATATTTAGTTTGCTTTCTACATCGACAAAAATATATTTTAATACGGATGGGTGCTACCGTACTTTGAACTGTAAAGGGTATAAAAACAATTAATGGGAAAATGTTTTTACGGTCATAGTCTGTTATTTAGAAAGCGTATAATAACATCAACAATTCAAGGCAATTTCAGTGAAGCGAGTCCATTGTTACCTAGCTGTCAATGTAATAACGTACGCGGACATGCACGCGCATTACTCTTTTTGTTTTTGTTTTTTGTGGAAAATATATGTTCCAGAATATGCTTTATTAGGATTTAATCGTAATACATGACATGTTCAACTTAGTATCCACTACACGAAATATATCACAGTATGTTGCTGCGATGAACCACTGTCTCTTAAATTTGACATTTTCACTATCTTAAATCTTCTAGAGGAACATTAAAAAAAATCTGTTTTAATTGAAGATATTATTTTTTCATACTTAATCATACACATTCTACTTTCTCAATTATGATAGATAAATTTCACCCTTAACTAAAACTGATTTAGAAAGTTTTTTTAGAAATTCCTAAAAACAATTCAGAAGTTTTGTTATTTTAGGAACAAGTCTACAGGCACTACACACAACTAAATGCTTTTTTGGGTTGGCAGATATGGTGTCGTGAGTCCTATATATAAGGAGAATGTGTCATATCGGAGGAATCATTCATCGCCACAATGACCTTATCCCTGGTCATGACATTGATATCCTTTCATGATAAAAGATTTGTTTGCAGCGACTTTCATGTTCACGATTAATGACTTTCAATCTCGAGATTATTCTTTTGCCACAAAACAGAAACTCTGGTAAAAAACTAAATGGTTAATACCTTTTGCCGGAAATGTTTTTTTTTTAACCCGAACTGAAGCCCAAGAGGGCAACACTATAGAGTCATCTGAACAACAAGTCATTGGCAACAGGAACATGGTCCATACCGTAATTACTCTACGACACGTATTTTTCTAAAAAAATAAATATTAATTGACAGAAGACAACCTTGTTCATGTGGTTGATTTGGTGTCTGTGGTTTAACGTCCTTGCACCAGATCATGTCTTCTGGAGACTGATGCCTAGGTATACACCGCTTAGAAGAGGGTGCAAGCAAATGAGGGAGAATGAGAAATATATCCCTATTTTCAAAACGGGCATGAGATGTATTTTGGTTTCTTCAATGTAACCCCAGTAAAAGACACAGATGAAAACCCCCGACGGGTACTTATGGGCACATTGCCTAGAGAAAAGAGTGGGGAAGTGAGAGAGGAAAACCCCCGACGGGTCCCTATGGGCATATGGCCTAGAGAAAAAAGTGGGGAAGTGAGAGATGAACACCCCCGACGGGTCCCTATGGGCGCATGGCCTAGAGAAAAGAGTGGGGAAGTGAGAGAGGAAAACCCCCGACGGGTCCCTATGGGCACATGGTCTAGAGAAAAGAGTGGGGAAGTGAGAGATGAAAACCCCCGACGGGTCCCTATGGGCATATGGCCTAGAGAAAAAAGTGGGGAAGTGAGAGATGAAAACCCCCGACGGGTCCCTATGGGCACATGGCCTAGACAAAAGAGTAGGGAAGTGAGAGATGAAAACCCCCGACGGGTCCCTATGGGCACATGGCCTAGAGAAAAGAGTGGGGAAATGAGAGATGAAAACATATAGATCCCAATGTTGCAATGTGGCAGCGGATCTACTTTGGTTTCTAAGTGGCCACTTTAGCAGCAGACACACAAATAACCCCGATTCTGCAGTGGCCCCTCATTGGTCGCCTCTTACGACAATCAGTGGACAGAGCAGGACTAGCCGTGACCATTGCTCCTAAACCTACGTACATTGTAGGTGCCATATAGTTGAGTGCCTCGTTTTCAGATGTTTTGTCGGGTCTTTGGTGTTTAATTGGTTCCGGTTAGTTGCAATTATGTGATATGTTTACTTTGCTACCAAGTAAATTGGTCAAACATTTAGTGCACGATTTCACTCAATGCAGTAGTTACCTAAAATGCTCTTCAGCAAGCGTTACAGGTGTATTTAAATATTGTTTAACATAAATAATATTTATATATAATTTGTTCTGCTAGTGGTTCTTTTACCATTTGTTTTTGAATGCTTGGCATCATGAATTGAATATTTTAGATAACGGTATTTCGTGTTATGTATAACCACTTAATGAAATGGATATACCAACGAATAGAGTATGATTTGTTATATACAAACGTAATGGAGTAACAAATCAATATATATTTCAATAAATCAATCAATGAAATAGTTCAATTTTGTCACTTTACTATATTATTGTAGAAAAAATAAAATACACCAAATATAGATTTCATTAATATTTTAATATTGGTTCTGGCATATTTGTGGCCTCGGCTGTAGTTGAAATCCTTATTTTAATCTATATATGTAATTGTGAGTCGCCACGGGCAGACCCATCAATCTTCTAATATTCTATACACACAAGTAAAACACCAATTTTTGAGCTAGAAAACCACTAGTCTCAACACAACACAAGTATGGAGGCACGTCACTCCATAAACACCAATTGTTCAAAGTCACATGACACGTTCACTGAGTCATTGTTTTGAATTCACCAATTACGTATATGAATAAATTTGCATTAAACCCTGGTATCACAACGGTAAAACGCATATTTAATTAACTAGTAAGGTAAACTGAACGGTTATGCCGCGCGACGCCGCGTCCGTTATACTGTACGACATTGAGTGACTTAAAGCGTGTCACCTGAACTAGTACTACAGCCGTGACGAAGTGAGATCATCTGATGTTGCGAATCCAGCCTCCCCTCCAGAACAGCAGGTATCCACCACAAACTGAAATAGAAATCAACCACAGCAGTATCCACTCTCAAATTGTGGGAAGGGAGGGTGGGATTAGAAAAATTCATAGATTCTGCATGACCAATTTCACTTGCCTGATCTGGAATTTCAATGAATTAAAAAGGGAGATAAATCGGTATTACCCTGAATATTAAACTGGTTCTCCGTTGTATCCTCACTGCGCTGTTTTGTACTGGAGGTAACTCGGGTTATCTTTCAACCGATTGACAGAGCTGAACCATGTTATTTTCTGACTATAAAGTAAACGATTTCATATAACATGAAATAGTTATAATTATTGCAATTTCATACACCTTCAAGTACTTCATGTGTACCGAGGGATTCCATTTACAAAAAAGGAGCTGTATCACCCTGGTAACATTTGTAAACTGTTCTAAAATGTAATAAACAGGCGTTGAAAATACCATTATAATAAAAAAGAACGAAATTATTTAAAACCCAATACCAACGGTATCTGTCCAATGGATATTAAAACAGTACTCGGGGCCCAGCTGGTCGAGCTTTCTGTTCTTAACAATCAGTAAGTCAAGCTTTTGAATTAAATACCATTATTAAATGAAAACGCAAGTTGTTTTTGTATATCATCTAATCATTTCGAAATCCAGGACATGCATATTTTATTTTAGGTTGAGCAATTATAAACGTATGCAAACTATCACAGATACGGTCAGTCTAGGTTCTTAAACATCATAGCAACGGCACTCCTAATACGTTCGGTGCTTAATTACGTTAAAATAAAGTATGCGTTAAGATCAAACGGTTTACTGATTTCATCACCCAAAAATGTCTGTAATTAATCAATTAGCCGATACGAGATAATTTTGTCGACAATTAACTTTCCGAAAAGGCATCATAGCTACTAACAGTTACGGCCAATGAACCATGACACAAACTCACCGCGGACACGCGTGATTGGCGAGCCCGTAGGAGTTTATGACAGAGGCTGTTTGTTAGTGAAAGCTAAGTACGGGCGAGGCGGACCGCGGAGTGATGTAGTTATGTGTAGTCTTCCCTACATCGATCGTATAGGGCGTGTAAGTAGTGTTGCCTCGCCGTATACATTGGCTACAGGAGCGCACAAACATCGCCTCAAATGGCGAATATAAGGATTACAAGCCCGTCAGATCCACTTATATATATCTATATTATTTGGTAATAGACACCAACTCGCTCACTGGAAAGCATCAAAATGAAAGTTTTGTTCTACCACATCGAAGGTAGTGCGCTGATGTTATGGATAAGACCCCTAAAAGGATTCCGTTGATATAAACTGATTGTGGTATGATTACTTTGTATATAACAAGATATGTGTATTTTATATAAATGTATTGACCTGCGGTGTTTTCTAAGGCAGTAGATCTCACAAAATCCAATTTGTGATAAAAACTGTTATTTGTACACATGCACTGAGCACGTCGAAAACGAGGTCACAGAGATTATTAAAAGCGAGCGCGTTAATTGCATGGCCATTAAAAGGTCCGTACAGATTACAACACAAATCGAGTGCTGTAAAATTGTTATCATTTAGTAGCCGACGGTATGAAAGGGAACATCTCCCGTATCGACGAACTGAGGCTTGTGTTAGCGTTGTATATAGAGTTCGCCATTAACACGCAAAACCTGTCGAGGATGTATTCATCAGTGGGCGCTTTACTGCATCGTGGGGCCTAAAAACGGAGCAGCAGCTGTGCTCGTCAAAAATAGCAGAGAATTAACAGTGTTGTACTGAGAGGAATCATGCCGGTCCTGTTGCTGGCGATACTGTCATCGCCTTACAATCTACATTAATACATCGGCATCGTAAACAAAGAAATAGTGGTAATACTTTCGTTGTAAGAAAACCGTAGATGATGGATGGTGTATATTATATTATTCTGGATTGAACTTTTAACAGTTTGAAGTATACATGTATGAAACATGAAGCGACAGAACGTTCGGACTCTCTCCCTGATCGTGTGTACCTTTACTTCCCTCCTGATCGGGGCGGCTGTGTTTGACGCCCTGGAGTCTGAGTACGAACTCGAAAACCGGAGGCGTCTATTTGCGGAGGAAGACGAGATACTCACTAAATACAACATTTCAGACGAGGATTTTAATAGCATTCAACACAATGTCATCTGGTCTCGTCCTTATCAGGAAGTTATCCAGTGGAAGTTCGGAGGAGCTCTATACTTTTCCTTGGTTGTAGTGGCAGTAATAGGTGAGTATTTTTATCTGTACGATACTACGTGTATTATTTTATTTTATAAAATGTCCAGCTTTATGTTTGCTGAATGTTTATGTATTTTGTTTTATTTACTTTATTATAAGTATAACGTGTGTACTCTATATGGTATATGTACTACAATGTATGTACTGTGTTGAATGTGTAATGTTAATTATACTCTATTGTATTTAGTATGTGATGTGTACATGTGATATGTTATTATGTATTTGGATGTATGTACTTATGTTACAGGTTACATATGTGATATGTTATTATGTATTTGGATCTATGTACTTTGTTACATGTTGCATGTGATATGTTATTATGTATTTGGATCTATGTACTTTGTTACATGTTGTATGTGATATGTTATTATGTATTTGGATATATGTACATGTGTTACAGGCTGTATGTTAAATGTTATTATGTATTTTGGTATATGTACTTTTGTTACAGGTTGTATGTGATAACATATCACATATGTAACCTGTAACATAAGTACATACATCCAAATACATAATAACATTTCACATACAGCCTGTAACAAAAGTACATATATCCAAATACATAATAACATATCACATACCACCTGTAACATAAGTACATATATCCAAATTCATAATAACATATCACATACCACCTGTAACATAAGTACATACATCCAAATACATAATAACATATCACATACAGGTTGTATGTGATATGTTATTATGTATTTGGATATATGTACTTATGTTACAGGTTGTATGTGATATGTTATACATGTAACAACTATGTTATATGAAATGTTATATTGCAATGCTGTATGTACCGTTTTATTTGAATTATGTTACATTATTATGGTACACTCACTAGATGGTGTGTTCAATATTTTATGAATTTTCAAATGCCCTTTGTTATATGTACTTTGTTTCTACATGTACAGAAACAAAGTGTTTTTTGTTTGTTAAAGAAAACATTAAAATATTGCGAGAAAGATTATATGCTAGGTTTAATTACTATTTTTAACAGCTTACACTATTTTACACTATATGAATCCTATATTTTATGTACTTTGGTATATATATTATGCATTATGTACAATTTTATATATGTCATGGTACATGTACAAATGTATATAGACAGTGTCATATGTACGTTATGCATGCTATGGTATAACTGCTTTATCATTGTATGTACTTTATTATGTATACAATGTTAAATTTTATTTTTATTTTTGGCATGCGTACAATGTAATATATAGAGGATATTTAATGGTGTCTTCAGTAATAACAAACATATTTCACGAGTGTGGCTAATATTTAAATACTAACCACACTCTTGAAATATATTCGTTATTTCGGAAGACACCATTACATTTTCTATTTATTACATATTTAAGCATAACACATGAAAAATGTAATGCATTAAAAAGAGCGGGAATCAGAAGCGTATAATTAGCGCCATATTCTAATGACTTCACGCTTGACAACAAGGATACGCGCCATTTTGAATGGGATACTCAATGCAATTCCGACGTTTTCTGCTATTTGTTGGTAGGATTGCTTATACAAATGTTATTAATTGTATATTTATGTAAATACTTAAGTGTGTGTATCAAACATTTACCATAACAACAACTTATTCTACCGTCGCTTCATTTGAATCTGAACAAAAATTCGTTGCCTTTGAATGCAGCGAATAAAAGATACCGTTATGATTGGTCAATACCAAAATGTGATATTTTCGCACTGTGAAAATATCACTTTTGATATTTGTCACAGTGTGAAAGATATCAGTTTAATCAAGTTGATAGAATCCGATATTTCACTGGCAAAAATTGTAATAAATAGAAATATTATTTGTACTTTGTTGTATGTACTATGTTATATATATGGATATAATTTATGCTTTGCTATATGTATTTTGATATGTGTACAGTGTTAAATGTGCAGATGGTATAAGTACTTTGTAATATGTATAAGGTTATAACATATATACATATAGTATTTGAACTTTGTTATATGTACTTTATTATATGTACTATGTTATATATAGATATAATTTATACTTTGTTATACGATTTTAATTTCTGTACAATGTTATATATACAGACACTATTTGCTCTTTGTTACATGTACTTTATTATGTGTACATGTACAATATAATACGTAGATATATTGTGTGTACTTTGTTATGTGTACAATATAATACGTAGATATATCGTGTGTACTTTGTTATGTGTACAATATTATATATACACCGATACCATTTGTACTTTGTTATATTTACTATATAATTTGTACATGTACAAAATGTTATATAAACACATAAATGATTTGTAATTTGTTATATATTGTGGTACCTGTATATGTGCTTGTTTTGTTATAATTTCATGTAGAAGTGGTATTTGTATTTTGCTACATATACTGTTACGTACATGCATGTATTTTGCTGTAAGTGCTTTGGTATATATACTAAGTTATAGATACTATGTTATACATACTTTGTTTTACATACTTAGTTATCTGTTTTGTTATATGTACATCGTTATATATTTTGGGTTAAATGTACTACACTTTGTGTAATATGTAAGTTCTACTCTATACGTTTTACTGTTGTATGTACTGTATCATGTTGTACAGTGTAAGCATATACACTTACGTACGTAACTTATGATGTTGGCAATCCAATGCTTCGTTTAGATTCAGGAGAAATCCTTGGGTGATTATTTACTAATTAAACAGCTTTTTAAAATATTGACCTTTATTATAGATTGCCTTAGATATGAGATGGTTATCCAGAGAACTCGCAAATTATACATGTTTTCAGAAGGACATACGTTGATTCCAACAGTTAATTACTTCCGGGAACTAGGCTAACCTAGATCTAGGACATAAGCAGTAGAGAACATAAAGATTGGTATAATAGACAAACATATCAATCATGGTTAGACTGTAGATCAGTCACGGAAAGCGCTTGTTAATCTGTATGTGCGTAATTAAATATGTAAGCAATGTTTGCATAACGCAATCATAGATGATTTCCCTTGTACCTTTGAAAAAAATATTCATTATTTGCTGGATATATACACGTTACAGCATGATACCCCTAGAGGTATAGAAACAACAATGTTCTGGCAAATCCAATTATCTGAGCATGCATTTCTATACAAGGTGTTTTTAAAATCTTCTCTATCGTTTTGAATATAAATGAAATTATTCTTTGAAAAATCGACCGAAGATCTTATAACCTGCAATTCTCACATAGCCGTTAATATATATAAAATATAACCTTAAACATACTCGTTTAAATTCCAAAAATACACAATCCTTAACACATTTAACGTGAAACATAAATAACATGAAAAATACTCATACATGATCTGAAACATAATTAACCTGTACTATAAATAACATGAAACATACATATAAATTCCCTGAGACAAACGTTTGCCAAGAAATACAAAACCTGAAACATACTGTTCAGAGGTTCATATATCACAACCAGTGAGTGAGACAGTTGATGTGATGTATGGATCTCAATGCATATTTACCAGCATGGACAATTTTTTTACAATTATCTGAAACAACTTCTTTCATAACCCGAAACATATGCGTAACCGGAGACATAACTAAAGTATACGTAGTGTGAAACACAGAAACGCAAGCAGTGACTCCCCCCGCTCCACATCCCCTCATCCCCTCCCCTCGAATAAGTACGGAAACAACAGCATAGAAATCCAATTCATTTTTCGCGAATTATATATAATGCAGATTTACTGTCGTTTTCCTGCGATTAATTAGCGATTCAAATACGTCTTTTTATAGTTCATTTTGCAAAATCACTGTTACATTTATGTACTTTCAACATTATAGCACTGGTTATTTTTATGGCTACCATTTCCATCAGGCGAATAGGACCCGTCTACAGGTGACGTCACGCCGTAATTGGTCTCTTATTACTAAGTATGACGTAGGTACACGAACAGCTGCCGATTGTGAACATTTCAACATTTTATTACCCACATATACGCATCCATCCATGTGTCTTACATATATATGTCTCAACAATTCATTGCTGTCTCGTGTAAAAATAGAACACATATCCATCTTCATCACATACGGTATATATCTTTATGTTGGAAAACAATTCTGCACTAAATTATATATAACCGCACATACTGTATAACCCATGTCCATGTCAAAAACACCCATGTCCATGTATAAACATAATTAATATGACTTCACCATACTCACATGCGTTGTACGCACACATACCCATTATATGCATGATATTAGACATTTTCAGACATTCCTGTATCTACTGATTATTAATATATATATGCAAAGAGAAGAAATATCAGTCCCACACAAAAAGAGTAAATATTAGTCTTTATCAATATATTAAAATGTACCTTTGGGTGTTTCCTGTGTGCTAAAGTTTTCTGTCTAATTATTTATTATAAAACATACTTTTGTAGTACCCAAACTTTGATTATTTTAAACTTTATGAAAAAAATGCTGTAGAAAGATAATGTAATATAATACATATCTTCCTCGAAGTTGTACTCTGTAAGTATATTTAAAATAAACATTAACACTTAGATAAAAAAAAGAAATAGAAAAATAGAAAAATAGAAAAATAAAAGAGCCTTATACACATTTTTGTTTTAATTAATAAGTTCATTCATGGCATCACAACATCTGTATTGTTTTGTTTATTTTGCTGCAGGTTACGGCCACAGTACACCAAAGACGATCGGAGGCAAGCTTTTCTGTATGGTTTACGCGCTGGCAGGGATCCCATTGTGTATCATCATGTTTCAAAGCGTCGGTGAGAGATTAAATACATTTGTGACGTTTGTCCTAAAGCAAATCAAGAAATGTTTCCGATTGAAAAACCTGGAGGTTTCACAAACAGATCTTATTTTTGTGACAATGAATCTGTCGACAATTATCATAACTACTGGCGCTTTGGCCTTTTCTCATGTTGAGGGATGGAACTACATAGACGCGTTTTACTATTGTTTTATCACACTCACAACCATAGGATTTGGTGACTTTGTAGCGTTGCAGAAAGATTACATGGTCCACGAAAAGCCTCACTATTTCGCGTTTAGCATTCTTTTCATTCTTTTCGGTCTGACAGTTATCTCGGCCGCCATGAATCTTTTAATCCTTCGTTTTCTGACAATGAATACCGAGGATGAACGACGGGATGAAATGGAGGCTGCTGTTGCCGCCCAGAATGCAGTGCGACTTGATGGTGACGTCATAACCGGAAACGGTGGTGTAGTATCAAACGCACAGGAGCGTCCTGAATTTAACGACACACTTTCTGTGTGTTCCTGCTCGTGCTATAAATGGACGTCGCCACACGACAAAGTTTACACATCTAGCCCAATGACTAACACTAGACGTGGAAACAGAAAGAGCAAGGCGTCGGTAGCCAATACCCAAGAATATTCTAAAGACATGGACAGTAACATGTCAGATGATACAGACTCGTTCCTAAATTGGCAGAGGAGTAAACGTGCCTCTCTATAGGTATCGTTGATTCTGGATGAGGGTGATCTGCGTTGTGTACATATCACTGTGACGTGTAGTTTAAAAGAGTAGACGTTCAAAGGCTTTGCCTGTTGCCACATTAATTTTGTGTGTACGATATGAATAATAAAATATTCTAGAATGAAAGGAGAAGGCAGATTGAATAATTAGAATAATCACGTGATCATACCCATCAAAATCGCCCAAATAATCATCACAGATTAAAACATATTTACAAACGGTTAATGATGCAAATAGTCTTAACATTTCCTTCAAAATATTTACGTTAAGTTGTGATCTGCATTGGTCAGGAAACGCAGATGAATTTTGATGATTATTACGGTTTTTATTTTTCCCGTGCTAAATGTAATTCACGTACATTGTATACAAGCAATTGATAATTGATCAAATGGTTGATGCAGTATTAATGAGAAGCATTGCTGACAAAAACATTAATTTTCCACAATACATGTATTAATGCCAACATATGCTTGCCTTAACAGTGTAAATACTTTAAGTAATGACTACGTCCTGTTATTACTAGAGTGAACTTAAGAAAGCGTTATATACGTGATGTCTTGTAAGGCTGTTCTAGTCTAGATATTGATAATTTGTTTAATCAGTATTATATGATACCAACAAATGTAAATTACCATCGCATATAAAGTATGTATTGTGGACACTACACAACTCGGTAGAGTCGAACCGTCGGATAAGTCGAATATTTTTAATTGGTCACGATGACTTCAACATATTCGAGTTTTACTGTATTTAAAGGCCGTTTTACTGTAACCATCGCAGTTACATGCCCATGTACTGTCTGTTGATGCAATGGTAGTGCTTGTCTGTATGGTTATCATTTTGTAAACACCTTGCTGACAATATAATGTCTGGCCAAGCTGTTGTTACACGATATCTTATACCCATGACATGTGTAATGTAGTGGAAATGTTATGTGCTAATCAATATCGCCATCTGCTCACGGACACACGTCTTGCTATCAGGTTGTCGAAGATATCATCAAAATGACTAAAATAGAAATAGTCAATACTGATAATAGATGCATTCCAGAACGTAATTTAGGTTTTCGTATATGTTGAATTATTTAATACTCTGTACTTTAATAACACATACTCCTATTCTTATCATCTCTAATGCATGTCACTGAGCATTGTTCTGAAGGAAGAAACAAATCTCATGTGGGATTTTATATCTTATCGTCTTAACCTACATGTATCTCTACTGCAATAATATGTATTTGGTCTCAGTAAGTATTGTTAAGACCAGGTTCATAAATCAAGAATAAGCCTCACCAAACGTCCATAATTATGTGATAGTATCCAAATAACATATCTGTACTGCAATAATATGTATTTAGCCTCGGCGAATAGTGTTCAGACCAGGTGTATAACTCATGGATTTACCTCATTTGAAGTCCATAGTTGTATAATAGCATCGTCATATCATATCTCCAATGAAATAGTATGCATACAGTTTATTGCTTTCTGCATTGTTCTTCCTAACTGCACAGCTGCTGTGAAGAGATTTGTTTTGAAGATATATAACAATTTATATCTATCAATACAGAAAATGTTAATGGATATTCAGAGATGCATCGAGTTTCTTAAAAGATTTTAACCTAGCTTATATCAGTGATATGGGCCCGAAATCATAAAACAGATCTTAAGCTCAAACACGGATATTGTACTCAAAGCAACTTACCTATCGCTTGGTAAAATTATGGGACACGGTCAAACAGTTAGGGGAAGACATTGCCAATCTTATCTGACTTCCAATTTCTTCAAAATCTTTCAAATTCATTGACAAGATGTTTTTAAATTGATGACCGGAACCAAAAAAATAGCTTGGACACATAATCTGAGTTTGAGTATGATAACAGCTTTGTGAATACGGGCCTGATGTTAATCATTTGGTAAGGTCGGATATTGCATCATTGGACATCAAATGAGATACCTGTACCAACTGACTGTTGCTTTGTGACTTTGTAGTAAAACTATGTGTGTGGTGGATGAGTGACTTCCTATTTGACAGGCAACCTTTAAGAGATTAGGTTTGGAAACTGCGTTTTGGAAGAATTGCTTACGACACTCCCAGAAATAACAAGTTGAAAGTAATACCAGTTATCTGTAAACGTTATGAGCAGGCTAAATCTATTACGACTTTAATGATAAATAAACGGTTCCCTTCGGTAATATTAATCTGATCTTTGGTTTGAATAATTGCTAAATTGTCCCACACTATTTATAGAAATATCGAAATATCTGCAGTTTTACCTGTTAATGATTAAATCATTTAACAGATAAATCATACCATATGGAGTATCAGGGAAATCATAAACCTAGGGTATTATTTCTTTAACATCCCCTAGAGTATGATTTCTCTGTCGCCTTCTAGGGTATGATTTTCCTATCACCCCATTGCTTTAAGTTTTCTCCGTTACTCCCTAGGGAATGATTTTCCTATTATCCCCTTGATTTATGATTTCTCTGCTACTACATATGGTATGCTTAATCTGTCACCTTTAGGGTATGCCAGATAGAAGGTAAGTATTTTAATATGACGCCACGGGGACAATCAGATATGACGTCACAATCTGCTCTCTACGAGAAAGGTCATTTACAAATATATAAAAAAGGGATTAAAATGCAGAAAAAATATTGTGTTTTCAACCATACTATTGAAATGACAGGATTGTAACAGAGCAATAGAGCCTTAGGTTAGACAACTCATAAAGTCACCTCTCGGGTTAGATATTCCTCTGTCACACTCTCAATGTAGGGGAGGATTCTATCAATCACCAGAATCCTATACTCCTACAGTTAATTATACAGTTGTTCACCAGACGGATCAGCCCACCTCGAGGCTCTACATCAAAATAGTGTCACTGAAGTTGCTGTATTGCTATTATAAATAAATGAACTTGTGGAAACCATCCGACTCGTTATCTGTCACGTAAATCATTTGCATTTGGTGCATTGTAATCAGGAATCAATTCGAAAGGAAGACCGAGGTCTATGCTTTAAAATTCTTTTCACAAATGGCTTATAATATACCCATTCTTTACATGTTGAGAATGCATTTTATGTGAAAATAAAATGCAAGCTTTATGCCTTATTTTGATTATTTTCAACGATTTTATGATAAATATTTTGAATCATATATATTTGTTTATAAGACATATTTATAATCTGTCAAATCTAATAATGTGTAAAGTTTCTATGTTAAAGAAAACAACAAAATACTGAAGTATCAACAAAACAATAACGTGGCTTTCATCGGGTACTTCAGGCTAACAAGACTGATACATATAAGTGGTAAGAACATGTTACAAAATTGTTTTAATATAAAGTTTAATCTTTTAATTTTCATAGACAGCCTTACCGATTCGAAAGGATAAGAGTCTTCTCTATGTCACTTGCCATGTAAATACAGGACAATTTCAAGTTATGTCAAATTCTCAAAAGAGAACCGAAGTATTGACAACTGGGCCTTTATTCATGAAATCGTTCTCATACTCAAACATGGATTCTGTGCTCGAACCAACTTTCTTGTAACTTGCTAAGATCATGTCAAACTATCTAAAAGTCAAATGTAAACATTGAAAACAGTATTCAGCTTTACGTCTCTTCAATGTTTTATCCTAAATCATTGACAAAATACGATTTCTCAATCAATTTAAAACGGGAAAAAGGAATTCGTCTTGAGCACAAAATCCATGCTTGAGTAAGAGAACGGTTTCATGAATACGGGCCCGAAACCACAAAACACGCCAATGAGCACAAAAGTAAAATCGGTATTAGTACTGCACAAAGATATATATAAACTGTATACTGTATACATATCCCAATTAGATCACGAATGCGACATATGTCTCGACAATTGTTTTCATCAACCAGGATACCTCGAAACCATCTATGTTAGTTTGCCCGTCGCCTTTCGATATCATTTATGGTAATCGTTACAATCGGAGGAAGTCATAGATATCGAATGAAATGCTATCAAGCTTACAGTTTAGCAGTTATTAGATTGTGTTATCAATTATGTACGTAAGGATCGAGACTAGCGACTGATATTGGAGTGTAAAGTGTCAGTCATTTTAAATTCAGGAAGGTTCATGTGTAAACGATGGAAATGGTTTCAAATTTCTTCTATTCTCATTTGAGCAAACACTTCCTTGGTATAGCTGGAAGTGATATTGAAGGCCTTGTTTTTGTTACCGGTCCTTATCAACTCTAGACTGAGTTAAACCTTATAAAAAAAAATCGGCCATGAAAGGAACTGTCTCTTCCCATAGGTATTAGTATATAGTATGCAAGGAAATTCCGCCACCAAACAAACAAAGATATATTTTACCAGGCATTCAATAAATTTCAAAATCTTTGATTTCAAGTAATGATATTTGAAACGATACTATTTATTCAACCACATGTACAATATTGTACATTTGGATGTTAAACCATATGAATGATAATTAGAATTATATATTTTTATATAAATGTGTATGTTCTTTTTAAACTTGGTAGGCCAAGGCATCAACTTTTGTTACATGGCATTAAAAACAACGGGAACGGAATCCAAAGGAACGACATCATTGACCGTTTACAAAAATATGCCGACACTATGGTTCTCCTGAGGGTAAACATGGCCGACTCCACATGTGGCAGCCGTCTACCATAAAATCGATGAAAATGTATCTATCATCAAAAGTTTTTCACTCATGGTAAACACTCATAATGGAATTTCGTAAATGGAAACCAGATCAAAATAAGACTTCTATGTAAATTACAGTAACTCAGACAGAACCCTTGTTATGTAGTCCATTGATCAATAAGGCGTTACTTAGGTACTTAGATTAGGCTGCGGAATAGAACAACCTTTTATCGTTGACATATTATGATAAACATCACCATTTGGGATTGGAAGCTTCCCTATGCTGACACGTGTAATCGGCATCCTAGAAAAAGCCATGAAACAGACAGGGATCCAACAAAGAAACAACCACTATCTGATGTCAAAAGTTCAGGTCAGTTTCAGGCTAGCTTACTTAAAAGAAAACATCTTCTTGTACACCCCTTTGACATATTGATTTCGCTGCATCTGCTTTGAAAGGGAATCCATTTCTAAAGTCGTTATGTCCATAAAAACCAAGTTATCGGCATATGAAACTCCCAGGAGCCGTATTACAAAACGTTGGTTTGCATTGCTAAAAAACCTTTAAACTGCTTTAGGTTTTTCTGTTGATATGGAACCATACAAGAGCGGCAGATTATTGTATCCTATACGTGATTATTGTAAAGATAAAATACCTCACATATACAATTGGTGCCATGGAGACGAAAGCCTTAAGCGTTAGGGTTATTTGTTCCCTGTATTCTTTTTATTTCAATTCAAAAAGAAAAAACAGTTTTCGATATATCAGATTTTTTCGTTTTCTTTTTATATAGCTTTTGTTTTGTTCGTTAAGTTGTTTTCATTTTTCTTTTTTTAAACATACATATAATGCATATACAGATAACGTTTTGAAAGACATTTAGGATATACAGCAAAGCTTGAGTTTAAATTTTAGTTCGAGACAGATTAGAATTTCACATAACAGAGAAAATGTTTTGTTCTATTGATTTGATGGCTTTGATCGACCGCTTGAACCCCTAGAATTTAGAAATACCTGAGTTGAATACCCCAGGGAGTAGGGTCCTAGTACAAATGGCATACTATTACTATTTATCATTTGAGTTGGCATACATGTATACAGTACATGCGATGTTGTCAGAATTGATTTTTACAAGTAAATAGTAGTTTTCCCGTGAAAATCAATATCAGAAGTGTGATAACTATCTACATAAGGACCGATATTAGTCTTTGTATATTCACGTATAACAACAACGTGACAATTTTACTTGTATTTGAAACAAAGTTAGGTTAACGAATACGTATTGTTCAAATGTGTAACAGCATGTCTTTTGCGAACACAGGTGAATATATGAATATGCTATATTGTAATTTAATTGTCCATATTCTAGAAAGATATAAAGCAATACAAATGACGGAACTCATAGTATACTCGTCATTACACTTCCTAACCCCCTCAAAGAAAATTCGGTTTGGGGGAGGGAAAGGAAAATCTAGGAATAGACGGAAATCCTTTTTGGGGTTATAGGTTTATACAGACAGAACGGCGTGGACTTAAGTGCATAAACCACTTCGCAGATTTATATAAAGTGCAAACATTTTTTTCCGTTTACATGTATACCGTCATAACCTCAAAATTATTCCCATATATTCCCTACATGAAACTGATAATCATCTCCATAAATATGGTGTATGGTTAGAAAAGCACCACTCTTACAATATTTATTACTAGGAAAACGAACTAAGACGTACCTACCTAACAGAAGCCAAACAAAGTCAACAATTTACTACAAGTGTTGGCGCAACTTTATACTTTGAGGAAAGTGGATATTAAAATCAACATGGATTTGTATGTCAATATCATGTCGCAGAAGTAAATATATAAATCAAGGTAGCTTAAACTGTATTTATTTCTGGTAATATACAATACATTATATTTGCTATACGTAAACAGTAACGATTTGGAAACAAGTACCAAGTACGTAAAATGTACTTACACAATGTAATAATACACTTAATAAATTTAGTTGGACAACAATGTTTCTTTCTCGTCATTTCCTTATTTTTACAAGAACCACTTCTTGAGAATGTACCTGTCGAATAATCAGGAATGGGTAAATGCACGTGATCGTCATCCTATTGAAATACATTCTCAGTAAGTCATGATTATCAATCTTATTCACAATCAATCGAACAAAAAAGACTGAACAGAAAATAAGGATTTTTATTTGTTTATTAGCATCTTGCTGCGTTGTACACGATCTAAATAAAGCGAGATAACTCTTATTTTTCGACAGGTATTTTGAGTGTCATTGTAAGTCACTTTGTTGTTGGCTGTTTATCATAAGGTAGACGATTTATTTATAATCTTACGTATTGTAGCGGTTTTGGAAGAGAAAATAAAAATTAAGGAAAAAAGTACGCAAGACAAATGGATTTTCTGGTGTCAAATAAATGTCATGGAAATATTTTAAATACGTGAAAAGAAAATGCGCATTTGATCTTTATTTAATTGTTAGGTGACTACAATTTAGAGGCGAGATAGCATTCTACAAATAAAGGGTTACTTATAGCTTAGCCATATGGATCTAAGAAACTGGTTTTAGCTATCTTAATTTTTAGAGACTTATCCAAATTGACATCAATACCGAATATTTTAATCTATATTGAATTTCTCATAGTCGTTCCGACTAATCTACATACATATTATAATAAACAAGTAAGGAATGTATTTAACAGTTCATTTACAAACCCTATCTAAACGCACCAGTTAGTACGTCAGTCAGACTCCAATGACGTCACGAAGTTCACACATGAAGTGTTCCAATGATCAGTGTTACTAAACACATACACCGAGACGAACCTATGTAAACATATTCACTAATCACTCTCGTAATGGGCTCCATTTACGGTGTGAACGATATTTAAAGTCAACTTTGCAGAAAGGTCTGACGACTTCTATCATCGACATCCATTTTGTTGGTTGAGAGTCGTCAGACATGGACTTCCTGACCTGTCTGAAGTGACGTGACCTGTGTGTGGACTGATGGAGGAGGATGGCCCAAGAAGCTGCCAGGTTTGATAATATACCTGTTTTGGAAAGAAAAAAACCCATCAGTATTGATTGTTCGTTAACATAGCAGTTTACTTAACACAGTAACACCTAATTACGAAAACAAAGATTAAATAATTATCAGAGTTAAAGCAATATTATTTCAGAAGTTTACATCGATTAAAAAATATAAAAAAAGCAAACACCAATTCGTATGATAAACAAACACATTAGTAGAAATAAATTCACCATTATTATTATCATATATCAGAAGCCCGTAACAAAATTATAGCAAACGATACTTTTGTAACAATGTGCAGATACTTAAGCATTAAACTGCTTTCAGTTGGCATTCATAGGCAATATGAATGCCAACTGAAAGCGGTTCAATACTTATATTTACCATTTTTGGAATCTGTTCATCTCATAGAAAATATAATTATACTTATCATTATTTAGTATTTAGTTAAAATAATGTATGTATTGTGTATGCCTGTTCAATGAATAGCATAGCCATCACCCAGGGAGGGTCAGTAGTATCCAACGTAACAATTATGACGTCATAATAATGATGACGTCAAGAATCGGTCTATGGCATTCATAGCCTATATGAATGCCAGCTGAATTTGCTAGGGTTATATAGTGGCAATGCAATACGATGTTAGATATTGATGTTTTAATAATGACCGTGTTAAAATGCTTTAAAATAAATGAATTATTGCGCTGTATTTATCGTGTTATTCGCTTATACTGTGCTGTGTACGATCACTATGCCGTCCACCTGTGCTGTTCTTGTACACGTGAGTATGTTGCCACGTGTCATTTGTCTCACATTGTCTTGTCAATATAAGGTTGATTTGATCTAATATATGTATAAGTAGTTTGTGAATGTAGTTCTACAATTGATTACGATGAAGTCAGTCATTGCAAAATTAGTCCTATTCCTATTTTGATTAATTTATGAATAAGAACAATGTATGCACTGAATGAACATTATATTAGAACTGTATTGTGTCCTTGTGATGCTATTACTCGTGTTCCACACATTGAGGAAATAAATGCCAAATGGTCGAGTAAGTCTGCGTCTTCCATTATTCAACTTCATACTTTGACTCTTCTTATAGTTTGTGCAGCGAGAACTCACTAATTCCGGCAGATTTGATATCATCAAAGTAAGTCGCAAGCAATCAATCATCTGGATGTTTTACCAGCTACATGTATAGTAATTATTGTTGGATTTTCAGTGTGCGAATTGATTAAGTTCATCTGCTAAACTGTACAAAAAAAGTATAAATTGAAGTGTTACACTAATATCCACCTCAGAATATGATATACTACTAAGACTTTCACTTGTACACTAAAGCAGATACCTACACGAGATCTCCGTCAATTAGTTTGGTCTCTGGGGTAGGGTTTAGGACCACGAATGAGATTGCGGTGCTGCTTCCTTGATCCAATCCAGAAACTTAAATACAGAATTAGGGAGAAAACTATTATACAGTTTAAAGCTGTTATGGAATTCTTGATAACTACATCGCAATATAATGTTTTGCCTTGATTTGCAAATAGAGTGGATAGCACGTTTCTATTTAAAGTTCATTTCAAAGCGAAATTCAAATCTAAGCATTAAGGCAAGAGACGCGAATTTCACCATAGCATCGTAACTTTTCACTGTTTTCACAAAGTAAACGGAATTGAAGCAGCTAGACACAAGTCAAGATTAACACATTTGAATATGTTAGCTAACAGAAACATTACATCAAATAGGAAAGTATTGGTAGCTTCGTCGTCGCTGTATTAAATCGATAATGCACAAGTTCATTTGAATAAAGGCAGAAAATTCCATCTTAGCCCCAATATTAGAATTTAAATTTCATTTGAATAATTGCAGTACTTTCCATATAGGCAACCATTTTAGGATACGCTTTATATTCCATTGAGATATATGTAGGATCTTACTTGAGTTTTCATTTCATATGAGATTTATGAAACGAGTCTTAGAATTATTTTCAACTTAGCGAGCCTCTGACGTCACGTCGTCACGAAAATGAAAAATTCGTGACGAGTTTCATAAATTTCTTATGAAATGAAAACGAGTGTACGATTCTTTTTATAACATACATGTAATACTTTTTTTTGGCATTTATTCGTGTAAAACGACAATTTTCATGCAACTTTGAAACGTAAAGAGCCGCCATTTTGACTCTAGTGGGTAAGTCTGTGACGTCATGTACTTGTCCTAGGCGTGACGCCACAGTTGAAACAATTGAAACTTACAACCAAGCATAGGGCTGATAGGTCATATAACATGGGTTAATACGCAAGAGAATATGACATGGGTATATTCACTGGATAACACAGTACATTACGTGATAAAAGTGTATCCCTGAATCAATCACTTACCGTATGCCTCCGTGTCCATACCGAGGCTGCTGAGCCTATTACACACATAGTCACGTGTGTCACATGTGTCACATGTGTTGCCGAACTGACCCACGTGATGGCCGTTCTGTCCTTGTTGCTGCTTTTTAACCTTCGAATCAATTATTTGCATACTTTGTTTAAACTGATATTGGAATTAAAAACAAAATAAGCGATACTTTGATATTACTAGCATTCTCATGCAAGCGTGATAATACAATCACAGGAATTTAATTGTTCAGGATTTAAAAAATATTATAGTGTATACATAATACAAATGCGATAATTAAACCAATGTACTATGTACTTCGTGCTGACTACATGTTTGACATGGAAGCTATCTGACTATGTATATCATCCATGTACATTGCGAACTGTCACTTCAAAATGGCGATTTATGCAAGATTTTAAAAAATATGCTATTTTACCATAGAGCCAGTTACGGGTTTCTCCGTTCGATAGATAGCCAACGGGATTTCCCCTGTTGTGGACGCCAGCCCATAGTACAGTTCCCCAAACGTAGTGTAGGAAGAGAATGTCATGCCGTTCACTCGTATCTGTTGTAAAACACATGTTCTTGACTTCAAATTATTAAATAGTCAATCTTTACGTTCAAGTTGCAGCAGTAACATTTTCTGGTAAATTAAGTATCCTTCTCCTGTTAAAGGGCTAGAGAATTGTAGTTTAGGTTTCGTACATACAGTTATCCCCCTTTAATCTCACTTCGGATATAAATGTACAGCGATTTGGCCAACGTTCTAACGTTGGACAGGTACCTCAAAATAATAATCGGAGGCGTTTTGAATCCTGGTCAGGCCTAATTGAATTTTACACACAAAATGCTGTTGTTGTTTCATTATTTTTAAATTAAAAGTTTAACAAGGTGTTGTTTAATTCAAAGAAATGATTTATCAAAGTCTCACTAATACTGAAAAAAAGGTTTCGTCCACGCCAGTGTCTTCGGCGTGGGCGGGGATCCGTAAGGGATCATCTTATAAGTCTCAACTACATTGAGTGAGTTATCGTATTGACTTGTTTTTGACAAGCACACCATTTTGAGCAATATTACCACAGTACAAGTACTTCAAAAGATACATATAAACGATAATTAAATTAACATTTAAATAATAGCATTACATATGCAAACATATGACACTTACGCTTGATAAATGGCCCGTGTTGTTTTCAGCGTCAATCCCAATCAGGAGACGAACAAATGTGATCAGGTAGCGTTTTACAAACGTCTATACAATAAAGAAAAGGTATGAATCAGGGGAGATTATCGTAGATACAAGAATTACTGTCGAATCATGATAACTCCTAATGTATTTGTGTTTAAATGGTGTTCTGTTCGAAATAGTTTTCCATACATAATGATTTTATTAAAACACCATTTTTCATCATAAAAAACGAATAAAAAGGAATTAATTTAATAACCATATTTGTTTTAACTCTGTGATGACTAGATGTGATCTTTTAAATTTAATTAAAATATCGTTCATATTTATGTGAAGTTTTAATAAATGCGGTACTGATCTCCTAAAATGCTAATAATTACGTCCATGCCACTAAATTATTACCAGTAAACGTCTAGTGGGTTCATATGACTCGAGATTTTGGTCTAGATGTTTTTGTTCCTTTTTTTTTAGGTTCAATAAATAACCAATGGAAGAAAATATCAAAATATAGATTCTAGTCGTGTAATATGACGCGGATTCATCAAGAACAATATTCTATATAATTCATTTGATATATACTGCTATCGTGAATACGATACCTGGTACAGTAGACTGTCGAGCATAGATGCACTGAACACTTTACCGGCGGCAAAAGGCTGGCGGAAGAGGTGGGGTAACGTAGAACTCATGTTTGCTCGAAGTCTCTGTAATGTTAAACATATCAACACATTTAGTAGTTTCAATTGACGGTATCGTAGAACTCATGTTTGCTCGAAGTCTCTGTAATGTTAAACATATCAGCAAATATAGTAGTTTCAATAGACGCTAACGTAGAACTCATGTTTGCTCGAAGGCTCTGTAATGTTAAACATATCAACAAATATAGTAGTTTCAATAGACGGTATCGTAGAACTTATGTTTGTTCGAAGTCTCTGTAATGTTAAACATATCAACAAATATAGTAGTTTCAATAGCTGTTCTTAAGGGCATCGGTGGTGCCACTGTTGAATATTAAGTATTTGTCGAAATATATCAAACAGTGGTTTGAACGTTTAATGTTGTCTTGCGTGTTAGTTTCTTCATCCAACACTGCAAATGTTTGAACAGGTTGCCTAGTATCTTCATCAATAAACAGCAATGCTTTCCTTATCTTGATGCTCTTCTGTTTTTACTTCCATAAAATCGAAATAGATATTGTAAATTGTTAAGAACGGGTATATCGTATTTGTATAATTTCTAACGTTAAAACATTAAGAAATTGTAACCGTTTGCTTTCAACTCATTCAAAGTTATTAGTTTTAAGTAAAAATACAACATAAAACACTATTGATCAAATCAGCAAAACAAAAATAATATCTTTTAAAAAATAGTCTTCAATTGTTATTTATTATTGGGTAAAACTCATAACAATAATCATGAAAATAATTTATTTATAAAAAATAGATATGTTAGTTAATACTGATACGTGCCAACATACACAATTAAATTTGAACTTGTTCCTTGTCGTTTATACGTCGCTGAATGCGTAAAATACCAAGCTTAACCGACTAACACTAACCAAACATAATAGTTATTATTATATAGAGACATTAAAATAAATATAGAGGAAAGAAAAAGAATGATAACTAGTGAAGAACGGATGAAAGTATAACAAAGCAAAATAAATATTACCTCCTCTAGTCTGGCCACTGTACGAATGACTGTCTCCGGCACAGGACTATTCATGAACCGAATGTTGGAAGCTTGATTCAGTTCAGTTATAATGTTGGTGTTTGGGAACATCCTGAGATTACATAAAAAAAAAGATAGATAGGTTACAAACATTTTTTTCAAAAAAGTGCTTAATTCTTCGTTTTCCTAGTGATTATTGTACGTAAAACGGTTGTCTCTGTAACTGGATTATCAGTCCCCAAGGCTGACCGTATTATTTAACTTCAGATTCTGGCAGGGTTTTCAACTAGTTAAAGTAAAAAATATCTTTTGTAGCAAAATTCTATATTTTAACGTATATTTTGGACTATAATACAAGAAATACACAAACAATAGCAACGTCGTTTTAAACCGTTTGCACACTTATAAAACGTTTAGAATTCAAATGAGTGTTTCTCTATAAAGAGCTTTTGATTACGTATGACATAATATGGCATTCCAATCAAAGGAAATGTTGTTACATATTAAACACGACTTGACAATTTAATGTAGAGTTATTTCCCTTGTGTTGTCTGTGTTTGGGGGTTTCTTACTTTATGTAAGTCATATGCATGCACATTCAAAAATTACAAAAGGGATAGAAAGGCGAAATGATAAATGCTAACAAAAACTGACAAACCTGCTGTCAGTTCATAATATTATATGTTAAAAGTCGTGATAAAAAACACGAACATATCGCAGCCTCCCAAAATATACACATACACTACACGCATGCATCTTGAACACAGGGGAGACCGTCCTTAAATGACCTTATCTGTTAATAGGACGTTAAACAAAATCAAACAAACAAAAGTGATAAAAACATTGCGAGGATATATTCTAGTCCGAATTCATGCTGTAGAGAATCGCAATAGTGATATCTGTATCCCCTGGATGGCTACTACTTTGTCCGAGTTGGCTATTATCAATTTCTCTGTATTCTTTGATAGCCCAATCGTGTGTCCGGGTTGGCTATGTATTAGTTTACATCTGTATTGTCTGGAAGACCAATAGCTGGTCCGAGTTGGTTATGTAATATATCTCATCTGTATTGTTTGATCGGCCACTAGTCTGTCCGAGTTGGTAATGGTTTATCTTACCTTCGTAATGTCTAGACGGCCACTTGTGTGTCCGAGTTGGTTACGTATAAACTTACCTCTCGATTGTCTGGACGGCAACCAGCGTGTCCGAGTCGGTAACGACAGAGGATTGCATGTTAGTCACCACCAGGTGTTCCGCTTTGTGGATTCCAGATCTAATAAGGTCGTCAACACTGAAATACGAATGCCAAGTATTAATCATTTTATCGAAACATATTAAATTGTGTCTTTTATATTACATAAAACTGTTCAATATATATATGATATAGATTTGATTATGGTATGTAAAATGTTTTGAGGCAATCCTTTATTTCAAATGCAAATAGACATATGAATTACGGTAGAAGCAAAATAGCAGGACTTACTTAATTTAACACGTATAATGGCGTTTAAATAGTTTGTTCATTTGAACTATGAGAGGCACTTGTACCTTGTAACACTTCCCTCTATCCAGAATATAAGCGGAAAATGTGCTATTGTTTGTAGGAAGACATCACTTGGTCTGAAATAGAAAACATGTATATATACAAGAGGCCCAATGGCCTTAGCGGTCACCTGAGTTATATCATAGGTACTGGTAGCTTTATTTTATTGTTTAGATGTGATGTGGAAATCAGCATGTAAACTAAGTGAAATACAATACTTGTCATGTCATCAAAGGATAAGAATTTGAAAATATTGGTAAATGTTCCCTTTGGGGCCCCGCCCTAGCCCCTGGGGATGGGGCAGGAATCCCAATTTTACAAAGTAATACTCTCATTCACCAAAGATGATTCTGACTAGTTTGAGTAATTTTCTGCTGAAAATGGATAAAATATATACCCAAAAGTGTTATTTCCCTAAATAAACTATAGTAAACTTTACCCCCTCCCCAAGGGAGAACAAATAGCTCGGGGCTCCTAAAATTCACAATTTAAGTAAAGCCCCTGATGATCTTTCTTTCCATGTAGAGAAAATGAGTGTAGTACCTCTGAGTCCGGAGAAGAAGATATTTGAAAAATTGGTTAATTTTCCCTTTAGGGCCCCGCCCTGGCCCCAGGGGTTGGGGTAGGAATTTCAATTTTACAATTTGAAACCATCTTCCTCCAATGACAATTCTCACCAAGTAAAAATAATTTCCTACAAAAAGGTGTTAAAATATACCCAAAAGTGTTATTCCCCTATATAAACTATAGTAAACTTTACCCTCTCCCCAATGGAGAACGGATAGCTCGGGGGTCCTGAAATTTACAATTTAAGTAAAGCCCCTGATGATCTTACTCCATGTAGAGAAAATGAGTGTAGTACTTTCGAGTCTGGAGAAGAAGATTTTGGAAATATTGGTCAATTTTCCGTTTGGGGCCCCGCCCTGGTCCCAGGGATTGGGTAGGAATCCCAATTTTACAATTTTGTAGCCTCACCTACCAAGGATGATTCTGACCAAGTTTGAAAAAAATCCATCCGCTGGTTCTTAAAAAGAAGTTGAAAATGTAAAAAGTTTACGCACGACGCACGACGGACGACGACTGACGGAAAGCGATTAGAATAGGTCACTTGAGCAAAGCTCAGGTGACCTAACAATAGCATGAGCATCACAAGTCCATATCAACACGAACAGACAAAAGTAACTGAGCAAATACCAAAAACAGGGGAAAAGGCATCCTAAACAATCGTAAGAGGCGAGGACAGGGGCGCATCATACAAATATGTAACTGTTTCACCAACCAATGAAATATACATCCTACTGTGTATATATAGGACAATTCGTTAATGCGCTCACGTATTCTTGTAGTGTGAATATGAGTTGTATATACGATGTAATAGTTGTACTTCCGTTGTAAACGCTATGAATAACGATAGTGAATTCAATTGTTGTCATGATTGCTTTGCAAGATCATAACAGAAATTTTCAGTGTTAATACTCAATACAAGAGGATTTTTGCTGCATGGTAACTTTTGTCTTTTGCGCTCCTTCATAATTAGGGCATACATGACATCCCACAAAAAGTAATGATATGTGAAGGACAATTTGAACACAAGGGGAATCAGATTTACAAGCTAAGTTCAATATTTGATCAGGCGAAAGTTTCCTGGGATACAGTGTCACGTTTGGTATTGAGCCCAATGTTGGTCGACATACAAACATTTAAAAATGTACGAACACAATGAGAACTCTTCAATTATTTATAAAGTAAGCTTACCTTTTTTGCAGGAGAAGAACGATTGGTCTAATATCGTCCTTTTCAATGACGTGTGAGCGGAGAGGGACGAAGAAGTTGACCATCCCTACACTCTCTTCTTCGGCTGCAAGGATGACCAGCTGATTACCATTAAGGTCGTGACGGGCGTTTTTGTAAGCACAATGACCACAATCCTTCAACATATATCTATCAGTTAGATCATGGCAATATATATAAGTTACTTACATTATAATCCTAGATTACTACATACACGAAGATTCTAATATATTCAATGTAAAATGCATGGCTGACTAACTATATACAAATTATTGTTACCAAGGATAAAAAATGGTTCATGGCTATCTTAATAGACATAATGAACATTTTACATTGGAAGAACAGCATATAATCATTTGAAGCACTTGTTCCAGATATGAAAAAAACGAAATCTAAGAATTAAACATGTAAATATATTAATTGTCATATAGGTAAGTACTTGCAAAAAGTTTAAACGACATAAAATTCCTGCAATTTTTAATATCTCCCAAGAACTCAGAATCCATCAATGTAAGTAACTACACCGATCCTAAATCAATCTTACTGCAAATTCGTTCTGATTCTGAAACATATTGGTTTATTCACAAGATAATCGTATGTATCTTAATTATAAGTTGTTCGCAATTCACCAGGTATTTACTCTTACCTTGCCCCACTCTAAACAGCAGTCTGGTCGTCTAGCCTTCATCACGTGACATGTAATGGAGGGGTTACTGGAACACAGCGACGATGGGGGCGGACCAACAGTGGTGCTTAAATACAATTAGGATCGGAAAGCATTCAGTATTGTCTCACTTTACAAGAACAATTATTTTTCCATTTCATAAATGTCATAACCAATCACAATACATAGGGAGTGTTAGGATCGGGGCCCCGAATCCACTCTCTTTACAGAGTGTAGAACAAATGTGTATGGCAATCATAAAAAGGTATAACTACGTTAAAAAGGTGGTAATCTTAAAGCGATTTCGAAAAACATAATTTCCAGGAAATGTATATAGGCAATGATAATGTTCTAGTACTTTATCGTTAAGAAATATTTTTAAACATACTCATCCGTTGTTTCATGATAGACTAATGTTAGATTGTATATTAAGTTCGTGTGTTATAATTCAATATGTATATATAATCAAAACGCTAACGAATCACCTTATAATTGCCCTTTTTTACCAATAAATCTAGTAAAAAGACAGACACTTAAAATGCAAGTATAACATATCAAATATATTGGATATTTTTAGAGTCGAGTAGTGTTAATTTTTAGATTTAAAATATTCGAGGTTTCAACATATAACTTAATTGATAAACACAACATTTACCTGTCTTCTGAAGACGAACTTACATCCTCGTTCGTACTTTGGAGACGGTGATCTTGTAATCCTACTTCCCAAGGAGACGACACAATACCAGGCTCTCGTTCCCTGTACGAGATATCCATCACTGGCTGGCGTGAGTTATCGTTCGTGTCCCATAAATTACCTAGATGAACAAGAGGATGCTTTATTCAAATGTTTATTTGTCATTATTATTTTTAAACAATAACAAACCACAAAAAAAAGATAATGAATATAAAAGGTAAAGGAAAATGGACTCGCTTTATGAGTTATAATCGCGAAGATTTTGTTTGATTATTATTCTTTGTCTTTTTAACTTGGAAATATTCAACAATCTTTATAAAGGATAAAGCAAGAGCAAAAGTATTTTATGGCTAAATTTCCCAGGTCAGGTTGTTCATATGTATGGCTGTCCCAAAATATGATACTAATATTAAGCTTCGAAATTTAATGGTTCCGAGTCCGCCCCTCTCAGCTTTTTTGTTTTTGAACAACTACAATTCTTTAAAACGCATAGCAACATGCGATTATACTGAGACACGTTTTTGAAAACAAAACAATCAAATATTTCATAAAAGTGACATTGGTAATGATATAGTTTCGCTTATTTTTATCCTTAACCTTACTAAGGGCAAACTAGGCACATATAGTTAAGCATCAGCTTGTAGGAAAAGTGGACAACGCATGAAAACAGACATAAACCGAGAGGATACTACCACATGAATGATTTTGATGATTGCAAAAGACTCGACTAGCAGGAATGTCACTTCACCTATATATGTAGAGCAAATGGAATATTAATCAATAGTCACGGGTTCAAGGACGTAGATTTTCATGAAGGAGAGGGAATGTCATAGTGATGAACTATCTTGTCACTTGCTTATGACTGGGATTGAGAGGGATGTTCTCTTTTCGTGTTTACATATTATAGAGGGGATCATGTCATATAGCACCACCAGTGAAACTTTGACGGAGATGTATTTTATCTGATGGAGGTGACAGTGTACATATTTAAACGTCACACATTATCTCTTCACTGGTTGAACTAAATGAATCTTTATTATATAAAAGGGATAACCTGTAGTTCGAATACCATTTTCTGCATTATTGTTTTCTCTGTTGGTAGAATCAAATCGAGACCATGACATCACAGCCGCATGCTCATCTGGAACATCTGCCATATAAAACAAGCAATCGAAGTCCCGTAGTTTGTATCCGTCTCCTGGATTGAGTTGCAGCGGGGACTCGTGTCTGGTTCGGTCCTGTACCGCCAATAAGCCCACTCCGTACCTGCATTCAACGGAAAAGTTACTGAAGTAATATTTGTTCAAAATGAAAGATACGATTCATAAATTAGGGAATGTAAGATGTGTTTTTTGGTTTCTTCCCCCTCCCCCCAACATCATCATGCGTACTAAAGCTTGGTTTTGATATCAATTGATATGCTTTACATGATTGGGACAATCAAGAACAATGAATAACCAAAATGAGCGACAGAAAATGTTAATACGTAATATAAAGGGTTTTTATAAAGAATGGACCGATTATTGTGGTATTGGACCCTTATACTTCAGCAATATGCTGCAATATATTAATCAATTCTTATGATACATATTACCATTGAACCAAATATGTTCCTCCTCATATGAAGGTGTGACATCTATAATTATTTACTATATCTTACCTTTTATGTGCATCAGCTGAGGCGAGAGTGAAGCTCCAACCTCGATAACGTCCAAAGATCTTACTCTGGTTTAGTTGTATGTGATATAGGGTGTGGCTGGAATGACTAGCATAAAGCCGTTGCCATGGTTCTGTTCCGATAGACGCTGTCCTTGATTGGGTATAAGGTATTATGTATATATTAAGAAATAAGGACCGATTTCTGTTCCTCACCTGCACTTTTCTCATCAAACCTGGTATAGGTGACATTGCTAATATGTATTATATAAAACAATGTCGGTCATACAATGAGAGCCTTATAGGTTATTTTTTCTTATTCTATTTAAGTGTGAAGAACAGAGGGAATTATTTAATGTAGAGTTATAGTATTATACCACAATTTATGTCAATAGAACAATGCTAAATAGATGTTTTTAATGAGAAAAAGGAATAATCAATAAGAAATAAACAGAAGATATAAAGCGTACAGATTTGATCTACGAAAACGAATTATCCTGCCAATTTTGCACTTGCGAATCAATAAATAATTATGATAATGTGCTAAAAGGCATGGCTGGAACAATCAGTATATACATACTACAGAAAGATAGTGTACCTCAAGGTAATTATGTTAGATCCATAAGCCGAAGACCACGTCTTTTGATTGATATGTGAAAACAAACAACAAACTGGAAATGCGACTATACGTCGTTACTATGCTTGACTTACTCAACAGTAGTGGAATGCATCAACAGGGTGAGCATCGTGGACAAGCCGGGGTTTAGACAGTTGTTGGCTAAAATGGCAAACTTCAGTTCATCTGCGCATACCACGTGATCTTCAGATAAAAGCCGGTCATTTAAAATGTATACATTATTTGCATTTAAGTTTGATTGTCTATTTTGTTCTTTATTAACATTATTTCATAAATTATAGTCGTATGAAGTGTTTAATAGTAGTACATTTGACACATGTAGGCAATATATTTTCTTTCAAGATTAAAAAAACCCGATTAATTAATGTTAACTTTAAATAGCAGATACGTATTACAATTAAAACGTACAAAAGGCTTTCCAGTAATTCAACACAACCATTAAACATAAATTAAGTTGTGCCTATGCTAAGACAAGTTATATCAATATAATTGAAGAGATATGTCATTATTAACATCATAATTGTTTAAAAAAAATATAATGTCTTACCTGCTTTATTAACGTGCATTTTATTCTCCAGATGGTGAAGTTGTACGTACATCTGACAGTGTGGCGCAAAGTCCCTAACCGCCCAGTAATGCATGAGAATCAACTGGTCCTTGTTAAAAAAGGAATAAAATAGAAAATAAACAATGTTATCCGTTTATTTGGAATTATTTCTGAAATATTTATTTTTTAGAGTTTATAGCATAGAAGTTTGTTTGGACATATTTCCTTCTATATGAATATATATGAATAATGACGATATTTTTGACATCCACAATCCGTTGTATTAACAGAATGGTTTTTTGTTGAAATATTGAATGTCATTTTTAGTATTTTTCAGACAGTTAAATTCAATATGATCAGTGATTTTAAGTAAATATTCTATTAGGGTTATATCAATCACATAACTTGTATCAATGCGTTATGCATTCAAGTATTAGATCAGAACGAAATAAGTCAGACATACTGCCCGACCTGCTTCCGAGCCTGCCTATAACCCATACGAGCTGAACAGGTAGAGTTCAACGTCTCTAGCGAAGTAAAAGAACGTATGAGAAATCTTATCGACAGCAATAACCTGCTATACATGACTATTTATAACTGTCAAAATTTGTATCATTTTAACCAAGTGGGTATTAAACTACTGGATATCCTTACAGATTGATGTGTATTGTCAATCTCTGACGGTTGTAGGATAAAGCAGGCATCCGCGTCGGCCAATCTACAACACCAATCATAACCAAAGTTCAAATGAAGCAAATGTATATAATGCAACAGGGACACAGTCGGTAATATGCTACAACATCGATAAGAAAAATAGCAACTATCAAAACATGATAGCAAATTGGAAACAACAATACTCGCAACCGGCGAATCTTCAACGCTTGTAAGACAGAAACATATTTCTGAATTTTGTATTAACACAAAAAAGTTTACTGAACTAAAGCAAGCTGTCGAAAGATATTTAATCAACATTCATGACATCTATAAAGTCTTAATAGATTAAAACGGTTCTAGTATTGTCTTCATCTGTAATTATTCTTATGTACATTTCTAAGGTTAAGAACTTGGATTTTGGACAAAATTATGTTCGATACCTGCCTTATTGTTACTTGCAAATGTATATTTGCATTTATCTTAAGGGTACCGTGCTACTAATTTTGTTCTGTTTTCTTATCGACATGGCATTTCTTATTTCTCTTACACAGCAAAAAGTATTAATTTTACGTTAACGCCATTCACAGAAAGTGAAACGTTTCAAAGATATAAAATATAAAGTAATCAAATTTAATATTCTTACATGCCGTAAAAATGTCGATATCTACATAGTGGTCAGCACACGCAGAACATACGGAGTAGTGATGATGTCCATGCTTAAACGTGGTCAGCCTAGCAGGCAGACAGAATCGGCGAGAAAAGGTTAAAAGCTGGAAGCTGATCAACAACGCAATAAAGGGAAGGTATGCATCGACGAAGCCTTAGACTAATGGAATGCACCTAATGAAGAAAAATGGTTCGTCCACTACAAAGACTTGCGAGGCTTTTGCTTGCAGGTACAAACTGAATCGGCTAAGCGTAACAGTCGGCAGGTCTATATTGTGTAAGCATTACCTCTGACCTAGTCGAGGATATCATCGTTTTTTGTTGGATATTGCTCTCGGCATATCTCGTGTATATGCGTATACATAATGATGACGTAAGCATGGCCTCATCCTGCTTCCGGTGAGAAAAGTTACCGTCAGGAAAGGATTCCCACGCTTATACTTGACATAAATATAAGTCATTGAAGTTTTAAGTCGTTTCAAGTCTTACAGTTAGTAAGGAATTTTATAACTTTACACTTAGAAAACATGTTACATTATTGCCGTTTGATTCGCTTACGTGATTTTGTTTAGCGAAACATTCAGGTCATGTACAATAGATATATTATGTTCGTTTAATTATCTCTTTTGTATACCCAATGCAGACAATCGGACAAACCTGCATCTCTGGAGATCAGCATCATTGAGCGCAGATCCTTGCATGTAGATGACGCGATGTGCCCACTTTGGATCCTTCAGGAGTATCTGTAAGCTTGTGTCTCTCTGCTCAGAGCTCATAAGTACCACCGTATGATCCTAAGATGAATGAGAAAATGCCATCTTTCTCAAAATACATACTGTTACAATTCACTCTTTTAGATACAATCAACACTAGGCTAAATATAAATTCCAAAATGATACAATATTCTTTAGGTACAGTCGCAAACAACATAGAAAAAATATATGTCTTACCGTCAATACACAAGAATAAATATGAACTCAGCTATGACACAAAAACACAACAAAACAAAGTGACCATATATGGTAAAGAGCTTGGTGTCTTCCATCGAAACGTTAAATCAATGAACTGTTAAAGTGAGAATGTATGCAAATGTTCGCGTTGTGATTCTTTAATCTGATCGCGATGTGAACAGTTAGCAACAGTTTTTAAATGTATATAATTTAAATATATATGACTCAAGATTATCTAATACTTTCTATTCAATATAGTATCGATAGTTTCGCTCTAATTTACTCATGAACACGAGCATTTAAACACCACGAAAACTGCAATGGTTACAGTATATGTATCTCACCAACAATTCCCGACATAGTAAATGAGACTTTAAACCTGTTATAGACACATACATCTATAAATGGAAATCAAACCATTATTGTTATAAAGATAGTATACAATCATCAATCAGCTAGCCATGTTGTATAGGGAGATTACGGTTATAAAGTCTGATTGAATAACGAACAACTAAAAAATATGAAAATGTCAAATTTAATAGTTTTGGTAATGAGTGTTTCTTTAATACCTCGTTTTGGGGGTGAGCATAGAACTCTATGAGGAAGTTGAGTACACCTTCCGCTGATATACGGGGAGTACATAAAACCACGTGCCGATTTCCTTGTACTTTATGCTGATTGTATTCACCGCCTGTCTTGCGCATCTCCTTGAGTGCTGACGTTACTCCCTCTACCTGAAATACATTGATGAAAGATAACATAATACACATGGTTATTTTCATGCATAAGTGTGGTATAAAACAATTTACATGTACGCTATCAACTCCATAACAACAAATTTATTCAACAAAATATTCTTAAAATCTTTAGGCAAAAGTATTGCCTTTGTGAATCGCATGATGCTTGAAAGCAATCAGATTTAATTTAGTAATACATCTTTACTCATAGAATCAGTAGATCAGTTAAATAGTATGATAAACCGTGAAAATAAAAACATCACTAATATAGTTATACAATCAACATTTTAAAGTTTCAGAAGCATGTGTTGTGCTCATCAAATTGCCTTGTACGTCTTTCACATAGTAAATATAGAGTTCATTTACCTGTCTTGGTATGAAGGCGAAAGCCACACCGATCATTAAGGTCATAAAAAGTTGTCCAAGCCAGGTGTCCGGGGAAATGTCACCGTAACCGACCGTGCTGAAGGTCACGATCACGAAGTAAAAGGCCTCGAACATGGTAAGTTCTGCTCCACTGCTTCCCCTCTGTATGTGTTGTATGCCACACATCCTGACGAGGGGCACCAGACATCAAGATAGTTCGTCAGTGCAAAATACTACCATAATTCCCTCATCCTCGATACTCCAAGGGTTACGCTCACTTTCGCCCTCTGCACCCTGGTATATGTCATAGCAAAATCGAAGGTGCACGGTAAGCTATTTTAGTGGTCTTGGGTAGAAAACCTGCCCAATCGCTGGGCTGATACATTACCTGTCCTTTAAAGATTACAGAGGAGCGACACTCGACTTCAAACCTAGTCAATGTTTATCGTTACGCGACTTCGGGATTCTTTGGGTGTACATTTGTACATCAAAGGATCGAACTAGTCTTCTTGTCTCATCAACAATGTGGCGCACGCTGAGCCTTTAATTTTGCTATGATATATTTCAGGGGTGTGCAGAGAGCGTAAGTGAGCGTAACCCCTGGAGTATCGAGGATGTAATTCCCTACGCTATAACCGCAACTGACAAGACCCGTGGGAGGTAGAATATAGTTAAGTAAAGTATTAACAGATACATGTAACCCAGTCAGAACGACTGCCAGCGAGTAGTTCGTTGAAGCGACTCATCGACATACCCCTTCATAACGCCAACATTTCTCTTGGCGAACGGTGGCAGTATTTTTAGATTTGCGGTGGTATATCGTGATTATACTGTTGCTAATTTCGATTGACCAGTCATGTGCCTTGGTACATGTCAAATGTGTACGAATGAACTTTTACTTTCATCTTAGTATGTCATGCATGAGCATTAACTGTTTTGTGCCAGTTTTATACTCACGTTGTGAATATCAGGCTTGATAGCGTGATAAGAAGAAGTGTCATTTGATGGGTCAAGGTCACAGAGAGTGTTTGACAGCGTTGCTTTGTGAGGTGAAGGTCAATCTGTAATTACAATTAACAATATACTAGCAAGGGTAAGGTACATAATTAGGTACAAATAGTCCATACCCGCTCATTATCAACATTTTATACGAAGACAGCTTGAAAATTTACAGTCATGGTGTTTGTTTTAAGAAATCACGCCCAATTTGATAATTTCGCCTTTTCTGTTGCATGTTCGACAAAAACGACCGAGTGTGGTCCGATTGAACGCACTTTGTTTTCAGTGACATTTTATCAGTGACAAGGGATGTATTGTATGTAAACTGTTTAATACTTGTATCAATTTAGAATTGTGTTCGTATGTAGAAATAACTTTCTAGTTGTTGAAATTGATCTTTTTCGAAATGCTGAATGAAGATCGTTATGAGTGTGCTTACAAGTAGATTATGAACAACACGACGGACAATCCAGCAGGCCAAGAATCCGGGCAGGAACAGATTTCCTAGGGCTGGAATGAACTTGTGACAAAGACATGTTTTATTGATATCATTAATAAAATGAAATAGCAAAACATATTATCCGGTCATAAATTAAGATTGAATATTCAATTACCTTAAATGAAAGGTGGGGTCAACATTTAGCCACCACTTCGATTTCTTTTATTCTTTTGTCATATGTAGATACATAAAAAATGATCAATACCTGTATAAATAATTATTCATAATTACTACTAATAACCGTAGTGGACCTCCTTGCATAACACAAGGTTAAGTGACGAGGGAGTCCTAACAAAATGACTGATAAATGTCACAGGCGAATGCTATATCGGAAATGAATTATGATAGTGTACAGCGTATAAAATTACTGTTATTTTGTTACTAAATATGTCATATTGGTATACATGAAATAAGCGTAGTGATACTTTTCACATAATCATGGAGATTTGATTATTAATTTATATTATTGTAAATACCGATACCAATACTTTTTCTGTATCATGCCAGAACACTTTATTATATTACGCATTTTTAATGTTATATTCAGTAGTAATAACTCATGATTATGTATTCTGCCAAAGTATTCTTTCCTTTGGAGAACTACGTAAGGTTGAGATTGAGCTTTAGACAAAGCTATGCAATGGACCAATTTCAACGAAAGTTTGTACATATGATAACTACATGTACCACCTGAAGTTGTGCATCCGGGTATTATTTTTTCATTCTGACCTTTTTTTACAACGTTATGGCCTTTTGTTGAAAAGTCCTTGTCCGGACATTGCCTACAAAACTAAGGGGTCAATTTCAACGAAACTTTTCAGATATGATAACTACCGACCCTTTAAAAGGGAGTTATGGCCCTTCGTTGAAAAAACCTTTGTCTGCTTTATAAACTTCTGGGGCGATTTCAATGAACGTCAACAGATACGGTAATTACTCCATGATGTCGTGCATCAGGGTAGTTTTGTTTTCATTTTGACCCTTTTTAAGGAGTTATGGCCCTTTGTTAAAAATCTTTGTCTTGACAACTTTTCCTCAACTTCTAGGACGATTTCAGCAAAATTGGTTCATGCTAGGTAACAAGATTTGGTATGCAAGTATATTTTGGCATGGGTAGGGAGTACAGGAAGTATGTCCGTGACCTATATACTTAACTAATTACTCTTGTGAGACTATAGATTGCTTTTCAATGCTTTGCCTTAGTTAACCTTTAGCTTACAGTTCTGGTTTATATAGGAGCGGAGGTATTAGTGAGCCATTGGCTTACAGTTCTAGTTAATAATATTATTTTGCCTATTGCCCATTCAATTAAACAAAATATGAAGGAATACTGTATTACATTATTTTATATCGCTAACTCTAAATAAATAAGGTAAGGAAAAAATCCACGTCCGACTCACCGTACAAAATTTGTTTTAACACATTTAATTTCTGTGATCTTGAACGAAGGTCAAGGTCATCAACGTTTACAAAACTGAAATCCATTTACATGAACAACATACTTGCCAAATATTAAGACCCGAGGACCTTTGGTCATGACGAAACATAAGTTAAAGGAAAAGTGGAAAGAAAGCTATGGTTTATTTTGTGTTGTTGTTTTAGTCAAAAGTGTTATTTGACAAATTTACCGGTTGTCAATTTTTTTGAAATTTCTGATGTTGGAAGACATTTTCAAAAGCCAACTTTTTAGCAAGTATAAAAAAAATAGACTTGTTTTAGAAGTATGTACATCAACGTGTCAAAAATGGAAATGTTCTCATTAGTAATGAAATTCTGCTTAAATCTTCAAAGCGAAAGAACAATTCTTTCTTGAAATAGTGTAATATCCGGTATCAAAATTACAGTTGGAATATGTTGCACATGATGATGATATACTTTTATAGTAATTATGTCATTTAAATGCTCTAGGAGGAACTGTGTTACCGCACTTTTAACATTCACACAGGTGTAAGTCAATGAGGTCCCATTTATCATAAAATGAATTCTGAAACTAATTGTTCCTGATTTAAGCTTCCTATACCAATACCTTTTTGGATTTATCTTATTTTGGAGTTCCAAGCAGGGGCCGACGCTAATGTTAAATCTCCATAAGCGTTGATCCTACCTTTGTATAATTCGACTTTGAAATTACAAAACATTTTGGAAATGTTTCGAAACTCAGAATTCTGAAAATGTTTGTAATTTTAAAAAATGGTCTTACTGTCAGCAGGTAGGGAAGAGTGCATATCCAATCCAAAAGGAGGCCTTCGTGCGAAAACTTACGAAAACGGGTACCCTGAATTAAAAAAAGGAAACACTCGAATCAGTCTAGAGTGAAAACATGACTGTGAGAGTTACTGAAAATGCTGCGTATTGTCGTACATCCAAACAGATGCAATTTTCGTAAAATCATCTTAGCATCGATAAAACATATCACACATAAGTACAATGGAATGATTTTTCTATTTCACTTTACGTCTGTTCGCTCATCAACATGCGTCCTTATCATGGATACCTGAGGAGTGATGTACAGGCTAAGTATTCCTCTGAGAAACCATAAGCATGACAGTGTAATCTGTGTAACCCACAGTACGAACGGTCGCCGGACCCACAGCAAGAGATACCTGTAACATATACTGCCGCACTATACAAATGTATTGGTTATATTTACATTATATAATGAACAGATTGAAGGTCATTTTGACGATACATACATGGACGATCAGAAGACGGGTTTTATAATCACTACTATAAAAATGGCCTATATTAGTATCCTTAATCTGGTGGATTTTTGTAACACACAAAAACAGCTCGGCTATTTATGGTACGCCTTAAGTACATAAAATGCACATTATATATACAGGTACATGTATCATAAATAAAATCAATAAGAAATCATCAAGCGTTACCATGTAGAGTTCCGACCTTAAAGTGAAATGGAGTTAAACCATAAAAATGATGGAATGCACTTTCCTGAAGCAGGACGAGCGGGAAGAACTCGAGGCAAACAAGCGGAATTAAAATTCATTATAAACTAAATCTTTCTCACTGCAGGTAAACCACTATAGAGCTGTTTTCTTCCTACATCGGTTCCCTCACTTTCCTCCGAGTCTGGCCTCATTCCACTATTTTACCTCAGAAAACTGCTTTGGCGATTTATTTTTTATTTTTTATTTAAAGCTATTTATGTTTATGTTTATATTTCAGTTTGTCGATGAAAAATAAGATCAAGTTTAAACCAGCATTAAACATCAAGAAATTAAACTAAAGCTTAATGTACTATGTTGTATCAATAACTGTAGAGTAACACTAGGGTATACTTAGAGAACATTAGGATTACATACCAGTTGATGGCGTTGGATGAAAATGCCATTCTGTCCGTGTCCTTGGGTAGCTGTACGGTGGACACTGAGCAGTGTATCCCTCCACTGTTGGAAGTAATTGTCACATTTATGTCAAAACTAGACAGCAATCACGGTAAACATCGTTGATAGAGACGAGTCATTGATTAGGAAACGGTAACTAAATCAGACAAGTTAAACGAAGGTAAGAGTATCTATCTTTTAATCATGGTTATCTTAAAAATATTTTACCAAACACTCATCAAAACCTTACCAAACACTCATCAAAACCTTACCAAACATTCATCAAAACCTTACCAAACAGTAATCAAAACCTTACCAAACACTCATCAAAACCTTACCAAACACTCATCAAAACCTTACCAAACACTCATTAAAACCTTACCCAAAATCTTACCAAACACTCATCAAAACCTTACCCAAAACCTTACCAAACACTCATCAAAACCGTACCAAACACTCATCAAAATCTTACCAAACACTCATCAAAACCTTACCAAACATTCATCAAAACCTTACCAAACATTCATCAAAACCTTACGAAACATTCATCAAAACCTTACGAAACATTCATTAAAAACTTACCAAACACTCATCAAAACCTTACCAAACACTCATCAAAACCTTACGAAACATTCATCAAAACCTTACGAAACTTTCATCAAAACCTTACCAAACAGTCATCAAAACCTTACCAAACATTCATCAAAACCTTACATAACAATCATCAAAACCTTACCAAACATTCATCAAAACCTTACCAAACATTCATTAAAACCTTACCAAACATTCATCAAAACCTTATCAAACATTCATCAAAACCTTACCAAACATTCATCAAAACCGACCGATATCATGGTCCTGAAGATAACACAAACATAAATGCAAATACCCCAGTTAATACCAGTCACAAAGTTAAACATGTCAGTAATTGTCTTCGATGTATACCTTCAATTTTAATGTCTTAAAGATAAAAATTCTTACATGACCTCAACTGTCACTGTTCGTAACATGAAAATAAATATACATGTATATCAATGAAGTATCGCATGTAAACTGTCACATAAATAACAGATATGGCATGCATCGTTAAATGAATAGACATGAATGAATATGTAGCCCCCATTCTGTATCCACTGTCCTGAATATAAATCATTGTGAAGTTAGCAAAAGCTGTATTGAATTCCCGCTGAATGCGGCAATACATAATTTAATATTAATAGATCACAACACTTCTATCTTTGACGACTACCTGCCTGTGTATTATATTGTACAAAAAACAATTCAGAAAAAGAACGAGACCCTTAATCTTACCTTCACAAATACCACATTGGATGGTATAATTCATAACGAATTATATGAAAAACAAAAGAAACCTACATCTAACTCTCACAAAAGCACTCCTAAATGCTATAACGTATAGCAAATCACATGTATGAGAGGGGACAGACACAACACCAAACGCCCACAATAAACAACACCTGCATTTTGAAATGTATATCAAAAATTGTCATAAAGAACAGAAGTTACATTAAAAAACAAGAACTGATTTGAATGTTTCTCCAGTTACAATCAATCTGTCAATTACATTTTTCAGGAAACAAAGATTTCATAGTTCCTTGCCACCTCGGGTTAATAACGGTATGATTTGAATATATTCTCCTCAGTGTACATGCCTCTGCTTAGGTTATATAGGTTATATACTGTAAAATATCCATACGCTAAAGTCTATTTATTATTTATTTCGATAAATAGAATATATATTTAAGAATCATTCCATCGCTAAAAAATGCTAAATCTCGATAAGTGTAAGAGACACAACTCGAACTTTCCCCCACGCGAAAATGTCCACTGATAGAGTATACGAAGCGTTACTTACCATTGGTAGCTAATGTAGTCATCCAACTCTACTCTGATGACATACACCAAACATAGGGTAAAGGTCACAGCGAGGTCAAACAATCTAAATCCTAGACCTAGGTCAGACAAGAGATGCACATTAAATCATTTTATGACGTTTGTTACAAATGTAAATAAATGATATGATTGGATAAGTCAGAATAAATATGAATTCGTGTAACGTACCGTTGTATTTTGTATCAAAACACCATTACGTGTGCAAATTGAGACATTGACATTGGAAATTGTACGATTTCTTAAAGATAGCCTATCTTGGAACTTTTCCTTTGTTAAACTCATGTTCAATTAGAGAATTTTGAAATATATACATTTTTGGGTTAAAATCCATAATGATCTAAGTTTTGATCTAAAGAAACCTGTTTAACATGTAAAATTGATGTCGTAGTTATATTGACTGAATATTTCACTAAATTGTTCTTCATATACATGAACATGAATAAGAACATAACATATGTATAGGTCAAGAAAAATATAAATACATATCTATAAGCATACATTGAGACAGCCTGACATAGGTCAATACTCGTTAACTCACATGCACGGCAGTGATCGTTTGGTAATTTATATTTGATTTATAAACATGTATGGTATTCTAGTACTATGGTACCTTTATGTAAGCGGTAGTAAGGTGAAATGATGTACATTGTATAATGGTGATGTGGTAAGTGGAAGTCAGTAGTATAATCATATGTAGGTATATATAGGGCTAGATACGCTGTTGGCCAGGATAGGCAAGGTTCTCATGCGGGTTGTGATGGGGAACATATCTACGCCAAAGCTGTTTCCGCATAGGGCTCACATGAGAACATATCCCAAATTAATATATGCTCTTGGAACGTTCATAGAGGCATAGAAAATAAAATTATAGATGATAATTTTCTTAATATTTTTCAAGATTCAGATATAGTTTTTTTTAGTGAATGTTGGTTAAATAATTTAGATAATGTCAATGTTTAAGGTTTCGATTTTTTTCCACCTTTTAAGAGAAGTAAATGTAAAGGGGATGGCATGATATGTTTATTTAATTCATGGCTGACAGAGCATATAACGCTGAAAGAGGTAGTATCTGACAGTATTTTGTGGATAAAGCTAGATGGCAAGCTCTTTTTTGACACGGTATTTTTTCTGAGGATGTACATGTAGTTGACCTACAAAATATGTTGGATTTTTTAATCACTTATTCTCGACGTTGGAATTTATCTGTAAATGTAGACAAAACAAAAATAGTTGTTTTTAGGAAAAGTAAACGATTGTATCCAAACGAGCAGTGGATTTTTGATGGTAAAGCTATAGAAGTGGTAGATCAATTTTGCTATTTAGGTTTGGTTTTTAATTATAATTGTAAATTTACCATTGCATTGAATAAAAATGCTGTACAAAGAAGGAAAGCTTATTTTCTTCTTAATCGGAAAGCGAAAAGATTTTTGTTGCATGAAAAGACCAAGTTATCTTTATTTGATACTTATATATCATGTATTGTGAATTACGGGTGTGACGTATGGGGTTATAGTCCTGCACCGCAGATTGACAATATACATTTATTATTTTTGAAAACCGTATTGGGTGTCAGGAAAACAGTAAATAATACCATGGTGCATTTTGAACTTGGTCGTTACCCTTTGCATATACAGCGTAGGATTGCTATTGTAAAGTACTGGCTGCAAATATTAAAAACTAATAACTGTATTTTGAGGGCCTGTTACGATGAACTTTTAGAGCTTTAAACCAGGAAACCAAATTGTAAAGCAAATTGGGTTTATCATCTGAGACGTGATTTGTGTACGTTGGGTTTTGGAGATGTGTGGTTGGCACAATGTGTACCAAATGAGAAATCTTTTTTATTATTATATATACAACGCATAAAGGATATTTTTATTCAGGAAATGAGAAACATATTCGAGACATCTTCAAAATGTTTGTTGTATAAACACATTGTTGACAGTTTTGATCTACAATGGTATTTTACAAAACCGCTATTCAGAAAAAATAAATGTATTCTTGCTTAATATAGATTGCAAGCACATAACCTTAATATAGAGACAGGTAGATATAATGCAGTTCCTCGCAACCAGGGATTGTGTACTTTATGTGATCTTGGAGATGTCGAGGATGAGTTTCATTTCATTCTTATGTGTCCTGTGTTTTTAGAATTAAGAGTATCGTATATCAAGCCATATTATCGTATTCGTCCTTCTGTGTTTAAATTAATAGAGCTACTGTCTAGCAAATTTTTTAAACTTATTAGAAATTTAAGTAAGTACTTGATTCAGGCAACTGTTAAGAGAAGTCGTATATTATGAAATATAAGCTGTATCAAATTCTTGCTATAAACGTTTTGTTACTGTATAATGCGATTGAGATCTATGTCTTTTATTTCACAATGAGTTATAATCTCATTTCATTAAAGAATATATAGTACTCGTTCTACCTTCATGTTGAGGTGGTATGATTGACTTTGAAGTTTTGTTATTTCCTAGAAATTTGGTTAGATTAAGGCTTTATTTGTACTATTTCCTAAACGACTAAATTATGCTTCATAAGAGTCCGCTAAGTTACCTTAGGAAAACCTTAAAGTTTTCCAAAACTTATGCCAATTTCATAATTTGTAAATATTATGTAAGGAATTGAATCTATTGCATATGTTCTCCGCCATTGTACAAGATATTTGTAAAGTATTTATCTATATGTATATTTCTGTACACCTATATGCAATGTGCATTTGGTAATAAATTGAATTGAATTGAAATGAAGTATTAGTGTAAGCACGAGCATGGTATAATGGTATAATTGTCTCGTGGTACATGTATCTGGCAATGGCAGTATGGTACACTCATGTATATTTATAAGTGTCCTGTGTCCAATTGGTAGTTATTTATATAATCATGTCACTGTATGATGATAAAATAGTAAACGACAATAATGTCGGTCTATGTTTTTAGGTTTACACACGTGTAGGTACAGTAGCAACAATCGACATGTACTGTATACTAATAGTTAGAATTACTCACGTGTAGATGGTTTTCTGTAGAATATACGCCTCAGTCTTCCTTTAAGGGATAGTTCGTTAGAAAAGAATTTCCCATGCGAGGACCTTAAAGATGACAGACAAATGAACAAACAAAAACGACATAAGATATATATCCAGTTCATAGTCCCATCTTTTCCTTCCCTAACACAAATGCAAANAACACCAGCGATTCTACATGATAATAAGTGTTCATTAATATAATTAATATCACACATTAATATTAAAATCTACTTATTATTCATAAGACAGTATAAGGAAATAACCGGGGAAAGCACACAAAACGATGAATGAACTTTATTTTGTAATTCATTTAATTTGATAACATATATTATACATTATTTCAATATTATCGCAGATTTATGAAAGGGACAAAGTAAACATTTTTCGGTAAGGGGAGATGATAGCTGAACTTCATCCAGCTTTCACATGTCCATTACCCTAATGATATTTTTATTTCAATGTCAGCAACTAATCAGTAAAAGTGTTACAATCATTTTCCCTTCTTTTTGTAGAACATTCTGTATTATACACACAATCGTATATCAGTGTAGTTGTAAGTTGAAAATGGGAACAAAAACAAAACTAAAAAGCAGCACAATATTGAAGGAAAGATGGAATTTACCTTTGGTTTGCCTTAGTCAGGAGATTAATAAATATAATAACTTAAGCTTCTCCAATATCTTAGGATTTCCAAATGAAGCCACATTACAATATTCATGTTTGCATATTAAGGGCGTTCATAATATGATCATGTTCATATCTTTCCTCGCTTCAACCCTCAGTAACAGCATGAGGAACCAGATGTGAGAGGGCTGATATGGGCCAAATTAAACAACATGAGCAACAACATAAACCGGGTGTAAGTGAGAAACGGATATCAAATGAGTTAATCCAGAAGTATAAAGGATCAGGTGCGTGTCAGGAACCTATTGTACACGACAGGCGGATGTAGCGCGTGTTGGGCGGATAAAACGCTTGTGGGCTTATATGGTCCCGTTTGGAATATGTCCATATACAGTTTGCGACACCGCACACACAAAACAACCCATGTCACTGACAAACACATGACAGAATGATATAGAAAGTGAAATCAGCTTTCCAAGTGTGTACATTTTCCATTGTAGTCTTTTTTTTTCAAAATAGCTTTCCCTTTCCTGAGAGTACATTCTTGTTTCCACCAGACAGGTTTTTACCTTTTCGCAGTAAATTTTATGTCCACGTGCTTGCTCCAGATATCACGCTTTCCGCAATGTTACTGAATGTCAACGTAAAGGACAGGTTTGCGAGCCTTGTACGTTGATAAAGAATACAATCATATTTTACGGCCGCCATCATGATTAAATTGGAAAATATTCTATGTGGTTATCAACCTTTTGTATATGCTCATTTCTCCTTATTTGCGACGTGACACTTCATTAGTTTAACCTATTAACATGGTGGGTGTGGATGCCTACCCCTCCGGAACACATGCTTACCTTACGAAATTCACTTGTTTTGTTGTTGTTGTATATTAAATTAAAATGAAAAAATATCATATATGAAACCTAGTAGTGCCTGATAAGGAGTACCGAACTCTCTTTGTCAGTTTACAATCATCTCAATACGTGCAAGAACTAAATAGGATTTTGTTTCAAATTGTCTGTAAATGTTTACGAATATATTTTCCCTATAGCACGTTTTATAATTATAACCCGATATCAACGACAACCTTTTCACCCACCTATCCTATCATTATTTTTATAACATACATTTCTTTCGACATCTCTTTTACCATGAAACATTATCCACATTTTCATTTCGTAGTGTTAGTTTTCAGTTGTTCACGTCTGATGCCGACGACACCGGATATTGAGAACGTTATTGCACGTTGCTTACACGTGTACCTCGTGGCATACAGTCAACAAAAAGGTCGTTTGGAAGAAAAATTAACATAAGGGTTATTACAAACATGAATATCGAATACCGGCTCCCTGGTGTTATTAAATTAACTTGTATGCATAACTTAAATAAAAAAAAAGTGCGCACAAATTTTGCACAGAAAGTCGATGGTGAACAAAATCGTAGATGGCGCAAACTCTTCTTGCTATGACATTTAAGAAACCAGATGTGGCACTATCACATCGTTATACAACTTTATCGTTTCTTCTACCTTAAACACGAGAGTAAGGGTTCTCGAACCACTGCTTAAAACTGTAACTATGAATTTGAAACGTTTTGTATAAGTAGGACAATAGCTTTAATCAATATTTTCTGAAAGAAAATCATATTTTGATTAAATTTTAAGAAAAGTATCTTTAGTATGAAATTCAAATTAGTGATAAGTGTTTTTTTTAGTAAATGTGTAATGGGGGCCGATCACCATTTGAACCCTGGACCTCTTATTAAAATACGGTCACCCTTACCAGCTGATTTACCTAACCAGCGGTAGCTCTTTATCCTACCATTCCAAAGTCAAAGAGCCATTGTTTGAATTAATATACATATTGTAATTATTTAGTGTGTTCCGTTGCATCTTTGTCCTGGTTCGTGCAAAGACTCATTTGTGTGACGTTATCATTATTTTCTGTTGTATAGATTAGACTATTCAACACTTAGTCGGTGAATGCTTCTAGTAACGGATAATAAAACAGCGACTAAACGTTGTATCATTATCACATTTGTACTATTGGTTTTCCCAATTGTATGCAATAAACATGCAATTTAAAGTGGTAGGCTTATTCTAGCACTTATCGTGGTTTTTTTTAAATTGCGCTAAATATATTTGTAAAGAATGCACAACTTAAACTTTCTGTATAATGTTCTTTATTGAATAAGTAGTGATTGCACCTTATCATCAATGCCCTAATCTGTTGAATAAGTAGTGGTTGCACCTAATCGTCAATGCCCTAATCTGTTGAATAAGTAGTGGTTGCACCTTATCATCAATGCCTTAATCTGTTGAAATGCGTCAATGTAATAATGTATTTTTGTATGCCTGTTTAACAACCAGATGTATAACTGACACTGTAGGAATTCTTTTTTTCATATGCTGTAAAGCGCCTCAGAGTAATTTTGCAGGTTATATAGGGGGCTATATAAATTTTGTACTACTGTATCATTTTAATAATGCGTTTCAATTTGTGTGCGCTAAAATAGTATGCTTCCAGTAACATAAATACCATGTTCGGAAAATTTAATTAAAAAAAATAAAATTAAAAAAAATAAAATATAAGCGAACGCGCGTTATTCATTTTAACTGCAATCAAGAATGCTGCTTAATGCTTAAATAACCATTAGATAAAACAATGTTTACATGTACATAGAGACAAGCATCCTGGATATCCAGAGGTTAGGCTCACTTTTGCTCTCTACACCCCTGCAATATGTCGGGCACGAAGGTCTTTGATTGGTGTCAGGTAACAAAAAAATGACCAATCGCTAAGATTACAAAGGATAGATTCCCGACTCAAAGCCCTTTCAATGTTAACCGTTGCGTGACCGCGAGATTCTTTTGATGTACATATATTACAGGTATATTACACGGCTACCGAGCGCATAATAACTAAAAACATGGCGTATTTGTGTTCTCCAGACAGATTCACATATTTCAGTATCTCTTATGTCAACAAACTATATAGATAACATGTATGGAACGGAGCAGACGACCTAGCGACATTGTATATGAGTATGTATTGATGATGTAACAATATAATTACTGATATTCTGCATGTACATAAGTGTGTCTGAACAATATAGGTAGCATTATAATTACGTTAATATATCTATATCTCAAGGTATACACAGTATTAACTATCAAAAATGAAAATATTACGCACTATATTGAATAAAGTATGACATAAGTGTGTATTTATGCATAACATAATAATTACTGAGACTCTACATGCATATAAGTTTGTATTGTTACCTATATTAAGTAACAATATAATACCGCATATGTAACTAGAACACTGACAGATCAGTAAGTGCTCCGTCTTGTGGCAATATATCCCCCATAATCATCAAGTAGCAATCTGCTCATATACCTGAGCTTGACGTTTGACATTTGGAGTTCAAAAAGAATCACAAGGAAGCAAACTATACATTTTTCATGTACTATGATGTGTTTCTTGTTTCCTTCCACCTCCATATTTCCTGGGCTAACAGAAATGTAAATACCGGTGCAATACTCATTTGTTAGCTTTGGTTTATTTCAATTCACCTTAAATACCTCCTCCATCAAGAGCCAAGGTCAAAGTCCGAGATCCACTTTGTCTTTGACCTTTGGACCCAAATAGCATTGACCTTTAATCCAGTGACCCTGATCTTTGGTCAGTTGACTTATTCTTTAATTTTGACCAACTTTGCTTCATCATGTCATAACAAAATGTTCATCAGTGAAAATATGAAAAAATTTGACCTTGACCTTTCAACCTTATGACATTGACCTTTGACCTTGACTGTTTACCTCAGTGTGTCTCTTTGTTTAATTCCGACCAACTTTGCTTAATAATGTAATACAATGCTCCTTTGTGAAAAGCTACAAATTTGTTGACCTTGACCTTAACCCAGTGACCTTGACCTGATGACCTTGACCTTTAACCAGTTGACTCCTTGTTCATTTCTGATCAACTTTACTTCATCACGTCGTAACAAAATGTTCATCAGTGAAAAGATGCAAAATTTGACATTGACCTTTGACCTTTGACATAATGACCTTGAACTTTTTATGAACTGAACATCATGACCAAGTTTCATGTAAATCGATCAATAAATACCAAAGTTATCAGCCAGAAAGAAAGTTTGTGGACAGACGGAGGGACAGACATACGGACAGACAGATGGACAGACAGACAGATGGACAGACAGCAGAGTGATTAATATAGGGCACCCGTTTCTCTGATACGGGGCCCTATTTATATATTCAGGTCCCTAATTATATATCCATGTATACATTAGATATTAAATATTATCCATTAAAATTTAAAGCATTTCATTGAAAATTGTATGATGGTAATATAAGTACGATGAAAATAAAAAGCAAAATGGAGTGGTAAATTGTTAGTGAAATGTTCAATATGAAAAAGTTCACCCCACTTTCTGACAAAACTCTAGGAAGAATAACGACATTGTGATCGACTCTAAACGGAGGCACTGACTAGATTGTCATTGGATTTACAACGATTTCAATCAACACTTTCAAAAATGATCTTAAGTTTTGTCAAAACAAAACGAGTAAACAAACAGGCAAGTGTCTTCTGTTTCATCGACTAAACCCGCCATTCCGGTCAAATACAAATAATATAACGCCTCCAAAGCGAAACTGAGTTCAGTGTGAAATACTTACTAACTAGCATAATAAAAAATATAGACAATTCGATTACACGAGAAAAGCAAATGTTGCAGTTAGTTCACGATGGCCTCCATTAAACTTCCCCATAGTCTTTATTAACCTGCTCCAAGCTCTGACCTGTACGTTTGTCCGTCAGTAATCAAAATCCGTCGCGAATAATGATGTGTTGAATAAGTTCTGGAATACCAAATTAACTGCGACATGAAAACACCGTTTTAAGGAAAGCAGGGGTTTTACTAACCAGAAAGGGAAAAGTTCACGATCGAAAAGTCAAAATTGTTCCGCTTATCGTACAGCTCATTAGTAAGCTTCTTTCCATAAATACTTTTAGTAAGTTTGTATAGATTCATTCAACGTTCTGGCTAAAGAAAGAAATATTTTTGTGTATGAAATATCACAAGCCTATCTATTATTAATCACAAACAAGATAAATGAGCAAGTACACGCACATCTTATAAAGAGGACCTAAAGGTTCTTTATCAGAAATATATCTATACATGTTAATCATTTATGTTTAGTGTAGACTCGTACATACTTGTCTACAAAATATGTCAACGTAACTATATATGTACAAAACATATGCATTACGTGTAAGACATATTTACATTAGCATTGTGCATATTAATAAAAATATGACATAAGTTAATATACCGATACTGACACCATGAATATAAATGGTAAATAGATTCGTATTCATTTGGGAGACAGCTTAAAATTGATATTAGAAATTGATCGATTTCGTTAACAGACATATCAATATAAGTACTAGAGGTGTTGCTCCATAAGAGATAAATAGCAAACTAATGATTATAAGTAGGGGAGGGATTTATATCAATAGAATACCGATAAAACGTGGCCTAATATAAATGTTAGGCAGATCAATACAACTGGGAGACAGATTAAGATAAATTGGAGACGGCTTAATTAACATATTTTGGAACGAATTAAGATAGATAGGAGTCGAATTCACATAAATAGGAGATGGATTAAGATAGATTTGGGACGGATTATCAATTATTATAGTGTATAGATATAATTATTTTGAGAGACAAATTGATATAAGCGGAACACATACAGATAAAAATGAAATACAAATGATTATTTTTATGAATTTGAGTAAGATCAAAACAATCCAGAGACGAATTAATTTGAATGAGAGATTGGTTGATACAAAATGGAATGAAAAACGTAATTCAAGTCTGTAACGATATTATAATAAAATCAAAACATTAATATCATATTCTTTCATTATCATCTTGATATAATAACTATTTTTGAATAAAGATTATACAATATACTATATAAATGTGTTATACTGACGGAAAGCAGGAGAGGATCGTCATCCTTTGTCGGCGTTAGAGCTTTGTCCAGACCCTACTGTTGTGACATGTATTTGGTTGGACTCCAGATAGATAACATCTGAAACACACTTTCTGGCACTTTATATGGTTTTATCTCAGCCAATGATGTTCGCCGAATTCATCACAACGATGCTTAAATTTCACGTTATTGAAAACGTGATGTATTATATACTTATTGACTTACGCACTTTGTTTAAATTCTTAAAATGAATATAATTGTTTCTATCCAGTGCTTTCTAGCGGGTATATTTGTAAGCATACACAACTAATACAATATCCGTTTTTACTCTAGGGTGTCCTCGTCTGTCCACTGTTTGAAATACCTGAATAGTTTTAGCATAATGAAGTTATGTTTGTATTATTGTGACCATGAATACGGAAAACAAGTTTTCTTTATGAGTAAACATGTTTAATTTACAGACGTGGCCAACCGATACGTTGCATTTCTTGTATTGAAACCTACTGACTATTCAAACACGAAGTTTCAGCTTATAGTTGCATGTAAATGTATAATACAGTGCTACTCAAGTTTGTCATAATGTATTATACTATTCCCAAAACTTAAAGATGCTAACACCTTGGTGTAACGTCCATCTACCAATGTATAAGATGGTAGACTCTGCTGACGGATTAATTTATCCCAAAAACTTGCCGTTACATTGATGGCCACGTAAAGGAAGCACTATTCACAATATGAACATTTTGCATCTTAACTTCTGTTTCAACAGTAGTTTAACCTATTTGGATATCAAACGTGTTGTCCCCTTGCATCACCCGTGAACCCTTTAAGGACAAAACATCTGTATATTGTTTGTTCTATTATCAAATATAACAGATGCAATCACATGTTTATGTCTTACGTCAATGTATATACAGTAGATCGACGCTCCATATTTGTTAAAACGCAGTTGTAATTACCTTTATTACGCTAATCTATTGTTCCCCTGTAATTTATTCATTTCACTATCCCTTAGCTATGGTTGATAATGTTGGTTACGATGAAAGGTAACAGATTTATATAAGTGTTTTGACACTTGTTTCTGTCTCCAATTCATTTATGTTTAATCATATTATGTATTACATATGTTATGTGAATAAAACATCTATTGTTCAAATTTTAGACTAAAACAAAAACTATCGTGTTTATCATTTCGAGATCTTTCTGAATCCCTTAATTTGTACTTTTTAAATTAAGATGAAAATGTTAGTTATGAAAAATGAAGGTTATATTCGAGAAGAAGAATTCCTCTTCGAAGCTGTTTGTTCGACTTGGAGTGTTCTCATTTATATTAACATAATGAAGATGAAACAACATAAACGGAAATAATTCCCAAGATATTCACCATTCATTTTGATATGTTGCAAACACAACCCTTTGTATCAATATTGGTAAGGTTTAGGATAGCTCGAGTTTTGCTGCTTATTTCTTTATTTATCTATAAATCTTAATGAGTGTTTTCCAAATATTCAAACGTTGAACAGCGTAATAATGTAAAGGGAATTCCGAGATGCTTTTTATATGACATACATATGGCTTTAATAAACATAATCTCTTACTTTTAATACTATAGTGATCTTACGAAAATTGATACAAGTTATATATAAGTACAGTGCATTTGAATATTTATGACATGATTTTCACATTTTCGAACCTAGGAACAAGATGAACTTGCATGTTAGTACTCAGAATTTTGTTTTCTATTTCACAATATGAAGGTTCACCAACGCTTGTTTTACTGGTTATGATTCTATCATTCTATACTATCCACACTGTCGCTTGAAACTTAATTCAGCGATGTTAACATTTCAGTGGACATGTGGACTGCCGAGTGTCCTGTCCCTGCTAAAATACCGTGTACATTTAGTTTCTTCAAATATCTAGATCGCAAAATTAAAATCCACTTAAATCTATTTTTCCAAAATGTAAGCCTCCGTAAATAGTCCGCTATACGAAATCTAAATATTTACCCAATACTATCCAATATAAAGTTAAATGTACCCAATACGAGTTACGATGTCATGCGGACCCGGGTATTTTTTGGCAAGATCGTCGTTATTTGGAAATTCTTGATTCAATCTATTTCATTTCAAAATACTCATTGCTAATTGGAAACAAAGATATATACAATTATTATATAAGAAATAAAACAATACGTGTATTAACAAAGGGACCAGACAACAGACTTAGCCTATAACATGTAAGTCGTTTCCTGTAGATACCGGTATCCAACAATTTTTACTTCATTAATATATTGAAGTTATGGGTGGAAGATAGGACAATAACGAAAAACAATGATTTATTAACTATAATGAACGAACACATATACTCACTCACTCTCAAACTATCATTCGTAATTGGTATATTTTATATCGTTAAAACTTGCATTTATAAAAATATTACTTATAAATTGAGAATAGTTTAGTTTTTTAAATAGGAACTAGTATTTTGTTTTTGTAATTGTTTATTTTTCGACGATTTTTTCATAATACATATAATCATGAAAAGAAACACACACACACACACACACTCACACACACACACTCACACACACACACACACACTCACACACACACACTCACACACACACACACACACACACACACACACACACACACACACACACACACACACACACACACACACACACACACACTCAAACTTACAGAGCATATATGCTAGCACGAGATATCTTCATAATCTACACATGCACAGGTCAGGTATACATCTAAACCATCATATTCTGCATATCTATTTATTAAACATTTCCTCATTCACCTACCCGTAGATGATATGCGCTATATATCTAAAAAGTATAGTTCAAACTTCAAATCCTACCATAGTACATGTATCACTGTTCACCAACATACACACACACACATCACAATGTGTTCATGATCATTTGAGCACTGATATATCTCCATTGTAGACACTAATACATGTTACTGCACTGTATACATGTTCGATAATAGCCCTTCAATTGTATAAACATAAGGTCCATGATGTATCAAATAGGAACTGTTATGATTAAGTATATTTTTATCAGTTTCTTTAGACATACCAACGACACCATGACAACATGAAGATTTACAAATCCTAATAGATTATACACAGAGAAGATGTGATGTCTAAAATACCTATAAAGAGGACAGAGAAGAAAAAGTGTATTGTTTTTTTTCTATATTTTGCACCACATGAATAGGAACTCAAGCTATGTTTCATTCACGAATAGAACAGTAAACGAATGGATACACATTAGTGAAATGCTTTTCTTAGCCTAGCCATATTTTTTAATGTCTTAACAACAATATATTGTACCTATTAACAAGTAAACTATGTCTGGAAAGAGTGCTGGAATATTTCATTAGTGGTAGATAGTAGGACAATAACGGAAAAAAACCCACTATACCCACTCACTCTCATACTTTACCATTTGAACTTGTAATATGTTGTATTATTAAAACTTACATAAAGCCATTACGTAAAAATTCATTTAAAAAATATATAAAAAAAATAGTCGCGAGTAGCAACTTATTAAGCATTATAGTTATACCGGTATTTTGAAAACTTTTGAATTCTTATATATGTGTGTAAATACTTGTATTCAAGTTTCGTTGTTCCTTTTTTTATTATTTCGTTACCATTTTGATGAAATTTTAACCTTTTATTATTTCTGGGTTATAGAGTGTTCCATGTATATAAAGTGTATGCCTATTTTTGTCTCAATAGTGAATGACTATTAGTTCTATAAGAACTACAAATAATTTAAAAACGAGGGTTATTTATCATCAAGATAATTATTTGAAGCTCAATATTGGCTATTATCTAACTGTGTAATTTTACTTTTTTCCTAACATGAAACCATCTGAACAAATTATGTGATTACCAGTGATTTCTTTTGTAAAGCGGATGGGAATCATAAAGTTACACATCCGTACACACCTGTTTCATTTAGACAACAGTATAGTCATCATCAGATCATACGCAGAAACAGGATATAGAAGACGAGTTCCATTTTACTTTGATTTTTCCATTTTATAGCGATTTGAGGCGCAGATAAATTAAAAATACTATTACAAAAAAACACAATTTTAAAATGAATACCTACTTAGTATAAATCATGTTAGAGAGCTATCATATTGAGGTAAATACTGTTATTTGGCATTCAAGAGGCGTTAATTATAGGTTTATGTATTGTGTGCTGCTTCATAACTGTAATCGTTAATTAAGTATTGTTATATTCACATTATTGAACGGTGTTTTATGTATACTGTGATGTCACTCTCCTGTCTATTCTAATTATGTTTAGAGAATTTTATATGAATGTATACATGGATGTATGTACCTATAAGCCCAAGGGCTTTTGGTTAAAAAAAGAATGAATGAATGAAGGTAGGGATTACGTGTCATCTGAACCAGTTTCACACCTGACCATTGGTTGGCAGGTTATGCTTGCTACAAATAACAATAACCTCTGTATTTCTTTGATTTCTCCTCGAATTATTGTACATCATTCCAGCGATAAATTACTTCATAAATAATAAAGTTCATTTTTCTATATTTTATCCGATATGATAACGATATATTATTGTATATAATTTCCGCGATAATTAACTTCGTAAAAAATGAAATTCATATTTCTATATTTTATCCAATATATATAACAAAGATAAATTATTGTATATCATTCCCGTAATAATTGATATAATTACTTCATAAATGATTAAATATATCTTGCTATAATTTTTCCAATATAACAACAATAAATTATTGTATATCATTTCCGTCATGATTTACATCATAAATAATAAAAATACATTTACAAGTACGCCCGATTAAGATCTACATATATTTAACTTTAATTGTATACTTATTTGGTATATCAGTTTTATTGAGTGTTTACTTTCTTAGTATTGGGTTGTATTGGGTAAATCGACGTTTGTATTGGGAAGTATTGGGTAGTTGGGAAGTATAGGGTTTTATTGGGTAAATCGACGTTTGTATTAGGTAGTATTGGGTTGTATTGNCAAATCGCAAAATTAAAATCCACTTTAATCTATTTTTCCAAAATGTTAGCCTCCGTACATAGTCCGCTATACGGAAACTAAATATTCACCTCAAGAACGGTCCATCATCGAAAAATACACAACCACACATATTGCGTGTTATTACCATATTTCCCCCATGTAGTGAGTGGGTGAGGATGAGCGGAGTGTATCGTCTTTTGTTAGAACTTGTTCCCAATCTCTTTAATGTTTTTAATTAAATATTTTTGAATGAATTTAATTTATCGTACACAAACACATACCTGCATGTAAAATACATAGCAGATTTAGGATGGAGAAGAAGCACCAGTATAAACGTTACAAAAAATCAGACTTAACATTCGGCTGGGTCGTTGACTTCAGTGAAAAAAGTGGACGACATATTTACTTGATCACCATTTACTGTAGCTGACAGTCGTACACTGTACACCAGTCTTTAATATGAGTTTACTTAAGATGCACATCATGTTCTTGGACGTTCATAATAGCTTATTTAGTTTCATGTTCGCCACGCGCTGCGTCCTATATTGGACAACACTCCGTCTAGTACACAAACAATATGTCTGACCTTGACTTGTTACGTCAGCACTTTAATATAACTGAAATATGATCGAATTAAAAAATGTGCCACCTTGAAGAACCTTGACGATTTGCGGAGTGTAAGATGTTGATTGCAAATTTGTTTGTAATATAATTCCCATAATACAATCTACAACGTAGATTGCTTTTCAATATGGCGTAAGATAATGCTTACACATTTTCTTCACTTCTGGGTGGTATACAAATAAACTCGGGTAAAACAGTTGAACGAGTGAAAACACTATAACCTATCGATTCAAGTTTTTAATAAATAATTTTGATATATTGAATAAGACTTGATATATATATATATATATTTAAAAAGGTTCCTATGCTACTTATGGAGTACATATACATGGTTTATTATGAATAATGTGTAGATATAAAGGTGTTAAGCTTAGCAAGCTTTGTGGACTTCTGAACATTAATGTTTTGCTAGGCCATCAAACACTCACGGCAGGTGATCATTATTGGAGGTAAACGATATACAATTCACCATCTGCATCCCATAAATCAGCGCATCTCCCTTCGAGGTCTATACAAATATTCGGCAAGCTCGTTTTAACTTTAATTGACAATAAACAAACGCGCACCCTTGCTGCCAAGCTGTTTTCTGTGTGACGAAGTGACACCTTACAAAATACTGTTTAATTTCAAATAAACAAACACCCGATACAAAACCGCATGCTTTTGTGCTCGTGTTTGGGTCATGGGAAAGCCAAACAGATGCAGAAGAAAACATCAGCAGGGTGTGTTGACGATCGGACAAGAGTATCACTGATGGTTTAAGTGAAGCTACGGATGCAAAGACCTACACCAGGAGGTCGACATATCATTAACTTTAAGTAAACAGATAGGTTTGTATCGTGTCAGTAGCAACAGTTCCATGCATATTTAAAGTATCACTATAACGATATATAACGAAAACAATCTGCCATTTTGTTTAGATTCCTCTATTGAATAACTCGGACACGTGCATAACATTCTTACACAAAACATAACCTAGTAGTCTCAGATATATAATTGGTGTCATGACTAAGGTTTCATAGAGATTTAAGTCTAGAAACTTCTGTAGGATCTCGCATTCAAAATGTAACACTTAAAGGAGATTTACATAGTGCTTCGATTTAAAAGTTAGTAACACTGACGTAGCGTACGATTTTGTCAATGTTGTCAAATATCAAGAAATTAATGATACCATACGGCACGACTTACGCTTTAAAACTCTACTTGTTAAATGAATTGATGAATAATATAAGAAAAACTACACAAAAGACAAATCAACACCAAAACATGTCAGTTACAGCTCTTGGTACACAAGTAGTACAAACATGTATGTAGTTGCTGTTAAACCAAGAATTCGGCTTAAAACTTTCCAAATCAAATCAACCAGACCGTAAGTTTAAGCTATGAACCAAGGAAAGTGTGCCCGGATTTAGAAGAATTAATATTATTGTCAATACCTTTTTGGCGTCACTGAATGGCGAGGATAGATATACCTCATCAGCAACAAGAGGCCCATGGGCCTTAACGGTCACCTGAGTCCTACACTATTTATTTTTGTTGTTGAAATATGTACCAATTTGAGTAAAAAATAGTATAATGTTAACTTAACTTTGTCAGGACCATGAGGCGATCATTCCTACCAACTTTCAGTTCAATCGGCCCAGCAGAACTTGACTTTAAGTTTGAAATGTAAAAAGTTAACGGACGACGACGGACGAAAACGGATAGCAATAGGTCACTTGAGCTAAAGCTCAGGTGACCTAAAAATTCAATCTGGTTTTCAAGGCACAAGTCATAGCGATCATCGCCCACAAGCATGGGATACGAGAAAAAAAGAGATGACAAGCATAAACAAAATTGTCAGGATCATTCGGTATCTTATTAACATCTATTGTTGTCATCGAAGTATTGACATACACTACACTCATTAGTATGCTTCAAAGCGTTTTATGTCGTACATTGTATACATGAGTAACCTTTTTCTCATTCACCCCTGCCGACACATTTGAACTCTTCCAATTCAAAGTTTTGAATATTCCATTATGAAATTTCAGGGGTGAATGAGTTAACCTCTACCCGTGAGTACATAAAACGTTAAGTGCTTTTAGATAATTTGCAAACAACACCCATCTCTTGATTTCGAGGAAAACATAACACCTGGTGGTCCACGAAATGATTTGATAAGTCTTTTTTTTTTATCGTTTGTTCTTTTTGTTATTCCCGTACCGTTTCCCTTTTTATCGACTTGCGATCCCGTTCTTGTGCATTGACGCTGTGAACTCTTTTTGTATATTATTGCAACACAAAATTAATTGGAATGGTGATCGCCATTTTCGTTCCAGTTTGCTTTTGTTTGCTTGTGTTTTACGTCCTTTAACAGCAAGGACGTGTCCATTTTTTGTTGGGGTGAAAACCGGAGTGACCGCCAGACTTGCGGCGAATATGATACCCCACGTACGTAGGCCTCGAACCCGCGACCCAGTGGTGGAGGACCAGTGCTCGTAAACGGTCAAACACCTAAACCACTCGGCCACTATGTTTTTGTACTGAGGATTTTTTTCTATGTTATATCGGTACGGAATTTCCTAGTTTACCCTTAATATATTGCAAAACAATTTCTAATACATGTTCATCTTTATTACGCCGTCATTATGATACAAAAATAACAGGTGAATATTCATATCCAGCACGTTTGTACTTCCAATACTGGTTCACTAAACTCAGTTTTATTATTATTATCATCTTTCCAATACAGATAATTAGCACCTTACGATTTCAATTAAAACAATCAATGATTATTATAGAATATATTTCTTTCAAACTAATACAACCCAACATTATCATTATATATAGTTTTTTCCCAGTCTACAATCTACATACACATACCATGTAAAGTGTACATAAATGCCATCAATCAATTATTATAAAAAAAAGAGTAAAAGGTAAGTATGCATAAACTTGAATACATAATCATATCCAGCATATTTAAATTTCAAATACTGGTAAGAAAAAAATAAAATGTTCTTCTATCCTATACAGATTCCTGATTATTTTTCTAGTTATGTAACACCTTTCGATTTCAAATTAATGCATCCCAACGGCATCATTATATCATCCCCTTTTCAATTTCAGTGACTATGTTAGTACACTAAGCATGTAAAATATACGTAAATTGTATCCACAATTCATTATTATACAAGAAAAGGTACATATATGTTGTACAGGCATACATGTTCATATTAAGTTTGTACTTCAAACATTCCTAAATGAAACCCAAAGGTATATTTTATAGTTTAAAATGTTATTGGCATCTTAACATTTCAATTAAAGAATTCAGGATTGTTATACAATGTATTTCTTCCAGTGTATATATACATGGTCACATTGATCACACATGTATTAAAGATCATATTAAGTAAAGTACCTTTATGTTACCAATACTGTTCATTAGCACCTTAAGATTTCAAGTAAACAAAAACAATTATTATTATACAATAAATTTCTTCCAGTGTGTTTAACACCTATAGACTTCATATTAATACAACCCAACATCATCGTTTCCTATATATTCTTTTCGACTCCAGAGGCTATGTAAATACATGTAGCATGTAAATTATCGTTAATGTAATGAGTCTTACAAAAATAAAAGCTATGTGATACTACTTTGTACAGGCATACACGATCAAAGTATGTTTGTTTATCCACTTTTGGTAGATAAAACCTAACTGTATCATTTTTCTACTTTCAGGAACTGTTAATTAGTAGTCCTTAATGTTTCATTAGAAAAAAAGATAATTATTACAATAGATTTCGTTCAGTGTGTTTAACACTATTATTAAGTTATTTAAATCAAATTATTAAGTATATATATATCTTTAATCTTTTCACTTCAAGTGGCTATGTAAATACTTAACACGTCTGCATTTTAGACAATCTGCACAGACGTCATATGTTAATACTACACTTTATTTATTCATTTTTGTGCACATTGCGATGTTTGTCGTCTGGCTTAATGTATAATTGTGATTGTGAGCCATTTTTGTTTAACAATTATAACTAATACTATTATCCATATGTTGTAAAGCGCTTTAGAGTAATTTTACATATTATAATAATATAAGGCGCTATATAAATGTTGTATATTAATATTATTACCTGTAGCATATAAATTGTACATAAATGCAGTTCATGGTTCATTATAATACAAAAATAGCATGTAATTATATTTTGATTGTACATGCATACATGATCATATTCAGTACCTTTGAACTTTAAACACTAGTTAAAAAAATATGATCATTTTCTTCTTTTCAATAGTTAATTAGCATCTTTATTTCAATTATAAATAATAAATTAATGATTATTACACAATATATTTTGTCTAGTGTGTTCAACACCTTTAGATTTCAAATTAATACAACCCAACATCATCATTATGTATATAAAATCTTTCCATTTCCAACCTACATACAAGTACATGTATCATGTAAATATTACATAAATGCAGGTCATGATTCATTAGAATACAAAAATAGCAAGCATACATGATCATATTCAGTACCTTTAAACTTTAAACACTGGTAATAAATATGATCATTTTCTTCTTTTCAATACAGTTAATTAGCATCTTGATTAAATCGTTTTCAATTAAAAACAATTAATTAATGATTATCACACAATATATTTTGTATTGTGTATTCAACATCTTTAAATTTCAAATTAATACAACCTAACAAAAACAAAATGTAAATACATGCATGGTGGTGGTTGGAGTAAACTTTAGGCACTGGTTAAAAATAATGACTTCAGCAACTGGTCCCTGAGTGACAAAATGGAGTACCCCATTGGGTTTATATTTAAAGTGAACAGCACCATAAGTATTAGGCACGTTTCCGTCAATTCAAATACAGAGGAAAACTACGTTTGTCTACTTTGCATTGTATTTTGATTCAAGTATGAGAGTAAAATTCATAATATTCATAAACAAGCCATTCAGATTGATAAGTCCTGCTTTGACCACCAGACATATCAGAGAAACTAAGTTAAATGCAAAAACTTTATGTTGATGGAGATGCTGACAAAGTCATTGGACCATGAAAAGTAGGTCGCATCCAGCATTTGATGCATGGGTTAAGATGTACTATCTAAGATGCGTCTATGGTCCAAGTATGGTTGGTGTAGCACTTATACTTTCAGAGAAACTAACTTAAACACAAAAACTTAATGTTGACGCCATTGTCGCCGGCAAAGCAACACCTTAGTCTCGCTTCCACTTCATGGCGGCGAGACAAAAATACTGATACAGGTATAGTGGCTGAATATACCTTTTTATAAATTCAGAAAAAAGTCTTTTTAGTTTTTATCTACAGCCCACATGTAAACATGTCACATCACAAATGTCAACCAGCAGACTCTTGTGTTCTTTGTTAGGTAAAATTGCTACATTTCATAATACATATATTACATCATACACCACTGTAAATAATCGACGCTCCAACTCATATACACTGTTCATTAGAACTGTATACATTACCTTTTGTCTTATTGACCTTGAGACATTATTCTGTATTCTTGCATCAGATTAATTCTCCTTTAAACTGTTCCCCACATTACTTTCCATTGAGACATCATTCCCTATAATTTTGGTTATGCTCTAGCTTTCAGTTCATTGTTTCTATTTTAACACCTACATCCTGTATGGTTGGTTGCCACGGCGCCCACGCCATCACCTTAGACAGAATAAGGCTATCAGGGTTAACAGTCGTTGGGACTGCATCAAACGACTGCAAGGACATCTGAGCAGCAAGAAGTCCTGTCTTCACGCAGAGCTCAATGTCATGACCTTGAATGATCCCAGAGATTATACCAGCAGTCAGACTGTAAACAAAAGAACATGCATAAATATTTGATTTCCATTATTTCAGAATTAGAGATTTATGAGCTAAATATAATATATGTAACACCAATCTACACACCAATCTACAACTAGAACACTGACAGGTCAAAAAGGGCCCAGTCTTGTGGCAATATACTCCCCATAATCATAAAGAAGCAATCTGCCCATATAGCTGAGCTTGAAGTTTGACGTTTGGACTTCAAAATGTATCACAAGGAATAAAATAAACATTTTACATGTACTATGATGTGAGTCTTGTTTCCTTCCACCTCCATATTTGCTGGGCAAACAGAAATGTAAATACCGGTGCAATACTCATTTGTTAGCTTTGATTTGTTTTATTTCACCTTAAATACCTCCTCCATCAAGAGCCAGGGTCAAAGTCTGAGATCCACTTTGTCGTTGACGTTTGTACCCAAATGACCCTGACCTTTAACCCAGTGACCCTGATCTTAGGTCAGTTGACTTATTCTTTAATTCCGACCAACTTTGCTTCATAATATCATAAAAAAAAGTTCATCAGTGAAAAATACAAAACTTGACCTTGACCCTTTGGACCCCGTAACCTAGACCTTAGGTCAGTTGACTCTGTATTAAGTTCTGAACATTTTTGCTTCATAATAACTTTAAAAAAAGTTCATCAGTAAAAAAATACAATATTTGACATTGACATTTGACATTGACCCAGTGACCTCGACCTTAAGTCAGTTGACTCTTGTTAAATTCCGACCAACTTTGCTTCATAATGTTATAATAAAATGTTCATCAGTAAAAAGATACAAAATTTGACTGTCTTTTGATCCAGTGACCTTGACCTTTGGTCAAATGACTCCTTATTTAATTCTGACCAATTCAACATTGCTTCAAAGTGTCATAACGAAATGTTCACCAGTGAAAAGATACTCAATTTGACCTTTGACCCCTGTGACCTTGACCTTAAATCAGTTGACCCTTTGTTAAATTTCGACCAACTTTGCTTCATAATGTCATAACAAAATGTTCATCAGGGAAAAGATACAAAATTTGACCTTTACCTTTGACCCAGTGACATTGACCTTTGGTCAATTGATTCCTTTTTTATTTCTGAGCAACATTGCTTTTAAGTGTCATAACCAAATGTTCAACAGTGAAAAGATACAAAATTTTGCCTTGACCTTTGACCCAATGACCTTTACCCTTTGTCAGTTGACTCCTTGTTTAATTTTGATCAACTTTGTTTCATCATGACAAAATGTTCATCAGTGAAAAGATGCAAAATTTGACCTTGACCTTTCAACCTAATGATCTTGAACTTTGACCTCAAGTTTTTGCCTCAACTTGTCTCTTTGTTTAATTCCAACCAACTTTGCTTCATAATGTCATAAAATTCTCATGAGTGAAAAGCTTCAAAATTTGACCTTTATCTTTGACCTTCACCTTTGATCAGTTGACTCCTGGGTTAATTCTGATCAACTTTGCCTCATCATGTCATAACAAAATGTTCATCAGTAAGAATATGCAAAATTTGACCTGGACCTTTGAATCTAATGACCTTGACCTTGACTTTTTACCTCTGTGTGTATTTTTGTGAACTGAACATCTTGACCAAGTTTCATGTAAATCGGTCAATAAATACCAAGTTATCAGCCAGGAACAAAATTTGTGGATGGACGGACGACAGACAGATGGACAGACGGATGGACGGACAGAGTGATCACTATAGGGCATCCGTATCTTCGATACAGGGGCCTATTTATGTGTCTGAATTATGGAAGAAGTATGAAGGTGAGAAAATGTTGGCATGAATTTTTTAAATTAATCTTTCTGACGGTTTTTAATTCTCAGAAACATGTACTCCGTCATAATATACAAACATTTGTTTATTATATCTATTCTACCATATAAAACTGTAATTGAATTTACTTCCTGTATCTATGATTTAAACTCACCCAGATGTCTAGTTTTTCTAAAAGATATTGTTCTTTAGCAATTATCTATCACCTGATTCCTCATTTCAGTTTGACAAATATTTTGCCGTGTAATGCTCGATATCATAATTTATGGTAGCTATAGCCAATGATACAGTCTTGCAAGTTAAACATGAATGCATGTGGAAATGATTAGATATAATTGCACACAAAAGTTTCTTCATTTGAAACAAGAGATCCCAGCGGCATCTTGGCACCCACCATTGTACCCACTTTATTAATTATATATTCTTCTTTTCTCTTATCTGTTTGAACAGTTCGCCTGTCTGCCATCTTAATCAATCATTTCATCAACCTCAAAAGTCAACATGCACAACTCAGGACCAAGGGGGACCTATACATATCAAATAAGAGGTAAATTCTGAGATATAGCGATAACAAACTGTAACAAGATGGCTGGCCGATATGATTTGATATACATAACTAAGAACAAGAGAAATTCTTATGTGAAAAGAAAGATCCCTCCAATACTTTTTGAGCAATAGGGCTAAAATACTTTTACTCCCAAATTCAATATGACCACCTGCCAGCCGTCTTGGTTTTCCAATCATCCCCAAAATTTGAAATGCGGAACTACGAACCATTGGGAACTTTCATGTGAAATGTGAGAAAGACCCTCCTGAACATTCTAAGAAATAACACTAACAAACTTTCATTCTCAAATTCAAGATAGCCATCTAATGGCCATCTTGGTTCTCTCTTCTGTCCCAAAATTTAATATGCGTAACTAGGGATCATGGGGAACTTTCATGTAAAATTTTAGAAAGACCCGTACAGAATTTTCTGATAAACGGCGATAACAAATAAACTCCAAAATTCAAGATGGCTTCCTGTTGGCCATTTTGGTTTTGTGATCAGTCCCAAAAAACTATATGCATAACTATGAATCATTGGGAAACTAGATGTGAACTTAGAGAAATATCCCTTCAATAATTTATGAGAAATAGTGCTAACGAACTTTCATTCTCAAATTCAGGATGGCTGGCTGTCGGCCATCTTGGTTTCGGGATCTGTCCCATAATACGATATGCATAACTAGAGATCATGAGGAAACTTCGCGTAACATTTGAGAAAGATCCATCCAGTACTTTCTGAAATATAAAGTGAACAAATTTTAACTTTCAAATTAAAGATGGCTGCCTGTCGGCCATTTTGGTTTTGCGATCAGTCCCAAAAGACAACATGCATCACTAGGGATCATGGGAGACCTTCATGTGAAATTTGAGAAAGATCCCTCAAGTGATTTCTGAGAAATAGTGCTCACAAGAATTGTTTAAGGATGGACGGAATGACCACGGACTACAGATGCAGGGTGATTTGAATTGCCCACCATCATCAGCTTACTGATCCAAGGCAAGCCATTTACTGCTCAATTGTTTACGTTATAAGGAGGCTTTTAGAAGAGCATTGCATGTGCATGGTTGATTGTTCAACAAGACATGGTTATTAAGGAAAGAGTTGTAACATTGCAAATGTGTTTGAATATATTTAATTGTCTTTTAATACCAACTTTCTATAGTAAGAGTCAGAAAAAATAAAGAGCAGTGAACAAGAGGGTTTATATTCCTCATATTGTTGTAGGCTAGAAAAACTTAGTAAAAATAGTAAATGCTATACAGTTTACACCTACAGTAGCATTAAAAGTTGTTCAGTGAACATTACAACCCGTGAAATTAAGCAAATTATTAATCCTTATAATTACCATACCACATTGGGCCAGGCTACTGGACCTCATTTCCACGAAAAAGGAATCCCCAAAAATTACCCATTTTAACAAATCTATGACAATCAGGAGCTGTGAAAAGAAATGAATCATGCTGGCCGATAAAGGTCATTTATAGAAAACAAAATTAATCTTTATTTGTTAGACTCTATAAATAAGAGGATAAACTGACCAGTCTCCGGCCCCTGACACACTGACTAACTGTTTAGGCATGTTGTCTGGACTGGCCGCAGGATAGTGGACAAAGGTCATTCCACCAGCCTGCAACAAACAAAAAATTTGACATCTGTTAAGTTGACTGAGTGTATGATTATGAACATTCAGGTGTTTGCTACAAAACTTGCCAACTATTTCAATTTTGGACCCTAAAATTGAGCATTTTCAACAAGTTTCATCAAAATGTTTTCAAAAGTTTCATAGTTACAGCTAAAGCAGGCTTTTACTGAAATTTGCACTTATTTGACCTTTGACTTGGAGGTGAAGGTCATCATAACCTTATTACAATGCACTGCTCACCTTTGGCAAGTACACTCCAGGTTTAAATAAATATCTTTAACAGCTTAAAACTTATGGTGTGGATAACATTTTGTTTGAAACTTCACCATTATTTGATCTTTGAACCGAGTCACAATATGACCTTTTAGGGCTCCACCCCTAGGACCCTAGGGTTGAGTCAGGGTCTTCATTTTCATACCAACAACCTACAATCACATGATAATCATTCCAACCAAGTTTGAATTGTTTCCAAGAATTTTAAATAGAACCTTTAGACTTTTCCATTAATGAAGAGTGTTTTACTCTAGCACATCTGGGTTAAAAGATCATAACAGGTCAATTAAGACAGATGACCTAAAAATTAAGATTATTTTTCGATGTCTCTGCTAGCTAGGAGTCGATACGGGTTTACTTGTCTTATGCTCTACCAAATACGCTTAAGAGAAATTCTCTCTAGCCGAGTCTGTAGGAAGCAGCCAGTATTTTACCTGAGTGACATACCTTAATGCTGTCTCCCCTAGTAGGGAACCTGTTCATATCCGAGTTTCGACACAGCAACAGGCCGTGCTTTCCCAAGGTCACAATCAGAACTGGCACTTTCTCCATCACAGGTTTAGACAGTCTTATACTTTCATCTAGGACTGCTTCAAGGTTGTCCAAGTCTATCTGTGCTGTAAAGGATAAGAATTGTAAATCAATAGCAAGAGGCCATCAATGGGCCTGTATCTTCAAAAGATAATCCGGGTCAAATCTATTAAAATAGGCTCAATTTTACTACTTCACGAATTATGGGTATTTGTTGAAATATTTACTCTACACTTTAGGAAACTCCTTTGTAATTTCAACATATTTCTTTAACCTCAGACTTTCAAAGTTGGTTTTTCAAGGTCATTCATTCAGATTTCGAACTTAATACCAATTTAAACCATTAAGCCACATGCCAAATATGAGGACCTTGGGCCACTTCATCATTCAGAAGAGGTTGTTTAAAGGAATTAACGGCCAAATTCGACCCCTGTGACCATGAAATTAAATGGGTCAAGGTCATTCATTAAATCACACCCTTAATCCCAGCATGCTACTGGCCAAATATCATTACCCAAGGCTTCTTGGTTATTCAGATAAAGTGGAAAGTTATTTCAAGTACAAAGTTGAGATCATGCAGATGGACAGAGGCTACAAAACAGCACAAAACCAGGAGACAGTGAACTTTATTTAATGGCAGAATTTTAAGAGTGAGCATCAATAGTGACTGTATTTTCACCTTTCTGTTACTGGAAATTCTGAAACGAGTTTGTATAATAATAATAAATAATGTGAGGTTCTTATACATCGCTTTATCAGAACCTAGTTCGTAGGTCGTCTCAAAGCGGTTCACAAATTATTATTGTGGTTATAGGGCCTTTGCAACCAGCCAAAATCTTTCTCAACTCCCTGGGGAGCATACAGCTGGTGCTGCCATTTCAGTGCTTATAGCTAGCATTCTACAATTCTAGCACTGCCCAACCACATACTCATTTACGGCTGAGTAGACTGGAACAAGCTGAGTTAAAGTATCTTGCTCAAAAAAACAACACAGTGCCGCGACTCGAACTGCAGGCAACCCTTTGGTCACGAGCCCTGCATCCTACCACTAGACTACCGTGCCTCCTAATAAAAGTTTGGTGATACCTTAACCTTATTAAAACATGAATGCTATTTTTCACTGTGATGGGAAATCTACCTACCTGATTGTACATGCGATACACCCGTTACAGCTTGGTACATCTGTTGAAGTTCATGAAGGTTAGGTGACACGTAGGTTGGCAGTTTCTTTACTCCAGCACCAAAAGGTTTCCCTGCTTTGTGTACGTCTGTCGGTTCAAACCAAACTGTAATCAAATTCACATAGATCAATTATTTATTGGAAAATCAAAATATATGAAGGTTATATCATATCATTATACATATCCGTTATCAGCCTGAGAGGATATGACATGATCAGCCACAGGAAAGAAGGGTGTTATATCAGAAAGAGGAACCCCATGTCCTGAGGGCTGATATTGGACTTTAAAATTGATATGAAAATGTCTTCAGTAATTAGAAACGATACTTTTAGGAGTAAACTAAAAATTGTATCAGATAAAAAAATATATGCTCCGAAAAATCCGTATTATGACTTTAATTTTAGACCAGGCATTGAAGGAAACATCTGCCTAAAACACGTCCTCTGTCTAAGAAGACAGTCTTTCATTTGTTTATGCAATAATTATTTTTTTATAATGTGGATGTTAAAATAAACCCTGTACACAGTAATATAATCTATCAAAATAAATCAGTTATACTTAATGTACCTGGGACAGAAGCCTTGCTACACAGTTGGCATACGTGTTGGATGGTCTCAGCAGGAATGTTACCGTCAACACACACAAGGGGAGCACTGGCAAGCTCTTCCTCAAATCCTGACACCTGCCAAATACACACAAACATCATAGGTCATTTCTTAAAACTATGACCCTTTGATTTAATAATAATAATAATAATAACAATTTGAGGTTCTTATATACCGCTTTATCACAACCCATATCCTCTCAAAGTGGTTCATAAATTATTATTTGTGGTTTTAGGGCCTTTGCAACCAGCCAACATCTTTCTCAACTCCCTGGGGAGCATACAGCCGGTGCTGCCATTTCGGCACTCACAGCTAACATTATTCAATTCTAGCACTGCCCAACCATGTACGCATTTACAGCTGAGTAGACTGGAAAGCTGAGTAGACTGGAACAAGCGGAGTAAAGTACAGTATCTTGCTCAAACATACAACACAGTACTAGTGCTGTGCCGTAACTCAAACCCACAACCCAGTCACGAGCCCGGCGTCCTACAACTAGACTACCGTGCCTCCCTGAGAGTGGTACACCTAATATGTACATGTGCATATAAGGGGGAGAGATGGGGACCTCACCATTTCCTCCTCAATAAGTACACATCATACATTGTATGTCACCAATAGATACAAGGGGAGATAACTCAGTTCTTCCTGAAACCTGACAGCATTCAAACACTCACATCATGCATTAGAGATGATTACAGCACACAAAAAGGGGGTGGGAGGCATTCACAAAGACCTTCTCACACATCATACACTCTACTTCCTCAATAAACATTTTAGGGAGTGCCATCACATTCTTAACAAAACAATTTAGTGGAGTAAGTTTTTTTTTAATTTTGTCACAAAATTCCTCAGGTTAATATAGTTTGATACGTTTTTAACCAGTAATAAAGAAATCCGTAACTGTACAACCATACTTTTTTAGCTTCAGCTGTTGGTAAAGTTCTAGTTAACAAAAATGCCATTATCAACTACGTAAACAGTTTTAGGGAAATATATATTTTCAGTATATACAGCATATTTCATTACTTTGCTACAAATGCTCAGATTGGAAATAGGGCATATACTGCTAAAAAGGAATTTCTGTGGTGTTGAAATGCTCATGTTTTTTGTATAGAGTATTTCTTGGAGAAATATATACACATCACAATATTTATCTATATAACATACATATGGAATGTACATATAAAGAATACAACCTGCAAATTTCCACACTGCAATCAGTAAGTATAACTCATTCACCCCTGAAGAGAACTCCAATTCAAAGGATGGAATAGTTCATTATGAAATTCCAGGGGTGAATGAATAAAGAGTCACACCAAAAGTGCACGAAAATTTTCCACATGTAGGAACTTCCACTTTTTACAGAAGACACATTGTTATTCATTTCTGATTTAGATTATGCAAAGTTAATGTAAATAAATTTAGGAACTTCAGAACATTAACGATGACATTGTCCACTTACCATCTCAGATGTGACTGTTTGGTGGATGTCCATATCACCGATACCAAATATCAGTTCTCCTGTCCTCTTCAGCACAGCACAGTAGGTGGCTGTGGTCTGGTCGTCCCTGACCGCAACACCGCTCAGATCCTGTCAAACCACAGGAATTACTGAAATTAACTTACGCAGCTGATTGTACTATTACAATTGTATAAATCATAGAGCAGAATGGGGACTGATCTTAGCCGAACAAGGTCAATCAAGCGGAAAATGTAGGTCAGAATCAGCATCTGAAGCATGTCATGTGTGAAGTATCCTTAGATACATAGGCATGCAAGTTAAGTTTTTGTTTTTATACTTAAACTTTTACAATTTTACAACAATTCTGAAACAAGTTCTATCAACTTGAATTTTTAACGCTATTGTTGGTCCAGATGGTAGCATCCAGGGGGTTCTTAATTTGGTAGGAAAACAGAGAACCTAGGGAAAAACCACGTGGTTAGACAGGTGACCCGTACATTTCTAATCCAATCTGTAAATCAAACAATAGCCCCCTTGGTGAAAGACGAGTGCGTTATCCACGAGTGCGTTATCCACTGCGCAATCTAACTACCCAAGTTAAGTTATTATTGTATGCCTGATGCATTTCTTTGTTGAATTATTCAGTAATACAAATGTTGATTGGTTAAATTTTACATAGAAAAATCTTTAAAATAGGTATTATCTTAATATTTATTAAATATGAAAGACAAATCACAAGAGGCTTACCATATGACTACTATAGTGCTGGAATGCTGGCTTGTGTGAGTCATTGCCCACAGCGGAGATAAACAACGGGTTGACTCCAAGACGACTGAGGCAATCACCAAGGTTTCTCCCCACACCTCCAAAGGACTGCCGCACACCACCAGGGTAGGTTCCTCCGTCAGTCTACAGGGGCAGATAACTTAATACAAGTATCAAACAACATGGCAGACAACTCAATGTCAGTGTACAGGGTACATAACTAATTACAAGTACCAGCCTTCATGGCAGACAACTCAATGCCAGTGTACAGGGTAGATAACTAATTACAAGTATCAGCCTACATGGCAGACAACTCAATGTAAGTGTACAGGGTACATAACTAATTACAAGGTTCAGCCTTCATGGCAGACAACTCAATGTCAGGGTACAGGGGAGATAACTAATTACAAGGATCAGCCTTCATGGCAGACAACTCAATGCCAGTGTACAGGGTAGATAACTAATTACAACTATCGGGCTGAATGGCAGACAAATCAATGTCAGTGTACAGGGTACGTAACTAATTACAAGTTTCAGCCTTCATGGCAGACAACTCAATGTCAGGGTACAGGGGAGATAACTAATTACAAGGATCAGCCTTCATGGCAGACAACTCAATGTCAGTGGGGTAGATAACTAATTACAAGTATCGGGCTGAATGGCAAACAAATCAATGTCAGTGTACAGGGTACGTAACTAATTACAAGTTTCAGCCTTCATGGCAGACAACTCAATGCCAGTGTACAGGGTAGATAACTAATTACATGTATCAGCCTTCATGGCAGACAACTCAATGTCAGTGTACAGGGTAGATAACTAATTACAAGTATCAACCTATATGGCAGACAATTCAATGTCAGTGGGGTAGATAACTAATCACAAGTATCAGCTTACATAGGAGACAACTAATTGTTAGTGTAAAAGGCAGATAACTCATCATATATATAATTAAGAGAGATAACTTCAGACAAGTCATTATTTTGTATATAACATGTATCAAAATTAAAAATAAATTAAAAATCAGCACTAAAATTGGCATATAATGTTTATCTGAGGCATGCCCTTTATTTTTAGGATCCGACCATTTCTACTGTACTTTGCTACCTCATGGGAGACAAATTACTGTTAGTGTACATGGGATATAACTCATTATCCACATACTCATACATGTTTGAAAGACGATGTGTTGTTAGTAAACAGGGGAGGTAACTCATTATCAACATAATCATACCTGTCTAAGAGATAATTTATTGTACAGGGGAGATGTCAACGACAAATAATTATTTCTGTAGAGGGGAGATAACTCTGTACTAATCAGCTTAAATGGGAGACAATTCATTATCAACTTTTAATAAACACTGACGGTGACATTGAGCTCTATCTCAGCTCATATAATAGTGATAGCAAATGTGAGATAGCATCTGAAATATCAAACAACATATTTGTGTGATGTCATGATTAATATTATACCGGTAAATCCTTATCATAGCGCTTACCGCAAAAGTGTCTTTATTCACCATTGCATAAAAATCTACATTGATTCCTCCAATCACAACCTGTAATTGAAATAAAAGAGAAATAAGTCCACTTTACAAAACAAAGTTACAGAATATAAGTTCTGAATCGATAATAAACAAAACGTTATTCCTTTGAAGTTTCAATTTCGTGAATAAGAAATACTTTATATGCTATCTGGAATGTTTTTCCTGAATTGAATAAATCAATTTGAAGTATCAAAGTTTGTTTGTAGTTAAAACGTCTACAGAATAGCTATGGAACGTGTACAGTGATGGATTAGACAGATGGCTATAGGGAAGTTCTGTCGAAAAGAAAAATAGATAGGTCCCAAGTGTTTCATTGTTCTTTTAAAAGCAGATTAAGTCAGAAAAGAAACCTGTCAATTCTGTATTTAACCAGGAAATCTACTTTGAGTAGTCTGCCTGATCTTTTTAAATTTACTTGATGAATGTTAATGCAAAGTTTTAAAATTAACTAATTCAAATTTTGTAAAATGCAGCAATTTGCAACAGTTTGAATTTTCCTTCTTAAGAATACCGTACCGATTTCTGTTTTCTTTCAAAATTTTCACATGAAGTGAATTTAATACATAAGGATTTTATGATAAAACAACGTAAAAAGCCTATCATACCACTCTGCCCTTGCCTTTGACAGACTGCTGAGCTGGTGACCTCGACTTTATATGTGGTCGTACTGTAGTGACATCATCACTTTCTGTGTTGGTTGCGCCATCTGGTGAGGATTTCCTGTAGATAGATAACTGTTTGGCTATCTGACTACCCACCCTGGCATTGTTTCTGATGAGTGCAATGTCTTAAATGAAGTAAAGGATTACAACATGTATACCAAATATGCATGGGGGTGCATTGCAGCTTATTTTCTAATGTGGCACTTCCCTTTGTATAGAACTGTGGTATGTGAATGTCACATAAGTATCTTCTACTTCTACTTCTAACTGTATTGCATTGTATCTTCATAGCGTTAAAGGACAGCTCTTAACTCCCAATGCTAGTATGACAATGGAGCATAATTGCGCACGTGTGTTCTGTTTAAAAGCCAGGCGTAAAGAGACCATGCTGAGATGTCACAGCGATAATATCTTATAATGTTGCTGCACAAGGTCTCATGCAGGCCCAGTTAACAGTCCAAGGGAGTTAAATCTCCCGAAATTCACCACAGCTATATGAACAGTTAAGCAGTGAACTGGCTGAAAATGGTGATTTAAGGGTCCAAATTAGAGAGTTTGCAAGTATGTATATTACATAATATTGAAGGATGACCCTGCCTCTGAGATGTCACTTTAAATGATTATGTCTATTTTTGTTCACGTATCAGGGAAGGATACTAGCAACCAGGGAGGCTCCTTTTGTGATTTCATTGACCTGTTGAAGTATAAATGGAGTGACTTCCTTTCCAGATATTCCTGCCTCACTGAAATATAACATAAAATCAATTAGGGCCTTATATGATATATTTTTGACAGTATATTCCCAATTCTATGACAGTGACCTTTACCTAAGGAACTTTCTAAACCCCTATTGTACATCTGCACATCACAGTGTATCACCATGTGAAATTTTAGATATTTTGGCCATCTGTATCATGAGATAATCTCCGGAAATGGAAGCGTGACGGCCTGACGGACAAACAGACAGACGGACACACAATGTGGGGGAGGGGGGTTAATATTTCTTGTAACATGATGAATACCTGAAACTATGTTTCTGAGTGAGATAATATGAAATCACACATCCTTAGAGCACAAATAGGCCTTTTGAGTTACACTAGTGTATGCTGAAATCAAATCTTTGTGTTTCAAATGTAAAACAAATCAATTAAGTTGGTCATTTTCAGTCAACGCTCTGCGACATCTTTAATTATCCATATACTGTGAAAAATAATAGAGCGCCATTTTACACAAAAGAAAACATCAAATCTAATTTCACTAAAAGTCTTAAAAACGTTTATTAGGTCATGCCAGATATTGGAGATATTATAGACTGTCACCTCTTTTGAAATCAACTGATGATTTATTTACAGATGATCTCGTTTTGAAAGAGTATTGATAGTATATAAATGACCTGGCAACTATTAATGCCTGTGTCACATATCTGTAAGGCCTTACCTCATCTTTGTCATCTCTGTATGACCTTCCTATGTCACATATATCTGTATGATCTTCATCTTGCCTTTGTCACATTAATATCTGTAATATATATGACCTTTACCTTGCCTTTGTCACATTAATATATATGACCTTTACCTTGCCTTTGTCAAATTAATATCTATGACCTTTACCTTGCCTTTGTCACATTAATATCTATGACCTTTACCTTGCCTTTGCTACAAAATCTGTATGACCTTTACCTTGCCTTTGTCACAGCTATCTGTATGACCTTTACCTTGCCTTTGTCACATTAATATCTATAACCTTTATTTTGCCTTTGTCACATTAGCATCTTTGACCTTTACCTTGCCTTTGCCACAGCTATCTGTATGGCCTTTACCTTGCCTTTGTCACATTAATATCTATGACCTTTACCTTGCCTTTGCCACAGCTATCTGTATGGCATCTTCTAGAAGCTTCCCTTGGCCTGCCTGATCCTCTGGTATAGGGACTGCTATAAGGACACCACTCTCCAGGCCAAGTCTGTGGTGAGCATCTATGGACAAAAATAGAAATCACACATTATTATATCGAGTCATCAGCAGTACTGCAAAGCATTCTACCAACACACACTAATAACTCCATAAATAAAGCAATCAGTGACCACAGGCACAAGCTTGAAATAATATGGTAAAATATTACTGCCTATATTCTCCCAATTGAATGTCCGTTTAGGCGGGTACTATATGATCCTATTGACTATTTTTCTTTCTTTTTCTTTTTCTTTTTTACAATTAACATCAATCTAGACTGACCACATTTATTAACAAACATACATACTTACCAATCAATCTTGCTGCCCTGGACGGGTCCTCAACATTATATGGGGCCAAGAATCCACTCCTCGGGGAGAAGAATGCAGGAAAATCTCGACTGGGTCCATAGCTAGCCACACACACGCCTTGTGTCTCCTGTAGATCAGAAATAAGACACTTCTTATAGAGGGCTGTTCATCTATACATAATCGTATTTGTGTAGATTGCTGACAACCACCAACACCTTGCAAGTCCTTAAATGATCATGTAGCTATTAATCGGATGTAAAACACACACATAAATAAAGCAATCTTCTTCATTGGGAGCCAAATGCTTACCAGGAATTCCAGAGTTCTGGCGATGTCCAGTATTGACTTGACCCCTGAGGACACCACAGTGACCGGTGTCCGACCAAGCTCTGTCAGGTCAGCACTCACGTCCATTGCTGCATAATGTAATTAACATACTATAAACAGGACATACAAAGGTTTAAAGAGTGCAACGAATATTCACAATTTTTCTCATTTAGCAACCTGAACAGGCAATCACAGAAATTATGAATTTAATTCAAAGAAAACATTTGTATATTTACCACTGAAAAACATCCTCCAATTAATTTTCCCTCCATTTTTAGTTGATATTTTTAACTTTATGTCCTTTTTCACTAGTCATAAAGAGATGGGTTTCATTTAAATGTGATTTTTTATTAAATTAGCTTTAGTATGTGGGCCATGAACATTCTGTGAACAGTATATTCATAGTTCTGCATTCAAATTGATAAATGCAAAATACATCTGCCAAGAGAGAAATAATATGATCTAAATCCATTGATTAGAACAACAATATCTGAGTATTTCTGTACACTATATCATAATGACATACTGGCTTCCACTCCCCTATGGACACCGCCGATTCCGCCGGTGACAAACACAGAGATCCCGGCCATGTTAGCTGCCACCATCGTACCAGAGACTGTCGTCCCTCCATCACGTCCCTGGATATATGCAAGATACATGTAGTTGGTTATATTTGTAGTGTATTTAACTAATTGATACATCAAAAATATATTCTACATGCATTTGAAATAATTGTTTTACAAAATCATGATATAAAATGTTCTTTATAAGACGACTTGTATATTTTTTTATTTTTTTTTGGCAAACACTAATTTTTCAAAAATGTCTTGGCCGAAGTTTGAATTGAGAGATAGCAGCTAAAGCTAGGACAGTCTACTTTGTTGACCATTAATATGCTGTAAACAAATTTACTCATCACCATTAACATCAGTAGAGATGTATACTTACTTCTGATATTACAATAGGGAGATCTTGCCTTGACGTTTTAATAACAGATCTGGATGGTGTTGCTAAATACTCCAGTTCTTCAGCACTCAAACCTGGTCAGCACAAGCAAATTATGAATATACAAACCTGAGGAGTTAACAAACTAAAACACTGTCAGGTCAGCAAGGCCATCACCATGTGCCTGACCGTTACCCCCATAGTCTATTTTTAGTAACACTGACCTTGACCTTTATGACTTTTATGACTTAACCCTTTCATCCCTATGTAACTCTAATAACCTCTACCATAAATTGATCTGGATGTCCATTATTGTCTACAGTGCTGAAAGGGTTTAACCTGTAATACACATCTACATATCACAGTGAATAACCATGCTACATTTCAAAAAGATTTTCAGCCTCAAAAAGTACCTGCGCAAATTACATGGGGTTTTACGGTAGTCTTTTGAATTCTTAGATAATCTCTGGAAATAAAAGTGTGGACAGACGGTTTGGTTTGGTTTGGTTAAGTATATTGTTTAACGTCCTATCAACAGCTATGGACTGACACTGTGATTATTATAACGCATCCGCAGGATCCATCTCCAACGTGGAGTCGTAATTATACCCAAATCTGATAAACAAACACAAATTATAATCAAACCTGTTAAACAAATATAAAGGTATATTTTAACCTGATACACACATAATCATACTTAAACCTGATAACTAAACAAGTAATAATAAACAAACCTTCCTATAATCCAGTTTGGTGCTCACGGGACAATTATACATACCTACTTTAATCTTTCCAGCCAGAATACCAATGGTGGCGGGGATGGAGTCATTTTCTCGTACAATGGTTTCAACCTCCTGGGCTGTCCTAAACACCAAACATTACGGAACTATTAGAATTCTACAGATTAACCAAATGTGGGAGCAGGGACTGGCACTACGGAGGTTGTTTCCCAGTGGAGAAATGTAAATTGAAGTCAAGGATCTCAAATGAATGCCTCCCACATACATATGATCTTGATAAAATGAGGTTCAGCAAGCTTCTTTAGGCTTCTTGTCCCACTAGAGGCAAAACACTAGAAAAAGTCAAATGAATTTTAAGGCATACAGTAGCTTCCCTTTATTCCATCTTTGATATAACTGTAGTGGGAATGGGTAAGATAACTACTGATGATCAAATAACTTGGTTGCTTGGAGTGAACCTTTTGTGATCGGAGGTCCAGGGTTTGAATCCCGATCTGACACCATAGTGGGTTTTACTCCAAAACACTGAGTTGACATCTCTTTTGTTTATTTCATCTTTTAATATCTTTTTGTCATAAAAGTTCTGCAAAGTATTGGTTTCTGTTCAGAAATGATTCACTAATGCTATTATCATGCAGATGGTAAAAAAATTCCAGTCCTTGGATCTTTTAATGTTTCATTAAACTGTTAAGTACAGCAAAGTCATTATTTTTTAAAAGCAATATTCCAAGCTGCGATTTCCAAACAAGAGACCTAGAGGGCCTGTATCACTCACCTGGATTATAAGCAACCATTGGGAAAAATTATCATCAAATATAACACTGCAACTACATGTATTTCCAAATATTGGCTCCCTCTCTCAACAACACCCTGTCCCTCATTGGGTCCCTTCTTACTGCCCCACTGAAGTGGGGTGAATTTTAAACATTTATTTCAATTACCCTAATATAGCCCTGCCCCTCTCCTCTCAGGGGACACATCCTCCATCTATACAAAATTGATTCCACATTGCCCAAGAATGCTCTGTTTGCTTAAAAAACCTTGAAATGTACTGAAGGAGACAGAGGATTTGAAAGATTTACGTCAATTTCCCCCAAAGGACAACAGACGCCGCACCACGTACAGCATAAACTCACTTGCCCTTAGTGCAAACTAACTAACTATTATATTTCATGTTTTACTGCTGAATCCTGCCAAATAAACAATACCTGAGGTTTTCAGGGTAGGGCATTCCATGTGTGATGATAGTACTTTCCAAGGCAACCACAGGCTTCCCATAATGCACAGCAGATTTGACCTCTTCGGATAATTGAACTATACCTGCGAAAAATATGAAATGGACTGAGTACAGGAGAGTGAGTACAACCTTCAGTACGATAGATTGTTTAATCAAAAGTTTAATGGCTATAACAACACCAGAATACAATTAATTGAAAAGAGTTTCTGTTTGAAATTGTGCATTTGATATTTTCAAAAAGATGTAATAATAAATAGGTAACAGGAAAGAGAGTAGTGTGCTTTCACCAGGGACCAACCCTGCAACCCCCAGCTTACCTGCGAGTCTGCCGCTCTAAGGATCGAGCGGCTAGATAGTATATTCTATTTCTAAATATGAAATCCCCCCCAGTATATTGTGATGGGCCGATGATCAATTATAATTGAAAATCAATTGGTTTTACCTCTTGTGTTCTGAACGATCACAAATTCCATAATAAATATATCATTTCAAGTGTTAAAGGTGTACAATGTACAGTATACATTGAAAATCACCTTTTCTTCTTCTAAATTTTCATTTGTTGGCTGTAATCCATTCATTATAAAAGAAGGAGACCTTATGTAAAGTGAACACCTCTGTTAATAGTGGATGTAATAATTACATCATTGTCACTTAATTTGGGTATTCATGCAGTCCTATTAAAACATTAAATAATTAATTCATCAATAATTGATACTTTCGCTTACTAAACTACTTACTGACAAATTACTTAGTATTTTAAACAGATTGTCCATCTGCATCAGTTTATAATTTATGACACGATGAACCTGTATCAATGGCTGAACATATAAAACCCACCATTTTGAAGTGACCTCCTGCCATAAGAATCACAAAAACTTCTGACAGATCTGAGAAATCCAAGAGTGGACAAAGATGACCGCAGCATTCTGTAGAATTGACCATCACATGAATGTTCCTTCAAGGTCGTTCACTGTATCTTCGTTAATATCTGTTGATGGGCAAAATACAAAACGATGTGGAATCGACAGGAGTGTCAATACAAACAGGAATACATTACGGGTCGTCAACTTAGCTACATTGTTCAATGTAAGGTGTAGGACTTGAGCATATATACTTGCCAATTTTTTTAAAATTTCCATGGGGTAGAGTTTACATATTCAAATAAAAAAGCATAAATATAATGGGTATATTGTACAGAGAAGGGAAAAAATAACCCTTTTCAAATGGCGTCTTTGAACTGTTCATTCCAATGAAATTGATAGATCTTAGGAAATAGGAATGTAGTTTAGCAAATTAATTGGCTGAAAATGTTCAATTTTAGGATCCAAAATATGTCCCTACAAAATAGGGAGAGTTAACGTTACCAAGTGTGCTTTAGCAGTGTTTATTAACAGCAGCATATACAGTACTTTCATCAAATGGGAAAATATAGCAAATTATTGAAAAAGGGAAGATATTCCTCTTTTTTCTTCATTTTGAGAAAATAATGCACTTTTTCTGCTAGGGGAAGCAGTCTGTATTGGTTAAACAAAGGGAACAAATCGGGTTTTGAAATAATTGGGACTGTATTCCCATTTATGAAGAAATATGTGTGATTCAAGAATATTCTAAATAAATCACTTTTAAATATGAAATAATCTTATTTTAACGGAACTATAACTGTCTATAGTTACTATATAGTGAGTCTCTCATTATTTATATTATATTGCACATTTTGCTTATATCATTAGTAATTTGTATATACAAACTATGTATTATAAGATTTTAAGTCCGATAAAGAGGATGTTCAAATCCTGTACCAGAATAAACTTAACCCACTTAACCACACACAGATTTTGACTACCCTGTGGTGGATCCAAAGACCTACAGATCTGGGCGTGGGTTTTCCAGGGGAGGGGTTCCAAGTGGGGAAAAATTGAAAAATAAATGGTGAATATACATGATTTTTTAAGAAAATTCTCGAGTAGGGGGCTGGGGGTTCTTGAAACCAAAAAAACCCGCTGGATCCGTCACTGCTACCTTACGATACCTGCATGCACCGAAATTTGTGATTGCATTTCAAATATTCTTAAAATAATTTCATATCCTTTATTCCACCTTAGGAAATGTTATTTACAAACAAAAGTCGAGAAACTAGTTGAAGTGAAAACCAAAAGTTGAGGGGTTTTCCCCATTTCATTGCAGGTAGTCTTGATAATCCAATAATATTTTATACATGTACCTCAGTGCCATTAATTTTTATAAAAAAAATTAATGTGTACACTGGGTAAAAAGTGTTGCTATTTTTTACTGATGTGTATACGTGTTTCCTTAACGGCAATTATTGAAATTTACGTCATATATTACTCAAAATGAAACCAAGCCCTGTGGATTTGACCCCCTCCCATTTAAAAGTTTACAAAAAATCGGACTTAAGCAAGACTACAACGTGATACGACTCAATTAGGTCTACCGGATGTGGCTGTATTGACCAAAACGCATACTTTTAATTCTTTTTATGTTTACCTTATTTAAAATAATTCTCTGTGAAATAATAACAATTTGAAACAATAGCGATGTATATCCTTATTCTAGTCGCATTGCCATTGTTCTAACTTTAGTGTAGCGGAACTTGAGCGTAACTTCGTAAGTGTTCCTAAAGGGCACCTGTCAGCAAACTTGCCCGGCCTAACTATAAGTCACAATGAGCATGGTATTGGCGTTCCCGCTTGCTAAACTTATTCGAGTTGATCTACTACTTATTCCCGTGACAGGTTTATAGAAACTCGTCAATGCCATTACCTTACAATCGGTATAACGGTTGAATGATTTCATGGGTTGAATACCCGCGGCTATCAGCGAAAATATGAACTTTAACCCCTGATATAATATTAGAAACGGAGACAGAGCTGTAACAAATCCGGATTCTGGAAAAAGTGCAGCTGTTCGTTGTATTATATTAATGTAAGTAATACAGCTGCAGCGAAATAAAAAAAATATCCATAAACTTGCCGCTCACGAAGCACAACAAGCATTTTGAATAATACGTCTAGTCATAGGTTTCCGCGCGTTATATATTTCCACGCACACATTTTATCAAGCTATATATCTCATTACTCAGTTGGCCATCGCGCGCTCGTCTGTAAACTGACACAAAAATTACCAGAAGTTCATCCGGAAAACATAAGAATGACTCACTGATTAAAAACTCGCATAAATATGCAGTTTTGGTTAATTAACTTTTTATCTTGCTCAAAATGAACCCATAGTAATATATATTTTATTCATGAACCGGTCTTTTTTGTAGTCTGACAAACGTATGACAATGTCGTATGCAAATGAGGCAACATCTCCTCGCCAATTTTTTTCCACTTCCGAAGAGCGAAGGAGACATTCTTGTATCCATCAACACTGTTTGCATTAAAACGTAAACCTTGCAATGCAATGAACTTATAATTTTCACCAATTTTAAACAGAATAAAATGGACATAACTAACCATCAACCAAAACCCATATAAGACTGCACAAAAAAGCTAATAACAGATTCTATGATAACATGAATTCGTTCAACGTAACATATTGAAATATCTATAAAAAAAAAATGAAATTTTCAAAAATTTGTTTTTGAAATTAATTTGACGATCAAAGAAATTTCTTTTTAGCGTATTCGAGTTATCTTTCTTTGAACACATCAAAATAGACACACGGAAACATATGACGGCTTTCCGACGGGAGAAATTTGTTAAAAAAAGTTCTGATTTAAAAAAAAAATGCAGTTTTACGTTTCTAGTATTTCTTTCTATTAGTAAATGTGTATATGTTTATGACAGTCATCCGTAATTTCAACAAATCGCGACTGCTTCTTAGCGCGGAAACCAATAACACGAGGATATTTAAAGAAAAGAAATGTAGTTAGGTATTGAAGGGGTCTGAAAGAGGGTGTCACAGTGCGTACTAGTACGATTACAGAGGAGCGAAACCCGACTTCAAAGCCAGTCAATTTTACTATTACGCGACTGAGATATTCTTTTGATGTATATATATCAAAGGATCAAAAAACTAGTCTTCTCGCCTCAACTTCAAGGTGGCGCACAGTGAGCCATCGACTTTGTCATGACATATTCCAGCGGTGCAAGCATAAGAAATAGTTAGTATACTGTAGAGTCGACAGACCTGAAACCTGATTGATTTTTGTACGAAAAGGAATGGTCAAGAAAGTAGTTATAGACATTTTTTAAGACACATCTTTAGAATATAGAACCAGTGGATAACATATATAGGACGGTAGTTATTACGGTTTTTCTTTTTTGAAACTTGGGAGACGCCAGTTTTCCTCTATTCACAGGAAAACATGATTTAGTACCGGAAATATTGAATATATTTTCGATGTGGAATGCAAAGTCTTTCTTGTGGTACTTTTGATTAACGAGGAAGTCTGGACTTACTGCTTTGAAGAAGTCAAAGGTTAGCATTACACCTTTGATACAATCAGATGTTATTTTTATTCAGAAATACTAAACTCTTGAAGTTGATATCATCGGTCACTATTGATCATAATGGTAATCAAAACAGTCACTCTTGATCCATGCTTCCGGACTTAGCTCTCCTGACATCAGGAATGGAATGGTCCTGTCATATCACTATTTGGATTGATATTTAATTTATTACATTATACTTATTTGTTTATATTCCCTGATTGTCTATGGGGCCTGGATATAAATAAGGTACATTCAGGTACAGTGCTGTGAAAATCAAATGTGCTTAATATTTATAAACCCCAATCTTAAACCTTATGTTAAGAGTGTTTGTATATCTAGAATTCTCTGGAGGGATATAAATACATCCCATCAATAGATTCAAATCATTGTTAGATACAGTTATCCATTGAACATATTTAGATAGAGTAGGATGAAAAGTTAATATTGGCTCGAGTTCTTTTTATATACATAATTACAATTCCACCAGATGTCCTTTAACACTTTTTTCTAGGTTTTATTTTGACATCATAAGAATAAGCATAAGGAACATGCAAAACATCTCAATTATCAGTTTTGCTTTTTAAAAAAAACTCAATAATATCTCATGATAATATAAGAATTTGAAGGTAGGGCAAATTAACCTGGATTTTTAAGCCAAATACATTCAAAAAAGAAAAGTGTATGTCAAACGTGTTTCGAACATGGAAATCATTAATTTCTGATGGGTACTGTGCTGTCTGTTTATGAATAATTTGGTAGATGCAGCATTATCTATCTTTTCTGTTCACGAATCTGGCAACGATTGACCTTGTCCTGCCGTAAACGTTCTTCCGCAGCCGGTGTATATCGTATTCATTTCAATATGAATGCCTACTGGTAATTACAATTGAAACATGAAGCTCTATTAGTGTTTACCTAATTAAACTATCAGGTCATCACGTTGATACGTGGTCAGTATTTATTCAACAGAAGATACAACCGCATGTCAGACAATACTTGTATAATAGTTGTACGCTATACAAAATTTACAGAAGACAATGCGTGAAGCAGTGGCAATGTTTTACATTGAAAGAGATGACAGAAGAAATATATATTACTCTGGTGCAATGCTTTATCATGACTTGACTTCAATACAAATTATAAAAATAAATATTTCCTCCTCATGTCAATTGTTATATCACAACATCTTCAAGTGAGGCAATCGGAGCCAGGACCTTTAACTGTTCGCCTGATTCCCCGGAGGCATTTGTGGCAGACGCCAAACTAATATCATTATCACTTATTGAAGGAGATTTGGCACGAGATTCACAAGTATCATGATAAACCGAGCAAGAACTTGAAAGAGTATCGTCACTATTTTTCTTATGTAAAAGCTTATTTTCCTCCTCAACTATATCAGATAAACTCTGTTTTTGTTCATCATCATTCTGGTTACAGGAACAAAATTTAACAATCAGTGGCTCAGACATCAAAATCACAGCTGTCAGGAGATGGAGAAACCCCATAACTCGGAAAGACAAATTCCAGCTCCCTGTCGCGTCCTCGATCCATCCTGTAAGGTAAGAGGTAGAAATGAATATACACAGTGTCAAAACACACGAGGAAACGTTTGCTACGAAAACAAAATGTAGTAATAATCATTAATGCCTAAATGAGCTAAAAAAAATATACGATCCATCCAATTTCGTTTAATACACCATAACCAACGTTCATCATAAACACTGTTTTCGCATAATGTTTAATGTTTCTCTGCATCGTCTATTATCCACAACGATTTTCACGCACTTGCTTTGTTTTTAATATTGTTTGAAAACTTGTATAACCTCTGTGACCTTTCAGTCGGTCAAGGTCAAACCTTTTCAAACATAAATTATAGCAAAAATGCTTACAGTACAGGTCAAATACCGTTTCTTTTAAAAACACAATTCATGAATCTTTCTGGCAAGATTCCATTTGGTTTCAATTATGAGATCATTTAAGTGGAACAAGATTATTTTATAACATGCTTAATAACAACTTATTATTGAGACGTGGTCTGAAAAAACAAATCTTTCTTTGATTTCGGTCAAACGGCTCTTTCAAGTTGATATAAGATACGCGTGATCTGTAAGTTCCCCAAAACTGTACAGAAGGTTCAAATAAACACGTACCAAAGACGAGCTTGGGAATTTATGTATAATTTACTTTTTCACCTTAACTATTAATGATTGATGTTATCCAAATGTACATGCTCTTGTCAGAATGTGTTCAACCCGTATTGAGCTGACAGCAGAAGATTTTTGCAAGTCCTACAGTCAGAAAAGAATCTGTGTATCTGTGTATCTGGGAGCCTCAGAAACATATACTTACCCATTCCTGGCTGACTTAATGCTACCGCAAAGGACATGAATGTATACAGTAGACCAAAGGCGGACGTGAAATCATTCAGAGGAACACAGTCCAATAGCACGACCGCCATTAGACTCCAGAAGGCACCAGGAAATATCCCTATGACCAGGCCGTAAGCCACCATGAAGGGAAAAGTCTTTAAAAACGGCAACAAAATGGCGGCCACTCCACTTAATACCCCTGAGAATATCATTATGGTGCTGTTTGCTACATATTTCTTGTCAGCAAACCATCCGAACAAGGACCTGGTAAATACCTCGGCAGCTCCAATCATAGAAAATGCTATAGTCACCTGACTCTGATTAAGTCCAAGAGACTGCATATGCGCTGGAAACGCGACAAAGTTTGCAGCATATGCCAAAACGTTTATAGCGAACACAATTATAAACATAACTAAACGTGTATTCCGTAACAAACGCATATACACAGGAAAAGTATTCCCTCTTTTCTTTAATTCACTTGTTTGATTTTTGGTAAGTTTTATATCGTTTGTCTCTACTTCTGTGTATTTATCAGGTGACCTGTGTGTAGTTGCAAGTTCCAGTGGCTGACGAAGGAGGGCCCCAGCGATACACATATGCAGTGCAAGTCCACTAATTATTATCAGCGCTCCTTTGACACCGAATCTGTCGATGGCGTAACGGTATAAGTAAGGGAACACAAAACTGCTGAGCCCACTACCTGACACCAGTATCCCATTGGCTAACGCGCGTTTCTTTAAGAAATAGAAACTAACGATAGTTCCACACGGTGCTAATGCAAGTCCACTACCAACACCTGAAAACAACGAAATGCTTTTAAAACAACAGCTTTATAAATTGATAGACGGACTGATGTAGTTTCTCACCAATCAGTGGTAATATTATAGAAAAGTATGAGTTCATAGCTTATACAAACAAGTCCACGTGATAAAACTGAACGACAAGAACTAATGACTTGACGAATATTTCAATTCCGTGAGGAATAACAGTGCTTTCAAATGTAGGTCGAAACTGGCAACTTTAAGTCTGTCTATATGTAAAGTCCAAAGGTCGAGACGAAAACATGGTCAAAATTATCAAGAGTGTTAACATCTGTTGGACCATTTAGACCGATAATTAACGTTTCACAATGCATAATACATTCATTTCCTATCAATAACAATGTTTAATAGACAATCTTAATTAGCATTATTATTCGTTTTTATTTTTTATTTCATTATATTTATTATTTCCTCTAGCAATAAATCAAGTGTGAGGGCTGTGTGCAAATTAATTAAAAAGTGAAATATTACAAAAAATAAATAAATTAATACATGTGTGTATGTATCATGCGAAGTAGGCCTCAGAAAACACAAGACAAAATAAAGAGCAGATAGACTCCCGAGGAAGCCATACACGGTCGAGCTGCTGACTGATATTTACAGAAGATATTAGTATCATATACATGCATGTGCGTTACTTATCTCATTTGTGAAAACCGTACATTAATAGGCCATATAATACACAGACATGCAGCACACAGAGCCTAAACACTGCATACCCACAGCTAATCCGCTCAACGAGATTGACAATACGATTTTTTAAAACGTCTTACTGCTCCTTTATCAATACTTTATGGTACAAAAACAATGTTAGAGTTATCTCACTTATGGCGTTAGCCGAGATGTAGTGTTCTGTTTCGGGGTGTTACTTTTACGTTATCTCCATACAGTGTGTGCCTTTATGTGCATAGGAATACATGACGAAAATGTGACCGATATATGTGCAAATAATCATCTGGGATATTTAAAAAAAAAGCATGTCAATTCCTTAAATTGTATGTCAAGTCAACAAAATAGGGAAACTGAGTGGGTTTGAATGGCCACCATATAAAGCCATTGATACCTAAGGTGACGCGTAGCTCATCGAAAACATTTGGTGGTGATACTTTTTTCCTCCTTTTTTCATCAAAACCATGTGCGTTATGTAAATTACTTGACACCATTAAAATAGTTCATACATATATGTGGAAATGAATTTAACAACTGAAAAACTTGTAACAAGGTTTTTGGATGTTAAAATTTATCCAGAAATGTCATGTTATACCTACTTAGGTTGTGGAATGACGAATCAAGTGGGATACATGAACTCCACAAGCAGGGGAGGCTGGCATGTTACGTAATAGAAGTTGACTCACGATTTCTAAATCAGCGTCGTAGCGATTGGCGAAGATTATAGCTGTGAAGTAATACGTATTTTCATACTCTTTGTAAATGTCAAAACTTATAATTTGAACAACTATTAATTCGGATATTTCATGTTTTATAATTTCTTGTTCTTTGACATCAACGAGATTAAGGACATTTCTTGTAGTTATGTCTATTTAACGACGAAATATCGTCCACTTACCTTGGTTTTACCTACAAGCTTCGGATAAGTACACAAACTCTTCAATATGTAATAATCTTCGTTTCATTGGCTTCCTAACTTATCACTGACGTATCACAAGTTCCTCTTTTTTTGTTTCTCAAAACTACACTGATACTTGTCCCTCAATATATAATCAAATTTCCTTACAATGGCAAATTCTCGCTAAACAGATGATAGCTGATATCGTTTTCTTTCATGCACCCGTATACATATTTAATCAGTTCCATAGGAAAGAAAGAGATCGGGGTTGCCTTAGTTTCAAATGGTTGCTTTCGCGCTATTTATTTTATAACGTAGTGGCTGGATATTATGACCTTTGTATATTCATTCACACAATACAGCCTGCTCACTGTCGTACTTACCACATACAATACCAATGGTCAGAAACATCCACTCCATACGAGGAACAAAGGCACTGATAAAGTAACCAATGGATACCAGCAGTCCACCACACATGACCACTGCCCGGAACGAGAAAACGCCCACCAGGTAGTTAGCCAGAGGTCCTAAATATAGACAACCACAGAATGTCGACAGTTGTTAAAGTTTATTGTATTTAAATACTCGTATTCTTTTGTCGTTTGTATTAAAAACATTGAGAATGAGAAGATATGACTTTATATACGCACCTTCACTACACCAGAATATCTGGGCCCAGTTGTTCAAAAGGTGATTAGCTTAATCACTGTTTAACGACATTTTCAACCTTAATAATTTCGTCAATATACCAGGTATAATCTCACAATTTTGCTTATCACTGATTGAGGTAATCACCTTTTGAACAACTGGGGCCAGATGTTTATGTTAATAACAATTGCAAGGATATGTTTGTATATGTGTGTAAGTATGAAGCTCCCGGATGACATGAAGACATATGTATAATATGTAATATTTCTGTGTGTTAACATGCTCTATTTCCAAGTCTCTGTGTAATGAGATAAATGTGTAAAATATGCATGTATTTTAAACATTTAAAGACATTGTAGTTATGTTCATTGTACCAGTAAAAATCAAGTTTCCGAAACACTGACTTTCTCGATCACAATGCCTTTCATATTTTTCGTTTATCTTATAAGGATAAAAATAAAAATTCGAGGAAGACAATACCTATATCTGCATGCAGAAAGGCATACTGCCCATTGACATTCAGTATTAGCAACAACATTCAAAGGAAAAAATACTTGAAAGTCAAACGAGATATGAACAGGATGAGAATCTTAGTCTCTGTATTTTGGTATTTACGTAATAAACCTTGACTACTACTGTGTCGATATTGTACACACTATCCGGCCTTTAGTCACACATACCATGTAATTTTTTACGTATAACTTCAAACTTGGTGTCTAATGAGATAAAAGTATGAACAATATGTGTATTTGTATGTGTTTATTGTTTAAATGCTTTGTATTATGTCTTTATAATATAGTAAACAACTTTCAATAACATTGATTTTCTCCCTTTTCACAAATGATATTCTTTGCTTTTATATGTTTAAAAATGAAAAATTAGGACGACAAATGTCACAAAACATGCTTCTATATGAGGAAAACACTGCGCGTCTGTAATTTTACATGCAATCTTAGTGATAAAATTAAAATAAAGAATGATACTTAATAGTCATATACGCGAATTGTGAACAGTTTGCATTTGTGCACATATTCTACCGTGTCGATAGTATACACATCATCGGGTCTACAGTCATATTTACCCAGTAGAAAACTGAGGAAGAACATGAGACTACTGATCCAGCCTGTGTCGATAGTATTTTACCCAGTAGGAATAAGAGGAAGAACATGAGACTACTGATCCGGGCTGTGTCGATAGTATACACAGCCTCGGGTCTACAGTCATATTTACCAAGTAGGAAACTGAGGAAGAACATGAGACTACTGATCCAGCCTGTGTCGATAGTATTTTACCCAGTAGGAAACAGAGGTAGAACATGAGACTACTGATCCAGGCTGTGTGGATGGTATACACAGCCTTGGGTCTACAGTCATATTTACCCAGTAGAAAACTGAGGAAGAACATGAGACTACTGATCCAGGCTGTGTCGGTAGTATTTTACCCAGTAGGAAACAGAGGCAGAACATGAGACTACTGATCCAGGCTGTGTTGCCCGCTCCCGCGTCATACATGGTGATAAATTCATTGTAGCAATCTTAGTGATAAAATTAAAATAAAGAATGATACTTAATAGTCATATACGCGAATTGTGAACAGTTTGCATTTGTGCACATATTCTACCGTGTCGATAGTATACTCATCATCGGGTCTACAGTCATATTTACCCAGTAGAAAACTGAGGAAGAACATGAGACTACTGATCCAGCCTGTGTCGATAGTATTTTACCCAGTAGGAATAAGAGGAAGACCATGAGACTACTGATCCAGGCTGTGTCGATAGTGAACAGTTTGCATTTGTGCACATATTCTCCCGTGTCGATAGTATACACATCATCGGGTCTACAGTCATATGTACCCAGTAGGAAAAAGAGGAAGAACATGAGACTACTGACCCAGGCTGTGTCGATAGTATTTTACCCAGAAGGAAAAAGAGGAAGAACATGAGACTACTGATCCAGACTGTGTCGATAGTATTTTACCCAGTAGGAATCAGAGGAAAAACATGAGACTACTGATCAAGGCTGTGTCGATAGTATAAACAGCTTCGGGTCTACAGTCATATTTACCCAGTAGGAAAAAGAGGAAGACCATGAGACTACTGATCCAGGCTGTGTCGATAGTATTTTACACAGTAGGAATCAGAGGAAGAACATGAGACTACTGATCCGGGCTGTGTCGATAGTATACACAGCCTCGGGTCTACAGTCATATTTACCAAGTAGGAAACTGAGGAAGAACATGAGACTACTGATCCAGCCTGTGTCGATAGTATTTTACCCAGTAGGAAACAGAGGAAGAACATGAGACTACTGTTCCAGGCTGTGTAGATAGTATACACAGCTTCGGGTCTACAGTCATATTTAACCAGTAGGAAACAAAGAAAGAACATGAGACTACTGATCCAGGCTGTGTGGATGGTATACACAGCCTTGGGTCTACAGTCATATTTACCCAGTAGGAAAAAGAGGAAGACCATGAGACTACTGATCCAGGCTGTGTCGGTAGTATTTTACCCAGTAGGAAACAGAGGCAGAACATGAGACTACTGATCCAGGCTGTGTGGATGGTATACACAGCCTTGGGTCTACAGTCATATTTACCCAGTAGGAAAAAGAGGAAGACCATGAGACTACTGATCCAGGCTGTGTCGGTAGTATTTTACCCAGTAGGAAACAGAGGTAGAACATGAGACTACTGATCCAGGCTGTGTCGAGAGTATTTTACCCAGTAGGAAAAAGAGGAAGAACATGAGACTCCTGATCCAGGCTGTGTCGATAGTATACACAGCCTCGGGTCTACAGTCATATTTACCAAGTAGGAAACTGAGGAAGAACATGAGACTACTGATCCAGGCTGTGTCGATGGTATACACAGCCTTGGGTCTACAGTCATATTTACCCAGTAGGAAACAAAGGAAGAACATGAGACTACTGATCAAGGCTGTGTCGATAGTATACACAGTCTCGGGTCTACAGTCATATTTACCCAGTAGGAAACTGAGGAAGAACATGAGACTACTGATCCAGGCTGTGTTGCCCGCTCCCGCGTCATACATGGTGATAAATTCATTGTAGAGGATTCCGAAAGCTTTGCATGTGCCGACCAATGTCATGTACGAGAGGGTACAGGCTGAAACAAGAAAAGGTTTGCATATTTGGTGATCAAAACTAATCGTAACACAAACAAGTGTTTACCTAGCTATTTGATGTAAAGATAATATAGACGTACATTTAATTAAAAAACCCTAATAATGTCAAGTGAAAATTTCACCTTGAAAAGAACGTAGAAAACAACATTTCACAATTTAAAAAAAAGGGGGCGNATAGCAAAGTGTATTCTGATGGATTTAAGATGCATAAAATGATTTTGACTAGAAAACGAATACCGTAGTTGTTATATAAAAAAACATAATATATTTAACGGATGGTCGAAGCACTTTAACTACACTCGACCATTCATTTGGGCCCGTATTCATCAAACAGAATTTGTGCTCAAACTAACTTTCTGTAACTCGGTAAAGTTGTGTAACACGATCTGAATATCATGTCGAAACTTTGAAAACGGTATTCAGTCTCTCCAAATTTCTTCCAAATCATTGACAAATGTGATTTTTTTAAATAATGTATAGCAGGAACACGAATCCTTGCTCGGCACAGAATCTTAAAAACGATTTTTTTGGATATGAATGGCCCTGATGATATCTTGCTAAGTGACTAAATAAAGGGGGCTAACTCTTACAATTTGTACGGTCATATTTCTTTCCCGTGCCTCAGGATTTAACAATTATAGTATTTGTCATATTGTCGGAAACAATTCACAGTAACTTACAAGATAGTAAGCAATTCGCTATCTAGTCTTTCTTTTAACTAAAGTCATGTTAAGTGGCTCATACGTATCCCACAAACCAATTTCCAAACAAATATAACATAAACTTGTGCATGTTCCTAAAATGTGCGAATTTTAATAAATGATCTCATTCAAGATGGCGAAGGATCTAGCGGCATCCACACAGATTGACCTATGCAACAGTTGAATAGATAAGGGGAGTAAAGACCCGAGTCTACATACATACATAAGGATTTATTAATCCTTTTTATTTAAGTTGGAGTTTTCAATTTGAAGATTCCTTTTAAATTTCATTTTCCAGTTTATTCAATAAGCAATGAGTACATATTGCATTGCTATTGATGACAAACTTAATAAAGTCTGGCAGGGCTTTATGTAAGCTTGACAGCAAAAGAAATGTTTGTTATAGGACCATAACAATATTTGCATTCTGAATGCATTACAATTGAAGGATTCACACCAAATGTAAATATATAACCATAATACCATTTGTTTTCTAAAACCACATTGCTTCTATAAAAATGTTCTTTTATCACTTATACGCCTGTAAGGTACAATGTACTAATAAATACTTAAAGTGATTTGGTTTCCTACGCAAATGACAAAAATATATACTCATTAGGGTGTTATTAAATTTTGATAAATTGTGCTGTATAATTAAGTTATTTATCTGTTATTGAAAGATCAATTCATTTAATGTTATATCAAATATTATATGGATCAGCTTGTAAATATGATCACAAATATTAGACTTTAAGAAAATCAAAAAGTCAACAAAGTTTTATTTATATTGATATATGCTTAGCTAATTTTTAAGAAAAATACTATAATCACTATCAAAACAAGTTTCCTTACTGGTAAATTAAAAATGTTGGCACTCAGAGATACACCCATGCATGAATAGACAACATACCACAAAAAATCAAACATGAAAACGATCTCATCAAATTGTAATATATGAAATCATATTATAATGGTGATCAATCTACTATCTGTTTAATATGTACGGAGATATTGTCTTTATTTTGACGTTGTCTTCACTGATGATGTTTAGTAGAAAGTTGATGCTCCATCATTATGTCCTTATATTCCTTAAGGGTAAATACACAATACATACCAAGCTTAAATGAGATGACAGTTTGTAGTTACCTATAAGGATTACCCATGCATAGCCACCGTCCACGGGTGTTGCCTCTCTTTTGACGGTCATTGCTGTTCTTTCCATCTCCAGTCCTCATCCTGTTTACGTGATTTAAGGTTATTTATTGAAATAATAATTTAATACATAATCAACAATATAGATTTAACCCTTTTACCACTGTAGACCATAATGGACTCATCCTGATCAACGCATGGTAGAGTCTACTAAAGTTACATAGGGGTGAACGGGTTAACCACACAAACCATTCACTCGACTACACTGTAAACTACTTTCTTGATCAATTTCAAATCACAGAGAAAAATGAAAAGGTCGGGGCGGAACGCCTCTATTCAGGACACTTTTACATTGGTGACCTACGTGCTACCCCCATAAGTGTAACACATATTTTTCCGTAAGGAATATATTATGAAACTGTTGATGTCTTCATGTGTATATATTTGAATTTGTCCAACTTGTGAAGTGTTTGTAAATGATCTATTACCTGGAGATAAACAAAATGCTTAAGGAACTCCATGCTGATCACGTGTATTTTATAGGTTGACATCTAAGTCTATTTGTATATCCAAAATGGTATTATAGTTGTGATCTTTTTATACTAAATTACATTATGATGGTGAGCAGCTTATACAGAATTATCTTCGGATGGTGATTGGTTTAAACGAAATTTTGTTGCGATGGTGTTCAATCTATACGAAATCATAAAATAATTGTGATCACTTAATATGTAATCATATTATGGTGGTGATCTTTTAAATCTGTTCATTTGCACGCATAAGTTTGTTTATCTTCATATTGTTATTACTGATGACGATAGAAAGAAAATGTTTGCCTCATTATCACATCATCAGGACAAAATAAGTATAATAGATATGACTATGGACAAGTATAACAGTAGGTTGGTATGATATACATTATAACAAGTGATATCGGAAACAACGGAACAATGTACATATATTGATCAGAATAGGACACCTCAATCAGCAGACGTGTCATAAATAACTGATACAATATTATTAGTCATACTTACAAATCATTCCCTGATTTCAACGGATAAAACTGAGGAAGAAGTCTCTGTTGACAAGGTGACTATCCTCACATTCAAGGTACATCCGGGTCAGGTACAACAGTATATTACATCTTGCTGTGGTGTGGTTAGTGAAGTCTGTGTAATATTGATAGCTCCTACAAAACATAAATTATTCATTCCTCAATGTTCGCACGGCTAAAATAAGGCTAATCATACTGTGATGTCTTTGTTGTGTTGTACATGATCTGAACGTTATAACAATATAGAGAAAGGAGGAGATTGTGATTATAAGCTAAAGAAATCATTTTTACTTTTAACAAATACAATTTTATCAAACATAGTTATCTATATTGATAGGTATTAATTTTTTAATCGCAAATATTAATAAATGTCCATTTCAAATTGACACTGTACACATGCATACACACATACACAAGACCTTTCTATTGACTCAAAAAATAAGATAACATACAGTTGGCCATGCGGAAAATCCATTTACCATGTGCCAGGGTTATACACGGAACTTGCATACTAGTTACAAGCTACTATTTACACGTAGTGGAGGCAAGTTATATACACGTTTACATAGCCGTTTGTGTATATAATAAAACATATAATCAGTAGTGCCAGCCGTACACACATGTGGTTCCATCGAATATCTTTACATTTCTATATGTACAGCTCAGTTATTGAAGCAAGCTGTCCGCATGTAATAAACTAAGCAATAACAAAAGGTCCAAGTACATGTAATAACATGCATTACATATGTGACCTACCTCAGTGTGTGAACACGCACCAATTACCAGCACGGGTATATTTTATAACCGGTGCTGCATAGAAAAACACCCCTGAAACGCTTTACTGCTTTCTACATGCTGTCGGTATATACATTAAGTTAAATGTGAACGGATGAGCTGATCACACATATCGATTCTGGTCCATGATTTAAAATTATTATCGAAAAGAGGGCTCATTAGGTGGGTTTAAAATCAGAGCAGTTTTTTGGCATTGATCTTTAATTAGATATTACCAATATGTATAGTATCAGTGTATTTTCTGTATATTTATGAACATTTAAGAAGTGGCCAAATGAGCCTGCATCGCTCACCTGGTATACATTGCAATTGTAAACTTAAAAGAGGACTTCAATAAGCTAGAGGTGAAATGTCAGTTCCTATGACTCTGAATCACTCAAAGAATCTGTTGAAAGATTAAACACATTTGACTCCGGTGACCTTGAAAGCCCAACAAGATCATTAAGTTGCAAACACTGTACAGGCCTTCATCTCAACATGCAACGAGGTGGGGAACTTATTTGTTTTACTCTGTTTCCTCTTCTTCTCTTCATCTTCTTCTTCTTTTTCTTCTTCTTCTCCCCCTTCTTTTTACTCTTCTCCTGCCGTGATTTTTTCCCCGCGCGTTTTCTCAGAAACTATACACTGGAGTTCAATGAAACTTCTCATGGGTATTGAGGTATATGCCTAGATGTGCAAGACAGTTTTTTCGAACGGTCAACAAAGAAGGCCGCCACGGCCTCTTATTGATCGAAATTAAATATTGGTCAATTTTGCTCAAATTTCATATGAAGGTCTGTTTTGGCATTGCGACCATAACAGCGGGGCTTTGGGGGACTTTTGTAATGGCGTTACAGTGTAATATGCTTATTGAGATGAGGTCATTTGAAGGATTATATACAGTAGAAACCTTGAAAGCAGGTCAAGAGTATTGACATGAACCAACTGGATATCTCTTCATCCTAGCATGCTACTAGTAAGATATCACCGCCCTCTGCATTTTGGTAATTCAAAAGACTTTGTTTTATCTTTATAATCACATTAGACCCATTTGCCCTTATATTTGCTTGAGGGTCATTCATTAGGACAAACCTCGTAGCTTTTTATTAGAGCTTGTAACTGGCCAAATATCATCATCCAATACCTTTTTTGATAAGAGGCATCAGAGGCAGGTGTAGGTACCTTGTTACTAACAACAAGATGCCGTGTTTGTTTTGGTCTGCGATATGTCAATAAAAGAGTGCCATTTATTCCAGCTTCAGTAATTTTCTTCACGCTTCAGTTTCGTCGGTATATTAATATATCGTTTGTCGTTGTTCGAACATACATTATTACTCCGGCGAAGCTCAGCTGAGTCTGCATTTAAACTATTAGTTAATCGATTTTACGATATACACGAGATTCAAACTGAAAATAGTAACACCACAATCTTGTTTGATTGCTGTTAAGTCGGTACGAGTTATTGCTCTTCTCTCGTGTAAATATAGCTCACCGGAGTTATAACATGTCAATCTCTTTTGGGACCCTACTTAGTGCTACGAAATGACATATAGTATAAATTTCATTCATATTCCTAGGCCATGCGGGAACTTTATTTCTATTCTATCAGCTGATGAGAGAAATTCCGACCTCAAATCAAGATAGATCTTGCTATGCAAAACCACTAAAATCATAGTAAAATCCATAGGTAATATGTTATAGCAGATTATAAATAAGGAAACAAAGGCTACGTAACTTTGATCGATACATGAACTTTAGATCACGTTCCATTTATAATATTCTGTGATGTCATGGATGCGCTAGACATGTTATAAACATTTAAACAGAAAAGTACGCTAATATTTATAACATGTCTAGCTTTTTATACCAATATCAAATGTTTAGAAAAGACATTTTATATGTAATTTGCGTAGTTTTTAGTTTATGTTCCTAGGTCTATGGTTTTACACATATATACCAGCAAAATATTTTGCTCGGACATTTTATTGTGTTTTTTGTACATTGCTATAGCCACCATCATCTACTTTGAGGCCGATATGCCTCTCCATATGTAATTAAAAACAAATTCAGGTCCGCATGACCTAGGTTTATAAATGAACTTAAAATAATATGTCATTTTGTATTATTCAGTTAGGTCGCAATAGAGATTGACATGTTGTAAGTCCCATAAACTATTTTTTTATGAAGACATCAATCTTATTGCTTTATTATTGACTACGTTTACCTGGTATTGTACCTTTTGAAAAGCTAACATACAAGTTCAATACATGTATATTTAGAAACATATAATCCGTCTTTTAATAGGGTAATTTTAATTTTAAATACCAGGGGGTTTACATTTAAGGCGACAATTACATCTTACAGGGGGCTTGATGAACCATAAGGCAAACCAATACATTTACGATTCATTGGGCAAGATAATAGTAAACAGCAAATAACGGCGAATTGAAAAAAATGGAATAACGTTAACCCCAGGACATAATCGGAACTGAAAATCAACACATACAGACATTCCTAGGAGATCTATAATTATAGCATAGAAGCAAAGAAGCAGATCAACAGAAATAAACTCGATACCCGATGAGAATTACGATAATATCAGTCTAATAAAAATATGTAATAGGATAAATAAAGACATACACGGCATATTAGAGAGATAGAGTGTATATATAACCAAACGCATAGCAGAGGAGAAATATAAATTTAGTAGAAATAAAGACATACTGGAATTCTTAGAGAGATGAAATATAAACATATATAAAATATAACAATACTAAAAGAGGACAAAAAAAATATATAAACGAGGTGAAAAACAAAAAACAAAACCAAGGGGAAATATATCTATAAAAAACCTAATCGAGGGGAAATATAAAAACAGAAGGGAAGAGAAAAAATATCATAATCGTTGAGATATAAAAATATCATCATGGAGAAATAAAGATATTAATAAAACGATATACAAAATAAATATACAAAGCAGACTCGACAGCGTTAACATCAACGAAAAGAAAAACAAAACAACAAAAATACAAAAAAGACAAAGAACGACCGCCCTAAAAAGGAGTCGGACATTGTACACCGAATCGGAAAACATCATCCACATCCCACGCATCACACTAATTACATGTGTACGGTTGTATGTAGGAAAGTATATTGTTCATCACCCACACAAGGAAAAGTAACATAACATAAACGATGGGTCAGCAATATGATTATATTTATTAAAACATAAGATCATGATGACAACCTTACCACTTCTTCAATCTTTCTTAAGATGTCGGAATTGCACTAAACTCGTTATTCGTGTTGGTGAGGTTTCACTTGTGGACTCCTATGCATGTAACACGCTGGGATAATCCCTGCATTTAAAGATTTACTATCTATGCGGTACTTCTCAGGCTGGTGACTTTCTAAAAGCGGCTGAAAAACACAAGAGGAATGATCTGTACTTCATTGTTCATAAAATCATCAGGTACATTGTATATTGGTGATGTGATCTCAAAGAATTACAGAAATAGGAATTAAGACAACGTACTTAATAATAAATTGTCAGGATGGACTTTAACCCCATTGCCGGTTCTAAATATGATTTTTTTAACACATGCTGACGAACAATATCGATCCCATAAACTACAAAGCCGGGGTGTTCTGCTTGATATACTTCAGTTAATGCCAACCATAAAGTATTGTCCTTATCATGGAATTATTTTCAGCAATGCGCTCTCAACGTCTGCCATGATTAAACATGTTCCCGACGACAACCTACATACTTGGTATGAAGGGAGAGGTCAGGATGGTGCCACTTGCGTTGTAGGGAACGCCTCGATCATACTTCTTTTCAATTATTTAGATATACATTGAACTTCCATTTCACAGATGTTTGAAACGTCTTTTGGCCTTCATTGTCATTGATCATTTTTGTTATCGAATCACGCAAGTGCAATGCACATATGTGGTTTTCTGTGTGTTTTATTGCCCTTCCGAGGCATATAGTTTTGTCTCCGATTTGAGTTGTTGTGCATGGTGCCATTTTAGTTACACGTTGCTTCGTGGTATTATCTCTTTGTATAGAACATAATTGTCTGTTTTGCCCTGCTGTATATACCCTGGTTTCCTGTTTTGCCCTGAGTTGGTTCCTCATTTCCTGCTTTCCTTGCTGTGTGGACGCCGGCGGATATACATAACAATTTATCGTTGATTTATGATAGTTGTTTTTTGTCTGGGTGGCGAACAGGTGAACTCTGACGGATTCAGAACTATTTTTTTTTGTTTGCGAATAGGTTATATATATATACTATTGCCTTCCTGAAAGTATGCCCATCTCATTTACTATGAGTACCAATTGTATCATACTCATTGAAGAAAGGTATTTTCGTACGTAAAAGTTAACATGGTAAATGTGCTCACCAGTCAGACAGCCTTTTTCATTGCGACTTGAATGGAAGAGTTATTTCCCCTGTCCACTACCCTTGAGGTAGCAAACAGCATTTTGTTGTTAATGATGTTAAAGAACTGGTAGGCCCCTAGTCTCGGTGCATCACCTTCTCCTCTTGTCTGACCTTTATGGTCTTAATTTGACTCACTCTCTGGTATAGATTTTCTCACAACGATAGTACCTCCTTCCTAATCATCTTCTTTTGTTTGGTTGATGTGCTCTGTTATACGTTCCATTCATATCCATTTGTCCCAAAATAGAGTATTTCGTTTGTTTCTACAGTCTCGGAAAAATCCTAACCGTTTTCCGATGTAATATGATTTACGGTTCTTGAT